TATGTCGTCGGTATGTTCGATATAATCCTAGCATATGTCTAGCATATGCTTAGCATATATGATAACTAATTATCCTAGGTTCAATTCTCGATTAAACAACTCAAATCGGCCAAGAAAATCTTCACGAAACTCCTCCAGAAAGACTCTAAAGACAAAGAATCAAGATCATGGCATCGATCCTTTCAATGTACAGGGATTCAACATTGCCACCAAGCTCATCCTGATCTTATTACCCCGTCTGAAAGCTATAACCGTGTTAAACCAACACTTTTCCGCGAACTTCAGGCTCTTGCTGCAAAGCCTGTGTATCACACTATTGCGCAGGAAATCCAGGAGCGAACTAGAGAGTAAGATATATCCCTCCCTAGCTTTAACCTCTATTAAGCTTACGCTTAAGATAGATTTTACTTCGGATTTCTCAAGACGTGGGATATAGAAGGGCCATGTATTTATGCACCTAGTGAGCGGACATGCAGAGGTCAAAAGCCAACAGTGTGGCTTCGAGATGGAGTAAGTGCATATTATTATCATGTACTAAATATTTGTTAACTATAAGTAGTTCACCTTTATTGGGTGTCCGAACGCGCAGGTCGGATCCCAGCGTTGGCACTACTGTCAGCACGTTCCACGAAGTGCTGCAAGGATAGACACCGCGTTTCTAAAGCTTCTTTGCGATAAGGATGGCTTACGAGATACTGGATATGGAACCAAGAACTGTTACTTCGTGGAGCATCGTTCAGCTAGACGTCGCCACTGTGGTATGTTTTACACTAGATATGCTCTGGATATGCTGAACATATGCTAACCCTGTCCTAGACTCAATTCATGCAGATGGTGTTGGTCAGCTGATATATAGTGTTTGCTCTGTGAAGATTGACCTTTATATCCCCTGCGTATGGGATCGTTTTCCTTTTTTCCTTCTCGTTTGTCGAGGATCTCATTCACATGCGCCGCCACCGCCTACAAAGCTACCACATGATATTGGTCAAGAAATCATTGACGCAATCAACACGCAGGATATCCTAGGATTAACTGCACGTAAATTGATGGTCTCACCTACTTTTGCGAAGATTATACGTCAACATGGTGATTCTGCGCTTCGATATATCCACAAGAGCTTACACATTGAGGATAGAGTAACTGCTTTGATTCATAAGCAGAGACTACTATATTATCCAGAAGGGACGAATCTTGCTGGGGTATGGCGTGAATACCAGTTTGATCTAACTAAACACGTGGATGATCAATGGATTCGTGAAGTCTATTTCTTTGACGAGAATCGGGAGCATTATCTGATCATATGCTGCACATACGAACAAGCTAAGCTTTTTCAGAGTGTACGACATCTGGAAATGGATCTTGCTTTCAAGATGGTTCAGGGAGCAACCAAGCTTTTCACAATTTCAGGGTGGAATGAACAGGTAAAGAGTAAGATTTTCTGGTGTTCTATATATGCTAAACATATGCTAACCATATGCTGACTCTCAGGGTTAAATACCTATGTCTATGCTTTCATGAATCTCGAAACTCGAGTAGCTTATCGGGTTCTTTTTGAGAAAATCTTCAAGATTCTTGGGGATGTTGGACGAAAACCAATTAGATGGGCGTATCAGCTTGGAAGGGATGATTCTTGTGAGGGAATTCGGACGGTTACTGTTGACATGTGTAAGAAGCAAGCACCTGGTACGCTTCCCATATGCTTAACATATGCCTGAATTATACTCACTTTCTATTTTCATTTAGGGCTTGGAGATTATCTTGCTGGCCTAGATCCTCGTTGGACATGGTCAGAACATCTGCAAAATATATTGATCCTATGCCAAACGCACGTTAAGCGAGCCTTTCGGAAAAGGTTTCCTGGTCACGAAGCTACTACGTCTATTGATATGATCTGGAATGCAAATTCAAAGGCAGAGGTTATTCGAATTATGGATGAAGTTGCAGAAAAGTGGCCAGAGACCGAAAAATGGTTTCAGAATAAGAAGGTTGATTGGATTCTTGCTGGAATAACCCCAGAGGCATCTAAGATTCCTATTGAATGGTGGACGAATGCATCACATCATACTGGAATTAGTGAAAGTAGTCACTTTCACGATAACGAGGCAGTAGGCCGAAAGCAAGCTTTGTTAACAGCAATTCTCCGGTATATTACCCGATTTATCATGTATAGAGCATATTACTAATCTCTTTATTACAGATGCAAAAAACATGTACAAGAGATGATCCAAAAGAATAAACTTGCAGAAGAGCTAGGTCTCTTCCCAACTTGGCGATCTCAAAACCCTGTGTATCGTATTGCCAAACAAGTTCGCAAGAAGGGTTTGTTCCATATGTTCAACATATGTTACACATATACTAACCTTATATCAGACAAGCGCTACAAAAAATCTGCCAACCGTCGTATCAATAAACCATACCAGCCCTGGAACGTGATCAATCCTTACGATGACCTTAACCCGACGATGCAACCACCTGGGCTTCCAGATATTTCGGACATAGTTTCGATATCTACTTCAGAGATAACTGACATAAGCTCAGTATATGGTCAATCTATATCTGCACCGCTATCTACCCCTCAGGGTAGTTCAGTTCTTGACGGATCGTCTAGAATAGCGCCGCATGATAGTATTTCTCAGCAGTTAGGCTATACTCAGGGATTCGATGATGAAGAGGCACGGCTACAGCAAGAAGTTGCGGAACTTGAGAGAAAGCAAAGGATCTTAGCCCTTCGAAGGAAGAAGGAGGAATTATTACGGAGTATAGAGTCAGGCGAATCTTTGGTATAAGTTAAGAATATCTTGAATTTACTTTGAGCATAAGTTTAACATATGTTCCGTATAGACAAATAACAGAAAATTCATACAAAGAGACCTACGCCTAACTAAAGGGACTCAAAAGCATCAGAGGATGAGTCCTCTACCTCTACCTCTACCTCTACCTCCTCCTCCTCCTCCTCCTCCTCCTCCTCCTCCTCCTCCTCCTCCTCCTCCTCCTCCTCCTCCTCTACCTCCTCCTCCTCTACCTCCTCCTCCTCTACCTCCTCCTCCTCTACCTCCTCCTCCTCTACCTCCTCCTCCTCCTCCGAGTCTTGCATATGGGGAGCAGGTGGGCCACCTCCTCCATCACTATTGTCTCCATTACCGGCAGTGGGGCCAAAACCCGCGAAGGGAATAGGATTCCCAGGGACGCCAGGTCCACGCTACATACTATTAGCATATGCTTAACATATCATTTCTTAAAAAAAGGGGACTTACCCGGCGGCTGCGATGACCAGAACTCGGGGTTGCTGGGGCCTGCCAGCGGTGGAAACGAGTGCCGTATTGTGCGGCAAACTGTGCATCGGTAGCTCTATACGGATTGTTAGCATACGCTAAACATATGAGAGTCATATGTAACAAGTATATCAATCTTGTGCAAAACGTAGAGTACCCAGAGTACTTACGCAATTCGCTCCAGAGCGGAGGCCCAGTGTCCAATCCATCCATTGTCAGGGCCGCGTCCAGGCTCATGGAGGTAGCTAGCATCCCGCCAGCCACCCTGCAGGACCCAACGCTTGATGGCGTTTTGGCCCGCAATAATCTCCAGCTGGGTCTTTGCTCGCCGGCTGGGGTTGACGACTATATCGTAGTCATATTGTTAGCATATGTTCAACATATCCAACGAATAGACACTTGCCAGCTCCGGAATGTTCATTGCGGATGTGTCGACGCAGAGCAGGTCCCTCTGAGAAGACTAGACCGCACATTTGGGACGGAGGGTTGACGACAATATCACAGCTGTTCCTCTCAGTGTCAGCATACGATAACCATGCCCTCAGTATATTCAGACACCACGTACACTCCTATGTTCTCTTTGTTGAGAACCTCGGCCGGATTTGGAGGCGGGGTCGCCGCGATATCAGCTGCCTTGATGTCGTAGTGGCGTGCGCCTGCAGCTAGAGCTGCCGTATACGCAGCTGGCTTCCAGCCACGATTGTTGTCTGGAATGGGCCCTACATATGGTCAACATATCAACAGCATATGCATCTGGGAAACATACCATGTGCATATCCCAGGAGAGGGTCGGGGTTGGTCGCGTTTAAGACTGTGGTGTTGTCAAATTCAGCCCGGGTTGGACCCAGGCCAGGGAAGAGTCCAAGATTCGACATGTTGATGAGCTGGAAGTGTTCAGCATATGCAAAACATATGGAGAAACGCGTCAGGGAGTAGAGTAAACAGGTGTTCTGACCTTTGGTAAACAAAGTGGGTGGTGAGGGAAGAAGAAGAAGAAAATGGTGTTGTGTTTGTGTTGAAGATATATCTCTCATTTCTTTGTTGACACTTTTGATTCATGACCCCAAACAAACTATATTTTTCTTTCAACACGTGTAATTTACTAGAAGAAAGACTACCTCTTTTATATTATTATGAATAAAAAATAGATAGAGTCTTTAAGAGTATAGTATAATCTTCTATATAGAGTTGTAAAGAGATGTATAGAGTGATAGTATATTTTAGTGAGGTAGGGGTTCAACTAAAGTTGAACCCCTACATAATTATTAATCATATGCATAAAAGTAAGTATAAGAGCTCATCAGGACCCAAAATAGTTTGGGTACGTGTGAGGTCGGGTACCTCATGGGTACCCAAAATTAGTCAGAAATTTTTTGGGTCCGTGTGAACTTTTTTGGGTACGTGTGAGCTGGAACCCGAGGCGTGCTCAGTCCTACTCAGTGAGCAAAAGCGGCGAGGGGCTGAGCACCAATCCGGAAGGGGAAAGCCAAGTCGTGGCATAGGAAATCCGGTACATAGGGAACTAGAAGGTTGGGGGTTCGATTCATGGGGAGGGCGAGGCTATTTCTTTTTCTACTGCTGTGACGTTCGGCGTGTGACCAGTTACTATTGGCTCTTGGTAATAACTGATCTCCTTTCCTATAGACAGGCTTTTTTCTATTCACAAACAAAATGGGGATCTCAAATAGAAACATCACGCTCCACGGGTAAATACAAGTAACTTCGCACTTATTTTGTCCCAGTGCCGGTCATCATCTTCTCAATATCAAGCACCGACTCCCGTACCTGGGGGCAGTAGTGCTGACGCAACAACTCGCCTTCCCAGACAGAGCCCGCGTAAACATTTGTGGCCTCCACATCATTGGCATACGCGTTGAACACGCCATCTCCCTTGCGCTCATCCGTGTACCACAAAGGCGAGATGCGGCGAGCATGGTGCTTGGAGACCTGATTCATCAGCGACAGAGTGGCAATGGCGGACTTTTCAGGAAGCTGTAGGGAGGTCGTCATAAGACGCTTGGCAAACGTGGCCAGACGAACTGGGGGCGGAGTGCCATGAGCGCGGGATAGCAGGGCCGACTGCAGGCAGCGAAGCAGCAGGACCATCGGGGTCTGGAAGTTGACCTTGTTCTTCGCCTTGAAGCGGGAAGCGGCATGGTCTTCGGCGGTATTCGGGTCGGGGAGACGTAGGGAGGTGTTGGGGTTATACTCGACTTCGGGGTTGATGGAGAGGGCATAGAGGGAGCGGTAGAGATGCTTGATGAAGAAGCTCAGATCCAGATGGAGAGTGCTGGCGGCTTTGCTGGCATCTTGCCCTTCGAGCAGGGCAAAGGCAGTGATTGTACAAAGAAGGGTCTCGCGGCGAGCATCTCGTTTCGTAGTTTCAGAGACATCGCGGCGCTCGTCTTCGTCGTCTTCTTCATCCTCGGAGACATCTTCGCCGGCTTGGTCGAGCTCGTCACGCTCGGCGTGGCCGATAAGGTCCTTCATGGCCTCCAGAAGGTCACCAAAGAAGTCCTGGTTGATGAGATGGGCATACTTTGCCAGACCCTCGAGTACGGGACCCATCAGGTTAGGAATACGCTGCTTCAGGATGCGGAAGTATACACCAAAGACAAGCTTCAAGGTCTCGGCCTGGTTCTTGTCTCGCTCCTCGTGGGAGACCAAAGCATCTGCAACTTTCATATCCTTCTCGACAACCTGGCGCTCTTTCATAACCTTCCGTTCTCGCTTTGTCCGGAATTCGCGCTTCTGCTTCTGCTTCTTGCCAAGAGTCGCCTCTTCCTCGGGCTCGTTGCGGTCTACCCGGTCACGCGATGCTTTTCTAGCAAATTCACCGAGAAGGCGTAGATGGAGGAAAGTATCCAGAACGCTCTCGTTAATATTGAAGTCTCGTGCCTTCATCATCTTCGACACCATACGAATTGCCTCGAGAGAGACGACTCCATCATTGTCCTTGGCGAAAACATCCTCCATGGTTTCCCGGCATTTGATAAAATCAGCATCCACTTGCTTTCTAGCAAGACGGTTGACCAAGATCTTGATCAATTCGCTGCGGAAGTTGAAATGCGGGACAGCCTGGAGCATTGTGCAGGCGCAATTGATGGCAAGGCTCTTCAAGCCCGGGTCTGTGGCCGCATTGAATCGGCCTGGTTTCGCCAGAGCAGCCAGCTTCTGAACGTAGTTCTTGTAACCTGAAACGAGAGACTGCTCGAAATTCCGCAGCTTGCGCACTTCCTTCGAATGTTTCCCTTGCATATCTTCATCGGTGAGAGGACGGATTCGGTATCCGGGAATGACATCCTTGTAGACCGCGGCCTGCGCCGCCAGTGCCAGCTTTTTGACCGTAACGGGCGAGTCCTCCTTGTCCACCATATCGGCCATTGTCTTGAAGAGCGCAATGTTCTCCTCGGGGTCCTCATTGATAAGGGTTGCGATACGAGCCAGGTCTTCCTTGGCTTGCATAATTTGAACCTTCACAGGAATCTTGGGTTTCTTCTCGACTTGTTCCTCTTCGCTATCCTCGCCGTCTCCGGAACCATCCTCCATCTCGTCGTCGTCGGTGCCCAAGAAGCTGTCTGTTTCTTCGCCTGCATCCTCGGGCTCATTGGCTGCGTGAACGAAGCCCTCCGAGGTCTTGATGGGCAATCGGGTGCGCTCGTTATCTTTTTTGTTCGCTTTGCGCGGGCGACGCTCGTAGTCTTGTTCGACGCCCCATTCGTCGGCACCGCTGTACAACTCAGCATCCTGAGATGCAGATGCCTCTTTGTCACCAGGAGGACTCAAGCGCCTCCGCTTCGCAGTCGGTCCGCGAGCCATTTTGTGGTTTTCGTGGTGTGTTTGGTTGCTGTTGAAGACTCGAAAGGCTTGCGGGCGGAAGGCGGACCAAACCTCAAAATTTTGCGCCAAGTATTTATCTGCCGGACATTTCTACACCGCCTATCTTTTTTTCCTGATGGAGATCAGGAACCGTCTCCGCAAGTCTCGATCGTGATCAAACCGAACCTTTCCCACCAAACCCCACTTTACGCCAGTCAAGATGCGTGAATTGACAGAGGAAGAAGCCAAAGTGTGAGTGAATTTTGCCTGGAGCGTTCAGCCAGCTCTCCCGAACCAGCAGCAGTCCAGCTAATACCATGGGTTAGGCTTTTCTCCAAGCTTGCCAACTACACTGGTCGATCCTTGAACAATCTGATTGCGCCTCCCGAGGGTGATCAGACTGAGCGCCACGTCTTCCGTCTCCAGGGTTCTCGCGTACGTCCAACTAATACTGGAAGAAGTTAGGGAGAGGAAATCTAATAACCGCTTAGGTGTACTATCTTCCTCTGCGGTTGGCCAACTATGCCACGAGTATTCCTCGCGCAAACCTGCTATCAGCAGGTACTATCATTGTGAGTCGATGCTATTGCACTCTTTGCTTTTCCATATCGTATACAAAGTACTGACAAATAGCAGGGTAAATTCACGAAGACAATGAAGTTCCGACTCCACATTACCGCGCTCTCGGTCATCGCTCCTCACAGTCGGTACAAGGTCTGGATCAAGGCGAACGGAGAGATGCCGTTCCTGTACGGTGGAAAGTGAGTTTACATGGTTTATTGGTTGTTAGTCAATTGCTAACCGCCAAATCAGCGTTTTGAAAGCTCATGCCGCTCGCTGGAGCGAGGACTGCCCGGAGCACAGCGGTGTTGTCGTTTACAGTATGAACGATGAGCCTCTCGGTTTTGGTGTCACTGCGCGCTCGACAGCTGAAGCCAAGAAGCTTGAGCCCACTGGAATCGTGGTCTTCCGCCAGGCCGATGCAGGCGAGTACCTGAGAGAGGTAAGAAAATACCCAATACTACAAACAAGATGGCACAGGATTGATTATGGGCGGTTGCTAATGTTTCACAGGAGGATTCCCTGTTCACCGCTTAAGAAGGGACGTTCAACGACTCGAATCTTGCATGTTGATATTGGCATACTCGATGTGGAAAATCAGGGAATGGAGTTTATGGAGTCATTTCTATCTTGTGAAAAGTGCTTTGTCTGCCTCGACTTTGGGGTTTATACCTGGACTCGGTTAGATCATTTGATGAATATTATTATTTCAATACATGTGCATACAGTCAATGTTTTACGCTTTGCCTGCTGAGTTTTGTCTATGTTGTTGTACTGTTTATAGGGGGTTTGATGCCGCGCATAGGTAGAGGTATACACCACATTATTCGACTTTTTCAAGTACTTTTGCGCCTGTCTCTGTGGAAATCTGGAATATTTTGTGTAGGTGGGCGACGGCTGGCGTACCAGGAATATATCTTCGAGGTCGGCCTTTACAGTTCGACACAACTTCACGAAGAGTATTCCTTGTGCAATATCTGGTCACACTTTTAATGAAAGTTCTTCAATTATTTATAGCAAAAACCATCAAGTTCAGTCCCCTAGCTCGCCTTAACCTGGATGCATCCCCGCCATACATCGAACAATTTGTGCCTTAGGCATAAATGCTGAGTCAACAATTTCCCGCTGCGGGCAATCGCGATAAGCCTGGCCATAAGCTGCCTGCCGTCACATCATTGAGTGTACTTCTGCTTAAAAGACCAGCCACCGTCTCAAACATCTCGTCTTCGCCCTTCATCTACATTTACCCGAACACACCATACCCGAACTTGCTACTCATACCCACCACCCTAGCTCAGCTCACACAGCGGGGCCCAATATCACACCCCCACCATGCCACCCTACACAGCTGCGCAGAAGCAGACCATCGCGCAATTTTCGGCTCTGACTGATGCTAAGGAGACTATCGCTACCAAGGTATGTATCTTTGCCCCCCGCTTGTGGAACCGACTGCCAGGGGGTGCGCAAGACGAGATGTGCGGCTGGTTGTTGTCGCGTGAGCTTTGACTGATGAGGTTATAGTTCCTGAAGGGAGCGTCATGGAACCTTGAACGGGCTGTTGATGCGTGAGTTTCTCCCTATTTCACTGTTATGATGCTTTTCTGGCCCGTTCATACATCGAGTGTGTTGTTGTGCGTGCTTTGGCCTCGAGAGCTTATCCCGTGTGCTGGTCCGTCTGGCTGCATCTCGTCACTTGGGAGAAATACATGGCTTCGCGGGCTTCACTTGGCTAATGCCATCTGCAAGCCACACTACCTATCTGAGTGTATCATTGACAGCCCACGAATTCCATACAAGATATCCGCAAAAGCACTGTAGCAGCTCAACCAAGCTACATACAGCACGACATCAACATCAACACGCATTTGAGACACTCTAACACCTCTTCATATACACAGATACTATGCTAGCCCCCAGTCCAATATCGGCACACCAATCTTGCAGTCAATTGGCAACATCTTCGATGAGTACCGAGGTACATTCCATTCCACCCTCCAATGCATCAAAGATACTGACTGATATCTTCTATCTAGTCAATGACAACCCCAATACCATCGGTATTGATGGCGCCATGAAGTACTTCAAAGATATCAACGTCCAACTAGACGAAGTTACCTGTCTCGGAATCATGGAACTATGCAAGTGCCCAGCCATGGGCGAATTTACCCGCGAAGAGTTCATTACCGGCTGGAGATCAGTACAGTCAGTAACACCCCCTCTCCAAACTCCGCAAACCAACCGGAGAACCTCCCTCCCCACATATCTCAATCCCAATTCCAATCCAAACACCCTCCGAAAGAAATCCCAAAAGAATGGCCTATACTAACTACCCTCCAGATGCGACTCCATCTCCAAAATGACCACCTACGCCGCCACCCTCCGCTCCCAAATCCCCACAACCCCAGACCTCTACCGCCGCACCTACCGCTACGCCTTCCCCATCTGCCGCATGCCGGGCCAACGCAACCTACCCTTCGACCTCGCCGCCGAACAATGGCGCCTCTTCTTCACCCCCGACCGCGGCGGCATCCCCTGGAGCACGGCCAGCACCCCCTGGCTCGAGTGGTGGCTCGAGTTCCTGGAGGGACGGGGCAAGAAGCCCATCAACAAGGATCTGTGGGAGCAGGTGGAGGTGTTTATGCGGAAGACTGTGGAGGATGAGACGTTTGGGTGGTGGAGTGTTGATGGGGCGTGGCCTGGGGCGTTGGATGATTTTGTGGGTTATGTTCAGGCGAAGAGGGAAGGGAGTGCTATGGAGCTTTGAAGGTGGTGTGTTGAGTGGGATAGGATAGATGGGGGCGTTGGCTAGTTTCAGATGCTGGTAATACGGCCTTCTGTCTATGTGGAAGGGGAAGAAAGGCTTGGGTTGCTAGGCGAGAAACTAGAAACTACATACGCAGAGACATTAGAGCTTCATGGATACAACAAGCCCAAGATACCAAACGACTCGTATTTTCATTCTACTGTAAATCCATCCCTACCCCAGTTTCTAGTTAAAAGGAAAAAGAAGCTACATGGGATGCACTTGAGAAATCCAGCATATATACCTCGTCTCTGGAAATTAGAGAAACAAGTCTTTGTCTTCTTTGTATATGGGAAGGGGGCATTCGTCGTAAGATTGGGGGAAAATAAACATCAAGGAAGAAAGATATCGGGGTGCATACAAGGTATGCACAAAGTGTGTACATGGATGGAGGGGGTCTCAACACCGAGGATCAAAGAGATACAAAAGAGAACGGGTTATCGGGTAAATTCCTGCGGATAGGATTGTCGGGGCGGATCGTCGCGGAGGTTGGTGCGTTTCTCAACGCTCGTTGTAGGTAGTGTGTTCCTTCGCTGTATGCCCGGTGTTGCCATCTGCAGTTCGCAAACTCGGTCCCATTTAAGGGTAGTCGCGCTTCTCGTACTCGCCACCGGGGCCGCGGCGCTGGTCGTAGCGCTGCAGGTCGTTGTTAGTATATAACGCGCCATGTCAACGCAATTTTCATGGCACATACCTTCCGCAGAGCCTCGAGGCGCTTCTTCTTGGTGTGGGTGTTGACATAGGTTCCGATGAAGAAACCGATGATGTTGAAGAAGGGCACCCAGGTGTGCTCGGGCAGGAACTTCTGAGCAAAGGCCAGAGCCAGCGGAGAGGTGATCCAGCTGACCTTCATGACGGGCAGGAAGCCCGCCTTGACGGTGGCGCGAACCTGGTGGAAGTTGCGCGCGCCCGCAATGACGGCCATCGAGGACAGGTAGACACTGTTCTGGATGGGGGAGATCTGCGACAAGACAAGGGGTAACGGATTAGCATGCGCCGGATGAGGGGGAAGACGCAATTGGTGAGACGTACGATCAGGTTGCTGACGAGGATCTGGAGGATCTTGGCCTTCAAGCTGGTGCGACCAGCAAAGATCTTCTGAAGGATGCCGATGAGGACATGGCCCAGGGGCGCGGCGACGAACATGCCGTACAGCGACATCTTGGGGATGCGCGAGCTGAAGTAGTGGCCGTGCTTGCCGACATCATGAGCGAGCCACGAGGCCAGCAGCTCCTGCAGACCGGAGAGCACACCGGAGGTGAGCATCTTGGTGCGCAGCGGGTTGTGCTGCAGCTGCTTGAGGTAGGCCTGCGACGATCCATTCCTCGGAATTAGCTTTTGGGCCATGCTCTTGTTTCCGATTCGCGATCGCGATCAACCATCGACCTTTTCTTCGGAGCTGCTCTACATACCTGGAGATAGCCGGTCTGGGTCTTTCCACCGGTCAATCGCTCACCGACGCGGTGCGCGAGGTCTTCGGGCTTGCCGCCCGTGACGGTGCGGACGGTCTCCTCTTGGAACTTGACAGACATGGTGAATGTGGAATGGAATGGTCGGGCCGAGAGGCGATGGCGATGGGGATTAGGTAGGAATTGCGAGAGCGCCTGCGAGTGGAGGAGGAAATCGGGTCAATTAAAATCGGCGACACAAAGGCGGCAAGACGACCGCGACGAAAATCACCGGTGATATCGCGTGGGAATAGTGAATGGAGTGAGTGTGTGGGGGAGGAAACAGGGGAAGATGGGAGGGGATTAATTGGGGGGAGGGGAGGGACGTGTTTGTTTATGAAGGCCCGAGGGAGTTTGGACTTTGGAGAGGCTGGGGCTGAACGGGTAAGAGACAACCGAGGCCTCGGGGCAACGTACAACGTAGGGGAGATCAATAGAGGATGCTGTATGGAATTATGCCACCGGAGGAGAAAAGGGAAAAGGCACGACTCAAAACAGCAGATGGACCCGAGTCGTTCAGAAGAATGTCCAGAAGGTCCAGAACTGGGGAGAAGGGGGGGGATCAAGGCCGTGTATTAAGAGAAGCGGTCTCGAGAGTCGGCAAATGGCCATCAGCGAGGGTTTGGTTGAGAGACTGGAGACGGGGCTGGTCCTCCGGCGAGATCCATCGTTCCATTGGCGGAGCTCATCGGAACCCTCCGACTCCCGCGATTTGGGGAGGAGCATACCGAGTACAGTAGTAGGCGGGAAGAGATGGTTGATGATGCACTGTATTAATATCAATAATATCAATAATATCAATTTACGACCTGGAGAGCTAAATGGCTCAATTCCCCCCTGAAAGACTTGAAATCCTGCGGAGATATCCTTCCAGGACTTCTAGTATGGCCATCCCGCAAATAGGGCCATAGCCGACAAACCAACTGGCCAGAAGATGATTCTTCCGAGGCTTTTTTTCTCCGCAAATCGTCTTTTTTGCCGTTCAACGGGGGTTCCCCACATTCTCAACCTTGATAATTCTACATCCTAGCTGGGTTGAAATCTAGAATAATTCCATGTTTCACGTGATCTCCTTCTATATGGCCAATACTTAGTTGCTTGTTACTGTGCACATACACTCCTTCTCGGCCAAGGTCGATTCGGCAAGAGACTCCGAGCCATCAAGCCACACTCAGTTCTACACTGAGCGAGATCGACCTCAATCTCTGGTACAAACAAGAACCACGGTCAGAATACCAAACGTATGACTTTGAATGCATAACAGTAACAAAGAAGATGGCCCAGCAAGTTATTGAGAAAGCCACTCGGCACTTGTAGTTGGGTCATACTCCTGGAGGCTGAGCATATGTAACAAGTGCCATCAATTTAGATTCTCTGGCTTTGATGAGCCTCGTACCCTGTATTAGCAAATGAGAAGCAAAAGGGGGAACAGAGATATGCACACACATACAATGGCGATGAGAGTTAAAGGGAGGGAACGGGCGTAGGTCTCAATGCATTGTGAGTGAGAGAGAGACGGTCCAAACAGTAAGACAATGGCAAGCATACTGGTCAACCTCACTGAATCTTCCTTCTCAATCCTCCTCTCTTCTCTATTTCGCATCACCCTCTCCTTCATCTGTATCAACTTCCCTGCATCTGACGGTCCTCCTGCTGAGCCCATATCCGGACACATTTCTTCACCTTGTCAACTCGTTCCTAATTACACTTCGTCGACAGTCTCTCATCAACTTCGAGCGAGCCCAATCCTGGTGAGAGATGATGGATCACCACCTCCAAATCAACCCGGTCGACGAAGACTGGCCCCCGGGAACTTTCGACTTTGGGTTTGATGACAACATCCTCGAACTTATCGAAGAGTTGATCGAAAAAAGGCCAGACTTGGAGGACATCCTCAACTCTGATGAACCAATCAGCATCCTGCCACGACCGGTTTACACACCAGGGAGTCCAGAGGATACCCGAGAGAAGCGCTACACCCCACGGACAGGGCCATGGTGCGGCCACGAGACCATCCTGCGCAGCTGGGCCTCAGCTACCCCCTCCAAGTGCCAGGACTGTGGACATACCGCTCGATGGCTCTGGGCATGTACTGCAGACACGCCAGACCATTCACCTTTTGTTCCTAACCCCGAGCCCATCACCCGCGATGTCAGTATTCTCGCACCGTGGATGCAGCAGGCCATCGCCAAGGGCGAATACAGCGATGCCCAGGTCGAGAAGATGTTGGACCAGAAGGTCAACGTGCTGGAGCAAGCGGCTTCAGAACGACGCCGGGTCGCCCAGCAAGAGCGAAAAGAACCCACTGGGAGTCCGGACGTAGTGGGCGTATCGCCGCCACCGGCAAGCGACAGCCAACAGCAACCAGTCCACCCTGACGAGAGCGCTTCCGACAAGGTCGTCACTCCCATTCCACCAGAGACACACACCCGCGCCATAAGTTGTCGAATGCTCGCATGCCCAAATTGCAAACCTCGTTTCCTCGAACACGCCTGGGGACGACTCAACGCCATCGTCAACGAGCCATACGTCGCACCGCCTCAGATCCCAGAATACCTGGACCGACGAATCTCAGATGCGGCAACACTGCAATCGATGCACGAGCACTGCCGAAGCTGGAACTGGAATTCCGACTTCCAAGAGTGGTGGGACAAGGTTCGGGTGGCCGGCGGGTACGATATCCTCCCTATGCTTTTGATGGCTGAGACGATACGCTCTAACCAGGCGGATTTCATCGAATTTGTAGGCCATATGGTGCTCTGCTGCCGCATAACATACAGCCAGATGTGCCAGTGCCTCTACCTGATAAACCCCCAGGCGTTTACAAGACTCGTCCCGTTTCTCGGCGCCGACGTGTGCATTATCCGATGCCTTCACTCGGCGCCAGTTGTGGAGGTCGACTCCCAGCCTGAAAAGGAGGACTGAGCAAACCAGTTACCTCATGGGAATTGACCATTTAGTGAGGGATCGTCAGCTTTGTTCAGTTGAGATGGCACCCATGGCGATACACTACTTCTGAGCATGCTTCAAGCAAGGGGTTATTCGCAAGCGGAGCATGCTATAGCCGCTTAGCCATCGATTTTGGCGAATGGAGAGAGAACGAGATGAACAGGATTGCCCTCATCCAGAATTGGCTGGAGTGCGAAGCGCTGTAACCGTCAAAAGGAGGAAAGATACGGAATGGTGGAGATGTGGAGATGTCAACGGGTGGCTGCAAAGGGACACCTTCCATTATTACGAAGATCACTGGCGCCCGCGGGAGCCGAGTCAACGACAATGATGAAAATAAAGAAAACTCCTGTCAAACAACGGTCCCATCAAGCGACACGAGTTGTGTATCAAAAAATGAGCCAATAGCATTCGTCCGCAGTCCACGACAACACGTTCCGACGATAAATCGCCGGCGGGCAATGAAAGTGGACCCGCGCGAAAGGCGGCCGAACGAGGCAGTCCCAACCTTCTCCTCGTGCGGCCGCTCGGAGCCTCGGAGCCTCGGTCCTTTTCCGCGAGTCCAAGCAACGCGGGTTCCGTCTGCTGCTAGTGACATATGTTGGGTTTCGTCTCCTGATCTCTTCAAGCAAAAAAAGTCGCTCCTTTACATTCTCACGCCCATCACATATCCTCCGACAATGTCAGACCCTGAGCATCCTCCCGACATCTCCAAAGAAGCAGCGGATCACGTTCAGCATGTGGGGAAGAGTCCGATCACCGCGGGGAAATTGGCAACACAGCAACAAATGATGGCCGCGTTGACGGCGACAGACATAACCATCCGCCGTTTAGATCTGTAAGTAGATTATTACTTGCGTAGAACTGACCATCTGCGCATCCACTGCTATTCCGCCTCGCCCATGACGTGAATATCCTAGCTGACCGACTGTCCAGTATCCTATCCACAGCCGCCGGGCAAGAAAGAATTCTAGCGACGGTAAACTACGTCGCGTCAATCCTCCAACATGTCTGCGCATCAACCCCCTGGAAAGCCTTCCAAACACGCCTCCTCCTCCTCGCCCGAATCAAAGCCCGCTCCGCATCACCAACCAGCAAAACCGCTCCGTCTGGCTCAAAATGGGCAGCCCTATCTTCACTCGCCTCAGAAACCCGATACAATATTCGCCTATTCGGGCTCCTCCCACTATGGATCTGGGGCTCCGATACGCTCAAAAATCCACCAACAGACCCCATAATCCACGCCCTGACAATACTCCAGGTCGTCTCGAACGTGATCTACCAACTCCTCGAGAACGTAGCCTACCTCGCCTCCAAGAACGTCCTCCCAAAGCGCTTCGTCGACAAGTACGGCGGCATCGACAAATGGTACATCTGGAGCACCCGCGGCTGGTTCGGCCACATCTTCTTCGAATTCTTCGTGCTATGGCGACAGCACATCCTCCGCAAGCGACGTCTCGCCGCACAGCGCGAAGCCGCCGACACCCTCGAGACCAAGGAGGACATCAAAGCGGCGGAGAAAGAGGCGCTGCGCCTTGAGATCCGCTCCTGGCGCAAGAGTCTCGTTAACAATACCATCTGGGCGCCGTTGTGCTTGCACTGGTGCTTGGAGAAGGGGATTGGGATTCCGGAGAGTCTGACGGGATTGATTAGTTTCATGGCTGGGGCGTGGAGTCTACATGATCAGTGGGCTGATACGGCGAAGATGTAGATGTGACAGCATTTTTCATGATTCCATTCTTTTCGTTTAGACCTGCTTTTTTCTTCTTTGGGGTTAGATATACCATTCTGTTTTTAAGATCTCAATGAGGACAATTTGGGTTCAATCTGATCGTGTGCGTAAATGAGCTTTGTAGTTCAACCACGTTGCTAATGCCCGTTGGAAATCTACGCGTAGCATCGTGCTCTTATCTCTCTATAGTACAAGTCCATAAAGTCGAATTTCATCGCAACAGCTCCTGGATCCGCAGAAAGCATTTGCATCGCTGTTGAAATCTTATGTGCCTCACGATATCTTTCACTCTCAACAAGGTGATCCACGACCCACACAACAATAGAACTTCAAACTACTCAGGATCCACATCAGCTTAAACAAACAAATCGCAACAATCCCTCGCAAGGACTTTACTAAATCCACACACAAAATGCGTCGAACTCGAACGGCAGGAGATTGCGTCCGGGGCGTCCCGCATTATCGGTGTGGGGACTAGCTAGCGGGCTGCGGATGTGCCAATGTGGAGAGGGTGGCGGTTGAAACGGGTATGTTGACGCGATAAGGCAGGTCGTTGAACTTTTGATGGAGTGGCTTTTTTGGGGGTCGGTAACGTAATAGATTGGGTTTGGTCTTGCTTATTGAGATGGGACTTGGAAATTTGTGTTTGGGGGTTTCGCTTGTGCTTGTAAATGGAGAGAATAATGACATCTGTGAGAGTGAGATTCTAGTTATGCTGTTTGCATTTAGATGGTTTATGTTACAACCTGGACGCCCGGACCCGCTAATCGAGCAAGCCAAAAGACCAAATATTTATGTCAGAACGCTCTGTCAAAACGCTAACTATGTTCTGACATGTCTGACATGATCGGGGCCGGTATAAGTAGCGCACATAACGTTAGGAGGGCCAGTAATAGCTGTCTGATACTGAATGGCTGCATTTGATTGACGGGGCGACATTGATTTCTATCAAACAGGACATAAATAGCTGTCTTTTTCATTCCAGCTTTGACCGACTCTTTTTCCGTACAGAGCTATCTTAGCTGGGCGCGAGTCAAATCGTAACAACAAACTTCAGCCCAAATACAATTCTCTAGCTCTTCAGTTCGTGTATCAGAGAACCCCTTTGCCAGGCGGTATGCAAAATTTTCGGTACTACTGTAGAAGAAGCTAGTGAGAGGTATAGGGGATATCGGGATGTGGCCAGTATGGCAATGAGTCCATCAACAGATCCTGACTACACAAATGCGCTAGTATCAACAAGAAACAAGCGCTTATTATGGCCTGCGCTCGATTTGCATTTGGCCCGCCTCCAAATACACGAGAACTGGTTCGTATTCAGAAAAAGTATTTCGTTTCTCCCAGGTTGAACACTAGTATAGCTCTCAACTATAGCTGGGTAATTTGAAAGCTCGGACGATCCAAAAACGCGAAAGATTGTGAGGTCAAGGGTATCATCGTAGTCCACCAAGTCCTCATGTGTTTTGTCGAACTCAATAATCGGTTCCCAAGAAAATCACTGTATTAAATACGGTGGCTGTGTGTCTGCATCATAAAGCACTTGGCCCAGTCCACCTGGTTATGACAAAAAAAAAAGACAGAAGGTCTAAAGTATACTCAAAAGGCTGGAGAGAGTCAACAAGGAAGGTGATCAAGACACCGTGTAAATGAATTTAAGATCTGCTACAAAAGTCAACTTCGGTGCAGAGATATACGAGAACTATCCTGGAATACAATGAATAATCTGCATAGTAGGAGAGTATGGGTCTCGCAGAGGTACCAAATCAAGTACAGTATATAACGCGTGGAAGCACCCCGTGGACCAATCTGACAGACAATAGGGGGGTCGTGGGCCCTTTTATAATCAAGTAAACACAGGATATATACCGCATCGCGAATGACTAGTTGGTTGCAGTCATTCGCACTCTCCACTGAGTCGAAAAGAGCCTAGAGGCCCCAGACTCTAACTCACTGCTACAGTATGAAGCGCTAGCTCAATTTGAGCCTCCTCGTCGCCTTGGTGATCTGACAAGATCTCCGCGGCTAAACCCTCTTGAGCGACAGTTCAGATACCCCAGGCGCTCAGGCGCTCAGGCGCACAGGCATTCAGGCACTCAGGCATCAGCCAAATCGACCAACTTCCATCAGATTCGCCGGTGGCGATCGGCCAGCTGACCTAATCCAAAGAGCTTAGGTCATCACATATCGTCACTCACTGCCTCTACTGGTACCTGGGAAGCTCAAACACCTCACCTCTCACATCTCCTCCACCGTCAGGCTCGCTCGCTGATCTGCCGGTTATCCCTTTCTCCATCTCCCTCATCACTCCTATCCGTTTCGTTTCTCTTTTTCATCCACTCGAGCTGATCTGCTCGTTTGTGGCCACCTAAACCCTTCCCGTTTCCCAAGCTCGGTTCCCATCAACGTCACAACCTCAGATCCTTCATCATGTCTGCGGAGCCGGATCACACCCACGACAAGAAGAGGGTCAACCTCCAGTATGTTCATTGCCGCGAGAACTGTAATCGATGGATTTGCGCTAACTAATGACCTTACAGGGACGCCTCTGGCGCCGAGAAGAAGGAAGTCAGTTGAAAGCCCAACCAACACCAATCCAACTTTCCCAGGCTGCAAATAGCTAACCCAGCGTCAACAGGAGCTCGACACTGCTACTGCCATCCTTAAGAAGAAGAAGAAGCCCAACTCGTTGATGTAAGGGACCTCCCCAGTTGAGCAACACGCCCTTTGATGGAGAGACGGAAGTTGACAGCTCATCCATTACAGCGTGACCGATTCCGTCAACGATGACAACTCCGTTATTGCTCTCTCCAACAACACCATGGAAACCCTCCAGCTCTTCCGGGGAGACACAGTTCTGGTCAAGGGCAAGAAGCGCAAGGACACTGTGCTGATTGTCTTGGCCGATGATGATCTCGATGATGGCAGTGCCCGCATCAACCGTGTTGTGCGCCACAACCTCCGTGTGAAGCACGGCGACATCATTACCGTCCACCCTTGCCCCGATATTAAATATGTACGTTTATAACTGCTTGGGAAGAGCTCATACTATGCATTCTCTTTTGCTTCGACAAAGGAAACATTGGCTAACATACTTTCTTCGCCAATTTAGGCTAAGCGCATTGCTGTGCTCCCAATTGCTGATACCATCGAGGGCCTGACCGGCTCTCTCTTCGACGTCTACCTTGCACCCTACTTCCGCGAAGCCTACCGTCCCTTGAGGATCGGAGATACATTCACCGTTCGAGGTGGTATGCGACAGGTAGAGTTCAAGGTGGTGGAAGTCGACCCCCCAGAGTACGGCATCGTTGCACAGGACACAGTTATTCATTGCGAGGGCGAGCCCATCCAACGAGAGGATGAGGAGGGCAACCTGAACGAGGTTGGCTACGACGATATCGGTGGTTGCCGGAAACAGATGGCTCAGATCCGTGAACTGGTCGAGTTGCCTCTCCGCCACCCTCAACTCTTCAAGTCTATCGGTATTAAGCCTCCCCGTGGTATCCTCATGTACGGTCCTCCCGGTACTGGTAAGACCCTGATGGCCCGTGCCGTCGCCAACGAGACCGGCGCCTTCTTCTTCCTCATCAATGGTCCCGAGATCATGTCCAAGATGGCTGGTGAGTCTGAGTCCAACCTCCGCAAGGCTTTCGAGGAGGCCGAGAAGAACTCTCCCGCCATCATCTTCATTGATGAGATCGACTCTATCGCCCCCAAGCGTGACAAGACCAACGGTGAGGTCGAGCGCCGTGTTGTTTCCCAGCTTTTGACCCTCATGGACGGCATGAAGGCCCGTTCCAACGTTGTTGTTATGGCCGCCACCAACCGTCCCAACTCCATTGACCCTGCTCTTCGTCGTTTCGGCCGCTTCGACCGTGAGGTCGACATTGGTATTCCCGACCCCACTGGCCGTCTGGAGATCATGCAGATCCACACCAAGAACATGAAGCTGGGTGACGATGTCGACCTGGAGACCATTGCTGCCGAGACCCACGGTTACGTCGGTTCCGATCTGGCCTCCCTGTGCTCTGAGGCTGCTATGCAGCAGATCCGTGAGAAGATGGATCTGATCGACCTTGATGAGGACACCATTGATGCCGAGGTTCTCGACTCCCTGGGTGTTACCATGGAGAACTTCCGCTACGCCCTGGGCGTCTCCAATCCCTCTGCTCTCCGCGAGGTTGCCGTTGTCGAGGTCCCCAACGTTCGCTGGGACGATATCGGTGGTCTCGAGGAGGTCAAGCGCGAGCTTATCGAGTCCGTTCAGTACCCCGTGGACCACCCCGAGAAGTTCCAGAAGTTTGGTCTCTCGCCTTCTCGCGGTGTCCTCTTCTATGGTCCTCCTGGTACTGGTAAGACCCTGTTGGCCAAGGCTGTCGCCAACGAGTGCGCTGCCAACTTCATCTCCATCAAGGGCCCCGAGCTTCTGAGCATGTGGTTCGGTGAGTCTGAGAGCAACATCCGTGACATCTTCGACAAGGCTCGCGCCGCTGCCCCTTGCGTTGTCTTCCTGGACGAGCTGGACTCTATCGCCAAGTCTCGTGGTGGTTCTCAGGGTGATGCCGGTGGTGCTTCTGACCGTGTCGTCAACCAGCTTCTGACTGGTAAGTTTTTCCTGATTACCTACTAGATTGTAGATCATCGTCGAACGTGTACTAATTGTAATTACAGAGATGGATGGTATGACCTCCAAGAAGAACGTTTTCGTCATTGGTGCTACCAACCGTCCCGAACAATTGGACGCTGCCCTGGTCCGCCCGGGTCGTCTTGACACATTGGTCTACGTGCCTCTGCCCGACCAGGAGTCCCGCGAGTCTATCCTCAAGGCTCAGCTGCGCAAGACCCCTGTCGCTTCCGATGTCGACTTGGCCTTCATCGCCAGCAAGACCCACGGCTTCTCCGGTGCGGATCTTGGCTTCGTGACCCAGCGTGCCGTCAAGCTCGCCATCAAGGAGTCCATTTCCCTCGACATTGAGCGCACTCGTGCCCGCGAGGCCGCTGGTGAGGATGTCACCATGGGAGAGGGCGAGGTTGAGGAGGAGGACCCTGTCCCCGAGCTGACCCGCGCCCACTTCGAGGAGGCCATGAAGACCGCTCGTCGCTCAGTCAACGATGTCGAGATCCGCCGCTACGAGGCTTTCGCCCAGAGCCTGAAGAACTCTGGTGGTAGCAGCTTCTTCCGCTTCCCGTCCGCCGGTGAGATTCAGAACAACGAGACCTTCGGTGAAGCCGGTAATGATGACAGCCTCTACGACTAAACGGGTTCTTGATATCCTCCACTCTGGTTTGCTTTGAGGAGCGGACTGCCAGGTCCTTTTCTTTCACGTGTTCTTTCTCGCCCTTGTCCTCATACAGTGTGCCATAATACTCATCCAAGAGAAATCTTTTATGTTGATCAGTTTTTGCCTTGCCTAGATAGTTGTCAGTAGTGTTTTCAAACTAGTAGTGCGTAGCATACATCCTCTATTGAGGCATGTTGATTTAAGATCCATCACTGCACATTATCTACAGCTAGGCCTGAGGCCCTAATTGGACTAGGTCTAGCATTTTCTTGTTCCGTCGGTAGCGCTAATTAGGATCACCTAGACGTATTGAATTGAGGCTTCTTTGGATACGAGAGTCTTCTTTCTATGAGAATACGTTCTAGGACTACTGGGATACTCGATCTTGTATGTAAGGTGTCCATTAGGTCTATAAAATATGCCCATAAGCTCTAAGTCATGAGATGAATGCAGCGCCAAAAATCAAAAGAACAAAACCAACGCCAACTGTGCAGGGAGGTGACAAATATCAACATATGTTAGTCATCGTCGAGGGGAATGCCCCATATACATGAGGCTCAAACTTTAGAATTTGGGGGTGAACCGACTCATAGCGCGAATCTTAGCACCATAGAAGAAGAACAAGATGGGGATAGGAATCATCGCAATAGTAATGAAACCCAAGACACTAGATGCCCAGTTGACACCAAGATTGGTATACATCTGGGTAGCAAAGAGCGGGAAAGCACCACCCAGCGCAGACCGAACCAGGGTATTCGCCGCAATAGCGGAGTTGGCAAACATCATGTACACGTCAATGATGTAGTTGAGACCCTGCATGAAAATAACCAGGATACCCATGCCAATAGGCACGCCAGCAATAACCTGCGGCGCCCAGTGGATATTCGGGTCCGAAGTCCAGCCGAACCAGAACAGGCCGATGGGCAGCAGGACGGAGGCGATTATCATAGGCACGAGACGTTCCTCGGGGACGACCTTGCCGTGCTTGGCGAGTTTACGGGCGAACCGGGTCTTGGTGGTGTAGATGATCAAGGCAGCGCCGCAGAGGACACCGATCATGATGCCGATGAAGGGGAGGGCGGCGACGCCGAGGCTCTTCCAGCCGCGGACTTCGTTGAAGGAGATCGGGTAGGCTTCGAAGAAGAGGTAGAGGATGCCGTAGACGAGGGCGAGGTAGATGGTCATGCAGATGAGGATGGGTTCCATGGCGAGCATCTGGAACGGACGGAGGAGGTATTTCTGGCCGATCTCAGCGAGGGTGGGCTCGTGTTCGTCTAGGAAGGAGTGTAGGGCCCAGTTTTTGGTCTCGCGGCGGAGGCGGGCTGCTCGTTGCTGCAGGAGCTTGGGGGAGTATGTCTCTGGTACGACGATGAGGGCGAGCAGGCCGAAGAAGGAAGATGCGATTAGGGTGATCCAGGCGGTCCAGCGCCAGCCTAGGTAGGAGTCTGTGATGAAGCCGCCGACGATAGGGCCGAGGACGGGTCCGAGGAAGGTTGCGCTGCTGAACATGGCAATAGCCACAGCACGGTCGACAGGGTTCCAGATATCCGCCATTGCACCGCCGACGACGGCGAGAGGGGAGCAGCCAAAGACGCCGACGAGGAATCGGCAGATCATGATGGTCTGCAGGTTCTGAGCGACGGCCACGGGAATCTGGAAGATGGCGAAGACGGCATAGCCTGAGAACAGTGGCAGACGGCGTCCGTAAAGCTCACTGACTGGAGCCCAGAAGAGAGGGCCCAAGGCGAAACCGAAGACGGTCAAACTCGTGCCTAGCACCATCACCTCAGTGGAAACGTTAAACTCCTTTGCGGTCACCACGGTGGCCGTTGAGAAGACGCTGCTTGCAAAGGTGATCCACATGGTCATCAAGGACATGACAACGGTGATCACCCACTTGCGGCGGCGAGAGAAGTTCTGCGGATTCTCGGGGTCGTCAGGGCCATCCCATTCCACAAGGTTGGGATCTTTCTCGGTAGGCTTCTCTGGTAGTGGTTGGTTCTGTGCGCTCTCGACATCGGTCTCGTTGTCATTGTCATTCTCCTCTAGGGGTGATTGAGAAATCTCCTTGGTGATGGCATCGGCATCCACATAGGGCTCGTTGACAGGCTCGCGGTGCTCCATGCTGAGGCGAGGTGTTGTCGTCGTTGAATCAAATGTTCGACTGGTAGTCATCTTGTAGCACAAGCCTTGTAGGCTATGGCAGAGTAGTATTGAACGGGGATATCGTTGGCAAGTAACTGAAGGTAGATTGAGAGAACTCTGTAGTAGGTGCTATATCAAACACTCTAGCTCCACACAGATCTCAATAGACTCGATCTGAATAAACTGTGATCTGAAAACAGAAAGCCCCTCGACACAGTGGGCATGGGACAGACTTTAAGCGCCATGGCGACTGCCTTCCCTCGTGGGCCTTCCATCAGAACCATGTTCGGAGCTAACAGAAACAGGAAACACGGAGACAAGTCGAGATACAGAAAGCCTCGTGGATGGACCCATCAAGTGGACTGGAACCATCACTCATCAGGTCTTCAAGCTCCACTTCTGCTGGGTGTATCCGTTGACGAACTAGTTTAGTTAAGTCCGAAGACGCGACAGAGCGAAGCGCAAGGATGATTAGTATTCCAGGCTTCCCAGCACTGGGCTGTGTGCCGGTCTTCCGATATATCGGGGCCAAGATCTGGTCTGATATGGAGTGCACGTTGCAGCTAGAACAACGTGGTGGGCTTGAGGCTCGCCTGCAATTGGCACATTAGTCAGAACTCAACTCGTTTGAGAGGGGATAGGGCTTTGCATAGTGAGGATGTCGAATTATGTCGTTGCTACGACATGCGAGGGGGAAAAAGCCCCCCGAAAAATGAATTTAAAAAATGACATGCTGGATGGCTATTGGTGAAAGGAGGTTCCCATCCTCGGCCTGTCCATCCTCGGGGTCGGTCTTCGGTGGGCCCGAATGGCCGAGTGGAGCGACTCGGCAGATGCCGTCTGCCAGGCTTCCGAGTACTTTTAGCACGTTACAGCCTTGAGAATGGGTTTGGATTGAGATGGTACGATCGATGATTTAATGATTAGAATATCTATGTTATGCTACCCTATGCAGGGCGTGATTCCATGACTCACATAGCCTTGGGTCCATACATATGTCCGATGATGGGTCGCGCCGACACTACTGTAGTAAGCACGTAGTTTGGGGTCCATGTCGCGGGGTTAAGCACAGTGAGCATCTTATTCTCCGGGATAGATAACAATATCACAGTCCTAGAGAGGACAGTATTTTCGATTTCCAATAATCTTGTCTGCATGACCAACCGTCATTCGAGAAATGACGCAATCTATCTTCCAGGTCTCATCATATACTTGTTCGTGGTACTTCCATCTCTGACCGTAATCCCATCTTAACCAAGACATATGATACATCTCATGATCATTTGGACTTGTCTTTCTTCCTGCCATCAGGACCTCTGGTAAGCCTCACAGTGCTGACAATATTTTTATGTCCAGCATACTACCTGCTTGGTTGGTCCTCTTAACTCCTAGCTCCATTAGCTGGTTCTCACTAATTCCAGCCACAACGCAAAATAATAAGCACCGATAAAGCCTGACTGGTTATTTGAATTGATACTATGTTAGAATATGTGTAGTGAGACTATTGAGCAAGTACTCGGAGGAAAGATGGGCAACACAATGGGGGCAGTAGAAAAGCATGACCGAGGCTTCAGCAAAAGAAAGATTCAATTGATGTCGATGAATCAAATGTTGCTCGTCCAATCTTCTATTACCAGAAAAAATTAACCTATAGTCAATAGAGATTGAACGATACTAATGTAAAGTACTGATTCTGGCTGTCTAGTACTGAGAACTATGGACGCCGGGGTTCCAGAAGTTTGCAACACCCAGGAAAGTCATCTCATCAGCCATACTTTGAAAGGCAAGTTGAGGAATAATTTCCAGACTATCTAGAAAGATGGTTCAAGAAAATTGAGAAAGATCTGTTCAAAACATAAAGTTGAAGCGTATTTAGATGGTCTTTTTCTTGGTCCCAGGTTTCAGACTTTAACCTCGGAAGTATACAGCTAGGCGAGTACCAGGAGGGATAACGTGGCTTAATCTAACTATCTTGCAGTGAAATGCGAGACAGATGTTTGATGGTCTATGACAAGCTTGATTATTATCCCATTTCCAAACTTCAAGCATCTTCTCTCAATTGCAATTCAAGTTGATCCCAAAGCTCTCCATCAACCCATCTTTTTGTAGTGCGGACGCGATCCCGTGCGACGCGTCGGCGGGCGGTCAACCTCCACTCTCCACCCTTTTTGCACCGCGTCAACTCTCTCACCTCCCTCAAGTGTCCCATGTGAGCGCGGACGTCATCATGCCTTCGCGCACTCGCAAAGGTCCTGCCGATGAGGCCGAGGAGGAGACTGGCCTTCGCAGCTTGTCCTTCAATCAGCCGCTCTCCTGGCGCGTGGGGCGCTCCGCCATCCCCATCGCCGATCTCCTCGAACGTCTACAGACCCTCGCCCAGGAACTTCGCAAACTCGAACAGGAGGAAATTGACAAGGAATCTCTGACCAAGGTCTCCCAAGAGCTCGCCAGTGCTCATTTGCTAGCGCATAAGGACAGGGGTGTGAGGGCATGGGCTACCTGTTGCATTGTCGATGTCTTGCGGCTTTGCGCGCCGGACGCGCCCTTCACGAGGAATCAGCTCAAGGTGCGCGCTCAGTCAGACAATTGCAAATTGGAATAAAGTGGCTTTTATGATGGCATGAACGTGGAGCTGACACTCTATTCTCACCCCTAGGATATCTTCACCTGTGTGGTCACGTCCATCATCCCCGCACTGGCTGATCCATCCAACGCCTACAATGCGCAGCATATCTACGTCTTGGGCTCGCTCGCCGAGGTCAAGAGTATCGTTCTCATGACGGATCTTGATCATCCCGACTCGCTCATCGTTCCCCTGTTCACCGCCTGTTTCGACATTGTCTCAGGATCGTCCAAGGCCTCCACAGGCGAGGAAGTCGCCAAGGGTGTAGAGTTCGACATGACTCGATTGCTGGTTACTGTTATTGATGAGACCCCAGTTTTGGCCGCGGAAGTAGTGGACACCATCGTGGCGCAATTCTTGCGGGTTGACCCTCGAGTGCTGGACAACCCCAAGAAGGGCAAGCGGGCCGACGCACCCTTGGACGCCAAACAGGATACCCTGCTATTGAAGGATTACCCTCCGGCCTACAACATGGCCAAGGCTATTTGCCAGGCTTGCCCAGAGCGAATGACCAGCCATATTAGCCAGTACTTCAACAATGTAATTATTGACGCGTCTGGTCAATCCAACCAGGCAAATGGAGCCAAGGGCGGCTCCCGCAAGCCGAATCTCGACGACTCGGACGAGGAAGGCGAGGATATTAAGGAATTGAGCAAGGCGCATCGTTTGATTCGAGAACTGTGGCGCGCCTGTCCAGAGGTCTTGCAAAACGTTATCCCGCAGGTGGAAGCTGAGTTGTCTGCGGAATCGGTTGCTCTGCGGTTGCTGGCCACCCAGACTATTGGTGACCTCGCGGCAGGCATCGGTGTTGCAGGACCACCACCTCCTCCGTCTATGGATCCCGCGGCATACCCACCTGTCACCCTGGAAGAGTTGTCGCAAATCGTGACTCAGACCAGTGTTCTTCTGACTCCGGTTTCCCCCAAGCCCTTTTCACAAGTGCATGCCTCTGCCTACGAGGCATTCCTGAGCCGGAGGCTTGACAAAACCCCTTCGGTGCGCGCTGCATGGGCCACCGTTGTGGGCCGAATTCTGTTGACCTCAGCTGGTGGTTCTGGTTTGAGTGAACACGAGGAACAATCACTCGTCGAGAGCCTCGCCGCCATGCTTCGTGATGCCGATGAGAAGGTCCGTGTTGCTGCAGTTGATACCGTCGGGCAGTTCGGACTATCCCAGGTCGTTCACAAGCTGGGGATGATGGGTGGATGCTCTACGGAAAACTCTGTGCTTGCTATCCTCGCAGAGCGAGTCAAGGATCGGAAACCTCACGTCCGTGAGCACGCGATGAAAATTCTGGCACGCATGTGGGCAGTTGCAGCTGGCGAGATTGAACAAAACACCGAGCCTGCCGTGTCTCTGTTGAAGGATGCGCCATCCAAGATCTTCGATGCGTTCTACACCAACGATCAGGAGATTCATATCCTGATCGACCGAGTCCTCTTTGAGACCCTTCTCCCTCTTAACTACCCTCCCATCAAGACGAAACTCTCTCGGTCGACATCGAACCAGTCGCAAAAGCAAAAGGACAGCCAGGCATCGGAGCCGGACCAGGAAAACGATGTTGATAAGATTCGTGTTCGACGAATTCTTACGTTGCTTCGTGGCCTAGATGAGAAGGCCCGAAGAGTGTTCTTTGTCATGCTTGCACGTCAATTATCTATGAGATCAGTGATGACGCTCTATCTGGAGGCGTGTGAGAAGTACAATGTGAGTTTTCTGATATTCCTGGCTGTTAAATTGAATTCTGTTATTGACATGACTGTGTTTAGGGCGGTGTTGTCGATAAGAATGAAGCCCAGGTCAAGGCCCAGCTTTCCCGGATTATTGACTCGTTGTCCAAGACTTTCCCAGATGCGTCGCGTGCCTCTGCAGATCTGTGGAAATTCGCCAAGGTTCATGACCGTCGCAGCTACCAGCTGATACGCTTTGCCATGGCAGCCGTTAGCGATTATCGTACCGTGATTAAGGCTATCAGGGAGCTTCAACGTCGTGCACAAAGCGCCAACAATAGCCCCCTCCTCGAGACTATCACACCTCTCCTATATCGCTCTGGCTCGCTTATCTTCAACCGAAGCCATATTCCGGCCATCATGAGTCTATCTCGGACTGATGAAAACGGTCTGGCCAATGCTGCACAGGAGATGCTTAAGCAAATATCCTCTCAGAATCCAGAGGTCTTGGAGGCACAGGTCCAAGAAATGTGCAAGGATCTTGAAGCGCAGGCCCCCAAGGCAAACTCAACTGGTGATGCTAGCACCGAAGAGATTCTTAAGGCCTGCGCCGGCTTTGCCAAGAAGCTGCCAGCCAAGCTTCCGAAGGAACGCAAGTTCTTCCAGGCTCTGATCAACTACGCTTTGTATAGTACCTCGCCCGCTTCTGCTAAGCATGCTGTCTCTATTCTCATGGCCACGGCCGACCGTAAGGAGATGTACGCCAAGGATCTCGTCCAAAAATGCGTCAAGAAATGGTCCTACGGCTCTGACCACTTCCTCACTCGTCTGGGCGCCCTGTCACAGCTCAACCTTCTCGCGCCGAGAGAAGCCGATGAGGCGAGCGACGCAATCATTTCAATTGCTATCAACCAAGTTCTCTTGACTAATCGTGCCCCTGAGAAAGACCCTGAATACAGCTGGTCTGAGACAGCGGATGAGGAAACTGAGGCTAAGGAGTGGGCACTCAAGATCATCGTTAACCGTCTTCGGGCCAAGGATGGGTCGGACGGTGATGATGATTTCCGTGCACATGCCGAACCCGTGTACGATACGTTGAACAAGTTGGTTGCTGGGGAGGGTGAATTGTCCAAAAAGAAGGACACTCCGGCGACCCAAAAGTCGCGCCTTCGCCTTCTCGCCGCCAAGTCTCTGGTCAAGCTGTGTGCGTCTGGAACACTGTGCGACCAACTGCTTACTCCGGCAAACTTAAACTCGATTGCGTTGATGGCACAAGATAGACTTCTCCCGGTGCGCAGTGCGTTCATCAATCACTTGAAGAAGAAGCTTGTGCAGCGGACACACTTGAGCCATCGCTGGTACATCATTCCTTGTCTGCTCGCTTTCGAGCCCAGCAAGACTTTGAAGGAGAGCACACTTACTTGGCTGCGATCTCGGGCCGCCTTCTACTCCCAACAGGCCCAGGCAAGTGGAAAGCGAACCGAGCAAACCATGGTGATGGAGTTGATCTTCTCGCGTCTCTTGTCCTTGCTTGCCTATCACCCCGACTACCCATCCGATGACCTTGATGAATCGACGAGACTCGGGGATTTGAGCGACTTCGCACAGTATATTATCTACTATCTTTCTGCCGTGGCCAACGAGCACAATATGTCCCTCATCTTCCATGTTGCCCAGCGCGTTAAGCAGTTCCGCGATGGTATCACTAAATCCGATAAAATCTCGAATCGCCTCCATACTCTCTCCGACCTCGCTCAGGCCACGATCCGACGCTTTGCTGATATTTACTCCCAACAACACAAGTTTGGCGGTGGTAGCAGCGGTGCTACGAATCTTCTCCAGACGTATCCTGGAAAGATGGGTGTTCCCAGCTCTCTATTCGCTTCAATGACCAGCCACCGCGAGGCTCAGGACGTTGCAGACAAGAACTTCCTTCCCGATGAGATTGATGATCTGCTCGACCGCGTCGTACGGGCTGCTATGAAGCCGCGAAACTCTCACGGCACACAGAGCGGTTCCGTGAAGAAGCGCAAGCCCGAGTCTTCTGATGGGAACGGCAACTCGTCAGCGTCGAAGAAACCCCGCAAGGAGAAATCTGGCCGACCACCTCGCAAGTCCACATCGTCTATCGGAGTGTCGGGCAAGTCCTCCCGGCGCAAGCGGACGGGCGATGACGAATGGCCGTCCGACGTGGGCTCTGAGGATGACAAGCCCAAGTCTACCGCAGCCCGTCGGCGTAGTAGCCGCGGCACCGGCAAACAGGGAGTCAGCTATGCCGACAAGGATAGCGATGAGGACGATCAGGAGATGCATAAGTGGGAGGAGGCCCAAAGAGCTGAGGGCGATGATGAAGAGGAGGAAGAAGAAGTGCAAGACTCGGACGAGGAAATGCAGGACGAGGATGACGAGAACAATGACCAAGAGGACGAAAATGCCGATGACGCAAGCGAGAAAGAGAACTCGCCGCCAGTCTCGCCAAAGCGTGGTGGAAAGGCGAAGACGAATGCGAAGCCGTCCAGTTCAAAGAGCAACACTCGTGCAAAGCAACCAACTACAACAACATTGCCGACGCGGCGGTCGTCTCGTCGAGGATAATCTAGATTCTTCTTATTCCATGTCCGAACTTGTACGGGCATCTGTTTCTTTTATCTATTCATGGCGGTATCTTCTTACTTCTTTAAGTCTCGTGCAAAACGACGCAACTGTCACCCTTTTTCTATTGTTACTGCCTTGCGTTGCCTTTTTCTTACAGTCGATGACAATTCGAGATGTATACCCAATCTGTCTTTGATGCTTTCCATCAGCTTTCTGAATTGATCATGTTACTTTATGAGTTCGTGCTCCTGCTATTTACTATGACAGTCAATATCATCCATATTTCTGTATCTAGTTCAGGTTTATCAATGTGTCATTGGTATCTGGTTCGGAGCAGTAGGGGTAAGAGTCTTATCAGTAGCTGTTTTTGTTTGCGCGTATTGCAAGCGTTCCTGCATCGAACAAAAGGCATGAGCAAGGGGCAGAGAATCTGATACTCGAGAAAAGAAAAAAGCGACAAGTTCGGAGATGACCCGATGATCGCGTGGCGACGACAAAAAAGAAACGGGACGGAATGTTGACAGGAGGGAAGTTGGTCTCTACAGAGAGGCCAAGACCGTTCAGCCAGGACACCCCGCCCCTGGAAGAAACAGCCTGATACTGGTATTTATATAACTGGCCTATTTCCTTGAGACTGACCTTCAAATTCACAAACAAAGTTCCTTCTCAACAAAAGTGTGTGACAGACTAGTCTTATTTCCCTTTACGGCAGGATAGCTCTTGATATGTCCATGTATCAATCATCTACCGGCAGTGATCATCATCACTCAAATCCCCAGTCTTCCTTATTCAACTCCCATTTACCACACAGGTAGCCCAACCACTTCCGCACAGGAATAGCTTCACCATCCGGAGAAACCACAATCTCCCCATCCGTCTCGACACCTGGAAGGTGTCCACGACAAGCCCATGCAAAACTCTTCGCGTCCCAGACAGGCAGACGGAACCAATCGTGCGTCTCGCTACACACCAGCAGCTTAGGCCGCTCTTTAGAAACCTTCTCCTTGGCAGAGATCTTCTGGTAACAGCTTTCGCAGAAATGAGTGCAGAAACAGAATCCACAGGCCCAGTAGGACTCGTCGAATCCGCAGCGCGCTTCACAGTTATCGCATTGAATGTACCATTCCAACACGAGGACGTCGTCATTGAACTCCTTCAGAATCTTTGCAATGGCCTTCCAATGCGGTGATCCTTCTTCCGTCGCTTGCTCAGAGAGTCTGGTGACCTCGTTCTGAAGTGCGATGACCTGGTTCACAGGCGTGTCACCTTCTGAACAGTTTGAGGCATAGAAGTCAATGATCTGCTTAGTTACAGCCGCTGCCGCTGCTTCTTCGCCGATTTTCAATAGCTCGGTTAGAATCTCTTGGTTCACGAAGGCACTTGGAATGAGCTTGTACGCTACCCCAGCATTGTCGTAATCGCCAACGTGGGTCAAGAGATGTGCAAGTTTGCTATATCCCACCCAGTCATTGCCAGTGTCTTCATCGGTAAGAATGTTGAAAACAACCGCCATGTCCCATCGGAAGAGTGCCTGGGCCTGAGCGACCTGACCACGCAATACATATTGAGAAGCCAGATAGCACTTTGCTTTTGTCCAACCCGACATTCCATCGGGAAGTTGATCCGTGGCAATCCTCTCAAGCTCCTTGATCTGACTCTCGTATGATTGTTCTTCGCCGTCTAGCAGGAGGCGTGTCTGATCAAAGTGATACTTGCTGAGTATATCGCCAACGAGAATCAAGAGATAACTAGAAAGACTTCTGGTATCGGTTTTTTCGCCGACCAAAAGTGCTGTGGCACTGCTGGCCGCTTTCATGTAGCTATTTTCTTGAGCAATAGCCCAGCACTCTTGCCAGTGCTCCACTTCGGATCTTGAGGATGTGTAGTCCTCCCCGCAAAGGGAAGCTGCAATTCCCTTATGTAGATGGAGAATTGCAAGGTCATCGGCGCAATTCTCGCTCTCGGCTTTCTCAATCGCCTTGTCCATGCACTGAAGTAGCTCGGGCCAGTATTCTGGGATGAGCGATGCGCCAGAAAGGACTGCGTTGAAGATGGTGAATATGGACAAATCACTCTCAACATCAACTTTGTAGTCATCAATGACCAGCTGCAGGATAGGTTCCAATAGGCTGGGTTGCAAACCATCCTCGGTAGTGAGGGCCTCTCGAACGACAGCCGCCCGGCCGTCGACCGTGCAATTAGAAATGCGATTCTTGAGAATGCGATACCGAGTCTCGATGTATTCAGGGTCAAGTTCACGGGCCTTTTCATAGTATTCAAGTTCCTTCTCACCCGAGGACAACCTGCCCATTTGAAGGAAGATGTCGCGAAGCTCGTTCTTGTCAATTTCCTTTCCGGATGCTTCGGTATCTTGAAGGATTTTGGCGGCCTGATACAACGTCAGCACAACCAGGAACTAGTTTTCATAGAAATTCTATGATGAATAATCTTACTTTCCCATATTCCTGTGCGGCCTTCTCTGGTTGCTGGCACCCCCTGTACGTCTCACCAAGTCGTACATGCCAGACGAAATCGGTCTCGTCAATTTCAAGAGCAGCTTTGCTCCAGTTGGCCGCTTTTTCGATCAGGAAGGGCCGGATCTGATCGAGTTCATCGCGTTTGATAGATATATATGCGTCGTTCGCTACGTTGACTGCGTCAGAAAGACCGCGGTTGTCTTCCGAAGTCTGGATTGTTGTGGAAAGAGTTAGCTCACGTACCCTGAATATAGAAGACAAAGAACAGAAATACAAGGCCAACATACCATTATCAGTGCGTTTAGAATTGTAGCACATGGCCGGAGCGTCTGCCATTCTCTATCTTGTAACCATCGACGGGCAAGCATTTTCATAAAAGGGGTCAACAACTTTCTCGTTGGATTCCAATCATCTGTCGCAGCAGCCAGCCACTCTGCCTTCGGAGATTCAAGCTTGCTGATAGCCACAGGGTCCTTCAGCCAACCCCAGATATAGTCCATCTCGGATTGATTCTCCATCCAGCCGAGTAGCTCAGTACTCGTCCAATGCTTCTCAAGATGTTCTGGGTTGTGGAAGATATCAATGACATTCCTGGCAATGAATCGCCTCTCCTCCGCGTTCAACTCATCAGCTTCAGTTGCTGTGCGCAGCTTCTCCAGATGTGACGTGAGGCCGGCCAGAAGTTTCGGTCCAACAAGCTCAGTCGTCTCGTTCGGTGGATTAAATAGCAGTGAGAATACTGCTTTGAGCATAGTGATATGGGAATCAGTGTCGTTGATCCCAATGCGTTTCTTCTGGGTGGGACTGAAGCCGGAAGAAGAATCGGCAGTGATGCCAGTCGGGGCGAATCTGAACTGGTCGATGGCGCCAAATCGGCCCAAGTCCCAGAAAAAGCGCTGGATGCTTTCGGTGTCGGCATTAGTGATGGTAATGTTGATGCTAATCGTTCGTTCGTTGGATGCTCTTTTCTGAGCTCGGTCCTCCAGCTTGACATGCTCTCTGACATGGTCCTGTAGCAAGACGTCTCCGTCTGAATCAATCAGGAACAGTTTGGAATAAGTGCCTTGAAGCTTCTCCCGTAAAGACTTGAGTGATGTCGCTTCGAAGCGAAGGAAGAGAATTCCTTCGAGTTCTTCGACACTATAATAGTAAGGTCCAAGGTCAACCCAGAAGAGTAGTTCATTCACCTCATCGATGAGTTTCTGGTTGTTGGGCAACGCTTCGAGCGATGCAATATCATCAGTGACCGTAGCCTTTGCATTCTTTTTCGTTGCGCTCAGAGCTTTTTTCAGATCGTCCTCCGTCATCTCAGCCTCCACAATGCCCTTGACCATGCCGATGTCGCTTCGCACTTGCGTAAACGAGCCCTCTGCTCGTGTCTTGAGGGCGATCTGTACTTCTTCTTTGAGTCGTCGATTCTGTGCATTGGTTGCTTGGAACAAATCTGAGTTTTGCAGCTCGCGCTCAATGTATTTATCGATGTCATCGCCATTGCACGCCCCAACATCAATCGTAGGAAACTGCAACCCTCCACCAGGTGCTTCTCCCAGATTTTCCAGTTTCTGCAAGCTTCCACACACAAGAACTCTAGCTCCAGTGCGCGCTTCCTTGCGAGGCTCCGAGCCTTGGATCTCGTCCATGCCTTGGAAGATGTTTCCAAGCTCCTGCAGCTTATTGGCCGGGAGGTTGTCAATCCCGTCAAGCAGCAAAAAGTGGGTTGCAGTCTGCGTGGGAGCTCCAAGTCTCAAGTCCGTCCAAAGTTGTTGACAGTCTGCATCTCGGAAGTACTTCGCATCTTTGGCTTGCTCTTTGGCGGTGTCGGATCCGTCCTTGGATCCATCTGTGTTATCTTTGAAGCTCTCTGCTAGATGCTTCGCGTATGCAGCGTCTTGTAGAGCAAATTGAACGCATAGGCACTTCAACGCTGTCTCGGCAGGTGTTTTGTCGTCGTCAATCTTACCTGTGGGAGCAAAGGCGTAATATCCAACGAGCGTACGTCCATCATTTTGAACCAGCGTCCGCCCGGTCTCCTGGATCAAGGAAGAGGATCGTTTGTCCAGATTCTTATAAACGACTGAGGCAAGCACAGACTTTCCACAGCCACCGTCGCCAGTCAATAAAAGTAAAGGACTCGTCTCCGGAGGATCTCTCTTCACCCAATTCACGTACTCGTCCAGTTGATTCAACCATTCTCCACTCCCCTTGACGGTACTCTTCCACAGGGTATCGCAGACATTAATTGTGCCCGTGACTTCGTTTTCCGAAAGACCTAGAGTATTTCGAATCTTCTCCAAGTGGTTCTTGGTTGTCTGCTCGGTTCGACGCTTCTGTTGCTCCGCAGATAAAGTCCCAACCTTGTCTTTAATGTCATCCGTTGTCTTGATAATCTTTTCAGTATCATCTTTGACCAAAAGTAATGATCGCTTGGTTTCGATGACTTGCTGAATAGTCCAGGTGCCTTCAATAATCTTCTGCGTTTGAATCAGGCTTTTAAAATGCTCCAGCTCGTCTTGAATGGCCGCCTCGTCAAACATGGATTTTTTGAGGTTAGCCTTGAGGCGTACCAAGAAGCCACCATCTCTGAAATTGATGCACTTGGCACAAAGAGTCACAAAACTGATCATGACCTTGTTGATAGCCAAGACCATGTCGGGATGGACCGCATCTTTGCTCTCGATGTCTCGATACATCTCGAACTGCACCAGTGTTGGCTCAACCTCGATGAAGATGCCATCAATGGCGGCATGGAAGCCGTGAAGCTTTGGTGGGATATCGAGAAGAAAAGATAATGCACTGAAGCAGACGCCAGCCGGGGGAAAGACCTGATTCACACACCTTAGCACTCCTCGTATGCATACATGAAGGAGGACTCACCAGCGACGCTGCCTGAGAGGCAACTCCACCCAACAGCTGTATACATTTCACAATTCGTAGACCAGCTTGCTTTGCCTTCTCAGCACCGGGGTCCTTCGAGGAACGAGAAGCTTCGATCGTGTCACGAATATGTTGCAATGAGGCCGCCGATGTCGGCTGAAGTTGTTTACCGGTCAATCGCTCGAACTCACGTCGTGCACCCTCCCAGATCTCCGAGATAGACGTGGGATTTTCCTTCTCACCCATCTTGCACGATTAGCGAACTAGTTTGGAGTGTTAATTATTCCAACTACTTCCCAATCACCCGACAGAAGGTCAGTCATTATAAACAAACAGTCCGCCAAGAAGCCTCCTCAACCCATTGGGCCGTTCATCCACAAGCGGGGGCTTCAGTCGTTCAGCTGAGGCTGAGGTGCCGCTTTGGGGCTAGCGAGGGCACGGAGCTACTATATCTCCCCGAAAAGGGGGGATAGTAGTCCAGCTACGGATAGTAGCGGACACGATCTTGAACGTGCCCAATCAGGGATTGAAACAATATTGCTGTATTTACGGGTAATTCTACTGCAGCACATAGCATATGACACGATCCCAAGCAAAACGCAAAGGGCCAAGAAGGACAAGAAAACAACCAAGATACAAAGGCATCTAACGCCATCCATAACAAGAAGAAAAAGCATCAGTCAATTCGCTCTGCCGCTGCAGGCTCAAAATAAAATCCTATACAACTCAAGAAAGGAGACGGATGAGAGAAAAAGCTGGCAGATGATGTTCTTTAAACCAGTGGAACACATTCGAAGAGGTGAGGTAGGCACATCTAGTGCGATGACCATAAAACAAGAGGACAGAATACAGACCATTCGAAGTCAGAGGACTCCAGTTCAGAAGATACCGTACACACGAGACGCCATTGTCATGACTGCATCAAGAGAAACATACAACTTATGACTGTGGCCCAGTGGCATGGGAAGGAGAACCTCCAGGGATCGGTGCAGCACCCAAAGCTGGACTGGCGCTGGCGGAGGTCACTGCACCCGGTGCTGGACTGGCACTGGCGCTGCCAGTCAAGTCAGGGGTGGCCGGTACACTGCCACCGGTCTTGTTGATTCGTTCTTCAACACGTTCCTTGTGTTGTCGGTTTCGCAGGTGGACTTCAAAATTATCCACCGTCATTCCAGGGCCGGGGGTATACAGCTTTCCAGGGCAGTCATGGCAGCGGATACGAGGCAAGAATTGATATTTGATCTTTTGACCAGCTTGCAGGTTGGTTGGGTTGGAGACGGGCGCGAGGGTTTCCGTATCCACGGCAGAATAACGCATCACTCCTTCAAAGGAATCGTTGGGATGAGATTGCCTTAGCCGAGTCAGACCAGCTTGGAGCCAACTAGGCGGAGGGGGCTGGAAGCGTATAGAAGTCAGCCAAAAACTCACGAGAAGCCTAATGACATTCAGTATCTACTCACTCCTGGGACCCCTTGCTGGGGCGGGTTCGGTGCGTCGACGGCTCCAGTTTGTTGAGGTCGCGGGGGATGATGCTGTCGGTTCTGTTTGTCTGAGGGGGGTGCCATGGCGCCAGCTTGCGTGGCCGGGTCAAAGATCCGTTTTCCGCTACGAAGATCTGCCAGTTTATCTCGTGGAATCTTAAGCTTCACAACCAATTTTTCAGGCTCTTCCGGACTTTCTTCTCGCAATTGCTGTTGACGTCGTGACAATGCTCGGGTCGGCTCCTGCAAGATGGGTTCGGGTGTGGCGGAGTGTCCCAAGCTAGCGCGCAGGGCTGCGTGGGCTGCTGTAGCCGCTCCTCTCATGCCTCGTGTGCGGGCAGTACCTTGAGCAAGATGCGGGCCAATAGCCGGTGACCCTTCGTCCGAGTCATCACTCTCAAAGTCATCAGACTCGTCGTCACCACGGGTTCCGACCAATCCACGACGGCGGCTAGAGCCGGAGCGTTTGATGACGTTGCTCTCTTCGAAGGATGATGCGGAGTTGGGAATAACAGAAGAAACGATGAGAGAGCGAATCGTACGTTGTCGGTCTTTGAGGTCGGGTAGAGCCGGACCACCGCGACGATTGATCGATCGCTTCTGGCGACGTTGCTCTCGCGAGATCGAAATTTCGGTGCGCTCGAGATCGGCCTCATTGAGTTCGTAAAGATATGGCGTGTGCTCCTTCGCCGCTTGGAATGGGCGGAATGCGGAAGATACGGGGGTTGGGAGGAAGGATGTGCTGAGGTCGGGGTCCTCGATGGGACGGCCATCGAAGGGATGGCTGACAATATAAAGGGACTTGGTGAATAATTGAGATTGCTCACGGATAGAATGAGCAATGGAGGTGGTGAATTCACCCGATAGCGACAGATCGTCAGTCAAACGCAAGGCGAATTCCTCGGGTGAATTTTGCGGATCATTGATGTCCCACTCGAATTGGTCGATGAGGGTGTGTTGACCAATAGTGATATTCAGCTTAACAAGAATACGCATCTCGTCATTTCGATACGCTGAGTATGGTAGCGAGGCGTCAAGAGGTTCTTCTTGCATGTAGATCTGAGGATAATAATCCATGATCTGCTCCTGGATGCTCTGCGAAATCATACGCAGCAACGGAGCGGAGGTTTCCAAAGAGAGTCCCAGGTCCTCCACCAATTTTTCGGCAAACAAATCCGGCGAAACGACACGATCGTGGAGATTCCAGGTAAAAGTATCTCGAATCTTGATCTTTTCCCAGTCAATGTCAAGGCGGATAGGTACGAGATCTTCAACCTGCTCGTTTTGGATCTTCATATCCCGCCTTGAAATCCGCAGTTCTCGAGTTTTGCGATTTCCTGGCCGACGTCTGTGAGCAGGGTATAAAAGCTGTGGAGCTTGATTTCGGAGGTCGGTTCGCGGATTTCCAAATCCTTCGTAGCCCACTCCAAACAAAGCTGCTGGGTTTCCGTGGGTTTCACGACGTAATGCCAGATAGAAGTCGCGCTCTGATCGCTTTTGTTGCTGCAGCTCTTGGGCTGGGTTCTCCCAGGCAACCGCCGCCGAATATTGAAATTCACGATTGACATATTGGTCGAGCAAAATCTTGTCGACAGGCGTCTCGCGCGTCCGAACAGTCATCGTCCCCGAGATGTCGCTAGCATGAATGACAGATCCGTCACGCGATCGTTTCCTACTTTGCGCAGAGCCATTTGTGCCGTTCGCCTGGTGGGTGCCGTTGGTCTCATTAGACTCTCCCTCCGATGCACCCATCTTAGCTTGCGCGTTCTGTTTTCCTTCAACAATGGAATCGGATGAAGGTCCGTTGACAGATTCGGTGGTTCCGTTGTCCAGGGAGTCTACACCTCCTGTCCCCGTATCAGACGCGCTGGAACCGTTCTGCATGCCCGACTGAGAGCCAACGGGAGAATGGTCTGAAGGGTTCAAACCACTGGCCAATTCAGGAGAGGGCATTGCCGACAATCGAGTGAAAGGTTTCGAATGTTGCGTGTTCGCTCACGGAGATGATCGATTGGGGTGTGGCACTCGACGCGATAGGGATAAGGGCCAAGACAATTATGGCAGCATAATTGAGTGATATCTGTAGTGCGATTGCGTCTGCGTCAGTTGGATGATCCCAGACTATTGGCTCATTTGTCCATCTCCATTATGGCGACCACGCAGCAACGCTCGTCATGTGTGATGCCGATCGATTGACGTGTCGCGACGGGCGCATATCCCGGAGACAGCCACGGGATGACGAGCAGTAACTGCGCGTAAAGGATGGGACATTGGAGGGAATTGATAACAGGCGACTAGGGCTAGGATCAATCGATGGGTTGGGAATTAACATACCGCAGCCGAAGGGGGTTTGTGAAGGTCGGTTGCGCTCTCTATTCACCAGTCACGCCCGAGCAGGATTCAACCAGGACTAGATCTGACGAAGAAGAAACGGACGGATATCCCACAACTTCAAGTTCAGGGAAGAGATTAGGTTGCTCCTCCCGTGGGGATCGGTTGGCGCTGATAGGCTTGAGGTTGGGGGTTCCTTGGAGCGCGCGGGTGGTAGAGAGAAGTTCAAAGGAGAGGAGGAGGATTACGAGATGTCCGCTCCCGAGCAGAGGCAAGGGAAAAGCCTCGGTGACCACCTATCACGGCCGCAACAGACAGAAAGTATAGTCTACAAGTATCAGGTTTACTAGGAGAAGTTCTTCCATTATCATACACTTTCTAGCCTGTGGTTTTATGGTCGTTAGGGCGCTGCGCCAGGTTCGGCTCAAAGGCATGCGGGAGTCATGTGATCATACCAGAGAAGGCTGGGTTGACGGAGCAGCAGGATTGGTGGATACTCGGAAAAAGGAGATACTGTATATCCGTCAAGATTAGTCATTATTCTGCCCACATAAATTGCTAACTTAGCTAGGGGCAATAGCAATTCAGACTTGTTGATATCCTATTGGTGCGCAGTATGATCCACTAGGCAGGACTTCCGACATGGATTATGGCGCCTTGTTGGTAAGGCACGAAATCGGGTCTTGGCACGGTGTAAACTATGTACATATGCACCACCTTATATCTTGATGAAGTGATTACATGTCCAGGACAACTGACAGGGTCGATCTGGTTAGTGGAAGAACTTTCAGATAGAATTATATGGTTTTACACAAGATTGAGGGTAGATATGATTGTCCAATCCTCTTTGGAAGATTCCAGTGCTCTATGTATATATAAACTCAAACTAATCGGACGAACTATGATCTTCAGAGTCTCTTTCCATCTCCCTTTTACTAACCTAGTAGCCTGAGATCGGCAATGACTGCACAGTGATCTGAATTAAAAACCCCGTCATCGAATCTGTTGGCCATTACAGAGTAACCATCCACTCGCCATTTCTGGTTACCGCCAGAAGCGAGGAGAACATAATCAATCCGCGAAGGCGGCTCTTTTTCATACCCAAATCCAGTGAAGGTATTGTGGTTCCCATATCGCCGCGAAGCATCAATCAATTTAAAGGTGTCTTCGAAATCACTGGACCCTGTCAAGTCCGAATAGGCTTCTTGGTCTTCCTGGCTGTTCAAGTCTCCCGCCAGGAACGCACCTCCAATCATGGCCCCAAACTTCCCGTTTCGGTACCCTTGGATCTTTGCCCGAATAATTCGCGCGGCTTCCAAGCGGGACTGAGATCCCTGGTCATCTAGATGGGTATTCATGGCAAGGACCGTGGTACCGTTTAAGCGGTGAATAAACACACCGATGGTGACAATGCGAATGGAGGCCGCATCCCAGCTCTTGGATGGCTTGGAGGGAGTCTTCGATAACCATACTGTCTCCCAATCTAGGAGATTCCATACCGATGGTCGATAGAAGATAGGCGAATATTCGCCAGCCTGAAGCCCGTCGTCTCGTCCGACTCCAATGTATGCCCAGTCTGGAGCTACGGATGTCGCTTTGGAATTTAGTCCTAAGCGAATATCTTCTAGTTGTTTATGAAGAACCTCCTGTAGGCAGATGAACGTGTCACTGACATGACGCGTATGATACTCGAGCTCGTTCAGCAATACTTGTTTGCGCTGGTCCCAGGGAACTTCCCCCTTGAATGGGGAACTGGTGGCATATCGAATGTTATGGGTCAACACACGGAATGGAAACTCTGGAGTGGATCTCATCCTCAACTGTTGCAGCTAGAGAGAGTGTGTAAATGAAAGCCACACTACTTGTGGGCAAGCGAGCGACCTTGAATGTATGAAGTAATGAGAGAGGGGAAAATGCCGAGACTAAAAGAGGAGAAGTTCCAAAATGGAAGGGGGGGGGGGGGATGGGGAGAGGGCCTTCTGGACAGATCCCTGTCGTCACAGAGCTCACGAGACCTCGGAGCATGAACAGTGGACTGGGCCACGGACTCAAATCATATTTCTGCGGGGTTCAATGCAACAATAGCCTCTTGCCTGGGGGCACAAGTAGTTCCCCCTCAGCGGCCCAGCCCATGACGTCTTTGCTGGCCGTAACCCTAGACTCGGACAGCCTGAATCGTCAGGCAATGAAACACCCCCACCACCACCGCTCTCTCGTTCGCTGCACACGACTTACTCTTGATCTCCATTTCTCCTCAGCTGTCCACGGATTGAGCATTTACTGCCCGAAACTACTTGCATTACTTTCCTTGCTCCTTCCGTGAGCTCACTCTATTCCACAATGGCGGATACTACTCAAGCTCCCGAGGTTGGTACGTGAAAACATGCTCGAGGTGCTTCCGCGAAAGCTCTGACGTTTTGTGGGTGTCGGTTGTCGGACGTTCATTCAGAGCTTCGCCGAGGCATGGCCCGTAATGAAAATGCTATCTTGGGACGAGATACTGTTAAATCCACTCAGAAACTAATTGCGCCTTTGGTGCTTTTTAGACTACACCCTCAACAACCCTGACACCTTGACCAAGTACAAGACCGCCGCTCAGATTTCGCACAAAGTGCTCGAGGCCGTCACTGGTGCGTACGCTTTCCATTTTTCGTCCCAATGATCTAACACCAAAAATATAGCTCTGTGCCTCGAGGGTGAGAAGATTGTGGAGATCTGCCAGAAGGGTGACCAGCTCCTCGAGGAGGAGATTGCCAAGGTCTACAAGGGCAAGAAGATCGCCAAGGGTAAGTCTCATTGCCCCGCAAAAGTAATTCTTCAACTACACATGCTAATTGATGCTCCTAAGGTATCTCCCACCCCACTACCGTCTCTCCTAACTCCTATGTGACTCCCTACACTCCTCTGGTGTCCGATGCCGCTGAGGCCGAGACCACCCTGAAGGCCGGTGAGGTCGTCAAGATCCAGCTCGGTGCCCAGATTGATGGATTCGGTACCATTGTCTGCGACATGCTCGTCGTCGCCAAGAAGGATGCTGCTAAGGAGGTTGTTACTGGCCGCGAGGCTGACCTGATCCTCGCGACCTACTACGCCAACGAGCTCCTGCTGCGCCTCATGATCCCCCAGGGTCTGCTCGCCCAGGGCACCGACGAGGAGAAGGCCAAGGCCACCGCTCAGCGCCCCCATACCCAGGCTCACATCTCCTCCCTCCTGGAGAAGGTCGCCAAGGCCTACGACTGCAAGATTGTCGAGAACACCACCAGCTGGCTGTTTGACCGCAACGAGATCGAGGGTACCAAGAAGATCATCCTGTCTCCCGGCGACGGTGTCCGTGGCGATGGTGTCCCCGAGGTTGGTGAGGTTTGGGGTGTTGAGATCGGCCTCAGCTTGGGTTCTGGCAAGGTCAAGAACCTCGACCACCGTGCCACTCTGCACCGCCGTACCACTACCACCTACATCCTGAAGCGCCCCAGCTCCCGCCAGACCCTGTCCGAGGTTGTCAAGAAGTTCGGTACTTTCCCCTTCAGCTTGCGCCAGCTTGAGGACGAGAAGGCCGCCAAGGTTGGTGTTGTCGAGTGTGTCCGTAACGGTGTCCTGCGCCAGTACGAGCCCGCTGGTGATGCCGAGGGCGCCGCTGTCTCTCGTCTCCTGTCTACCATTGGTAAGTATTCAGTGTTTAATCTGAAGTCTCGCCTCTCAGAATTGAAATTCGCTAATATTTCAATGCAGCCATCACCAAGAACGGCATCACCAAGCTTGCTGCCCCCAACGTCGACCTGGAGCAGTACAAGTCCGACAAGAAGATCGAGGACGAGGAGATTCTCAAGATCCTCGAGCAGCCTCTGGCCCGTTCCACCGGCAACAAGAAGAACAAGAACAAGAAGAAGAAGGCCACCGGTGGCGAGGAGTAAATGCAGCTCACACAATTACCCTTGTCGGAATTCATGGTGGTCAACGTCCATTCTCAATGTCGGCCACTGCTCCTCGTTTGAGCATGCAGAACCTCAAAACCTAAAAAGATATCCAATGACGAGCCATCCCATTGTGGGTCATATGAAATTTTTGCCATCTAAAGAAAACCGTGCCATTTAAAGAAATCTTTCCTAAATCCAACCAGGTGATGTATACATGCTGTGGATTGAGAAGAGGGCCCGGCAATGCCCACTCATGGTTGTGACATGAGTTGAATCGAGTTGGTGATATCAACTTTAAGAATTCTGGAGATATTTGACATGCCTGCCAGTTCTGACTAGCAGTCGTAAAATTTACAAGTCAAATGAAGATGTTGCCGGTTCTTCTCAACTGAGAGCCTAGAATGTAGACGATGCCTGCGGTGATCATGCCGTAGGCTGTATTGACCACCCCGAGTATGAGGTATAGCTGTTGAGTCATCGCTCTGAATAAGTCGTATGTCCAGGCTCTCATAGAAGGGTTGCTGGTGGTCTAAGGATCGGTGGTCTCGTTAGGGCAGCACGTTGAAGCATGTGTTCTGTGCCTGATAGGCTTGCCATATACTGAAATGCAGATCACGTTGACGCATTGATACAACTCGTATCCAGGAATATTAGTGAGAGTTCGCTATTGCTAGTAGCTCAGAATATCTCTTGATCGCCTCTCAGCTGCCTAGCGAGTCTCGACAGCGCTCTTGTCGCTTGCCCTAGAATGTGATTGCTCCGAGAAACTCTGGATCGTACGCTGCTGCTCACGTTGAGGCTGCTGGTCGTTTGATTTCTTCTCTACTCTAGGTATCTCTTTTCCTATTCTCTTCTCTCCTCTCTCCTACGTTCCTCTTCGTGTTGCACTGACACAGACAACATTCCCACGCACCCATCCAGCACATACTGGATAGCTTGCTCCTGCAAACTTCGAAGAAAGGTACGTGCTCGAGCAACCCCTTCGAATGAGACCTGTGAGAAGAACCTCCATCCCCGATACCACTCTGCAGCTCAGAGTAATTTGACATGTCTCGATCTCACTGCTCTGCTCTGATGACCGTCAGATTGCGATCAGAAGATATTAACAGGTCTCTGTCACACAGAACGCACTAAAAAAAAAATTAAAAAAACTCCCATCAAGCAACCCATTGCGTAAGTTATTCCATTGCAGTGTTTTTTACATTGAAATTTGCGCTGCATGTTCCATTTTACTGGCAAGAGCAAGCAAAAAGAGTGGAAGAAACAGTTAGGGCTGGTCTGGAGCTTGGCGCTAATCCCTCGGCAGGGCGGTTCCGCCTACCGCGATGGGCATGTTAACTCGGGCTCGCAGCCGCAAGGCGCACCCTCAACCCACGGAACCCGCGACATCGAAGAAGCCCAACAAGCTTCAGAAAAAGAACCCGCGTCAGACACGCGCCGAACCGACTGCGGCAGGCAATGCGACCGTGATCGAGACCGACGCGCAGGCCCTCGAGCAGACTGAATGGGTAGAACCGCCTTGTTCACGCGCGCGCCCGACCTGGGCAAATCCCGACTCCTACTTCACGCCGCAAGAGAACGCCTCGCTCAACACCATGCGGCCCATCGGGCAGTACCCGACGGTGGGCGACTACAAGAGCGTTGGTCTGACACCTCCGACCAAGAGCGCTGTTAAACGCGCGTTCAAGTTGACGGTGCGCGCGACGGGCGAGGTCAGTGATGCAATCATCACCAGCTCTCCGACGCCTATCACGCCCGGAGCAGAGGATGGAGTCTTGGACGACACGCGGGTCAAGGTTGACGAGGGTGCCTTGAGCGGGATTGAGAATTTGGAGATCCTCACGGATTCAGGTGAGGCAACTGCGGTGAAGCACCTGGTGAGAGATATGGACATGAGCGACGTCCAGGACGGCAGCCTGGCGACCCCCATCTCTGAAGCAATCGGACTTCAGACTACACAACCTTCTTTGTCTCCCGTCGAAACCCCAGTGGACACTCCAGCCGAAGAACCCTTGATCAACCCTGCTCGGACTGCTCTCGGTACATTTCTCGCTGCTGCACAGGTGAAGAAACCCTTGTCACAAACATCGTCTCCTGTCATCCCCGCCACTTTGGATCCCATGGACGTAGTAGACGCCATGGCCTCTGAATCTGAAAAGCCAGTTGACCGCGATTTCATCGCTGTCCTGCACTCCCTTCCAGACCCCGAGTCCAGCAAATACGATGTAGCTCAACTGAAGCAAGTTATCGCAACATCGATCTCTCACTCTCGTGAGGCTGGGAATGATAAGGCAGCACTGTGTCTGCTTCACTACTGGTCTGAAATCGCGGGTGATGACTTCAAGCTGTCTCTAATCTACAACATGGGCCTTAAAGAGGTTGATCACAACCTGGAACTGGCGCTGAAGACCATGCTACGCCACTCGATGGAAGATGCCTCAGAGTGGTACAAGGCATACATCTCAAAGCGACCTGTTGCCTTGGAGCGTCAGGATTCAGGCAGTGACTCCAGCCTCTCATCTGCCCAGTCACTTGAGATGGAAACTCTCAATCAAACATTTAAAGTTGCAGACATTTACCGCGACACCTCCGGCCCCCGCGTCGAAGAACTCTTCAACAGCGGCAAGTCCAACACTGCTCCTCTCAAACGGGCAAGGAAGCCGTGCCGAGTGAACGAAAACTCTTTCAAACGTCGTCGTGAGTGGGAAGCAGACCCATCACTTGAAGAAGCCCTACGAGAGAAACGTGCTCGCCTGCTCAAGGTGACTGAACCCGAACCTGAGGAAGTCATGCCAAAGACCAGCTCAGTTCGCCCCAAGAGAGGCCGACGTGCTGCCGTCGAGCAGCCTCCCACTGAGGTTCCCACACCTGAGACCACTGAAGTGGAACCGATCGTTCAGTCAGTGGAGGTCCCTGAGCCAGCGCCTGCACGCGCGCAGCGAGGTGGCAGAGGACGTGGACGTGGTGGACGAGGCCGAGGAGGTGTGGCTAAGCTGACGCGAGCTTCACGAAGCCGCAAAGGGAAAGCAGAGCCACAAGAAGAGCCTGAGCCTGAGCCCGAGGCAGAGACTGCTCCTGCTACCCCGGTCCCAGCCCAGGTTCTTGGGAAACGCACTCGCGAGTGGTCACTAGACACCACTGTCTCTGCCGAGTCGGCCGTCTCCAACGAGTGCTACTCGGAGCGAGAGAATGATTGGCATGGCGAGTTCAGCTGGCGAAAGATGCCGAATTCAATGTACGTGGTGACTTTTTTTTTCTTCTCAAGTGAAATGATCGATGAAGACCCTTGCTGATTCGCTTCCTACAGTGAGCCGCCTGACAACAGTGACAATTGCTACGAGTGCGACCAGGTTGGCAATCTCCTTTGCTGCGATACATGTGAAAACGCATTCCATTTTGAATGTCTGAAACCTCCCATGGATCCCAAGAACCCGCCCCAGGGCGAGTGGTATTGCCCGCGCTGTGGAGTCCGCAACCCTCTCACTACCGCGATCGCACATGGTCGCTACAAGAAGCGCAAGACCGAGTACTCCCCTCCAACGCACATCAAGGAGTACTTTATTGGCGTCAGTGAGGGTCGGCATTTCGAACCTTCCGACCCCAAAGCAATCAAGAACCAGCGCTTCTACAAGTCGGTTCCCCACATACCGCGTCTGACTAAGCCACCAAGGGCCAACATCCCAACTCCTGTCTACGACGATCCCAACCTGCTGAAGATGTCCGACAATGGCCATGTAATCCTCTGCAACAGTTGTGGTCGTTGTACCGATAATGAGCGCCCGATCGCCCGCTGTGACTACTGCCCCTCTTACTTCCACCTAGACTGCCTTGATCCCCCCCTCGCAAATCCCCCTAACCCTCGTGCCGGGTGGATGTGCCCCAAGCATGTCCTGCCTGATGAACTGATCGTGACCAAAATGGTTGATGGTCGTTTACAAGAGCGCCGTCCGCGCCGTCCCAAGCACACCGTTGCTTCCGTTGACGTGGATCCCATTCCATATGATGATGTCAATGAGACTACTTTTGATGATGACTTCCGTGAGAAGCGTCACCTCCTCCCTGCCGGCGACATGATCCTGGACTTCATCTCCGCCGTGCGCAATGACCCCTCCCGTCAGCAGAAAGAATTCTTCGCTGGCCTCGCCAATACATGCATCAACCTTGCTAGGAACATGGTTGAAGAGCGTCTGGCGCAGAACAGCACCATCTCTGCTGATGAAATCACCGCATCAATCGCCCCAAGTATAAACGAGGCTATTGATAACCTCCAAACGGGCAAGTCGACCAAAGACCAGTACGATGCTGCCCTTACTCTTGTCGGATTTGCCAAAGGCGAATCAAGCCCTCCGGTCGGGGATAACAATGACGACAATGCCTCAACCACATCTCCATCCAATCCATCCAAAGACTGAGAACAGTCCTGTTTCACCTCCACTTCCAAGGCACCGGTTCCTCCTTTTTGCTGCGATTCGCGATCTCATTTTCATTTTCTATCCTGGTTTTTCATTTCTGGTTTCTGGTTTCGCAAAATTGTCATGAGCATAGGGTGGCGCATTCAGACTCGAAGACTCTCAGTGTACTATTAGCATGGGCCCAATGGATAATTTCCCATTTCATCGCTTTGCGATTTGCGATTTGCGATTTGCAATATCTTAGTATTAGTGACTCACAGGAGGAGAATTACAGTCATGATTCTTTTTTCAATTGAAATTCGTACTGTACATGACAAATCCGAAACAACATATAGACCCAGCACCTTCGCAGGAAATAGAAACATCAGAGCTAATAATCAACGACACGCAAGAATAGTATAGTAGTATCATCTTGAGAGAAACACCGGAACACGTGGACACGCCACCTGAGGGTTCCGAGGATGAGGGGGAATAACCTAAAGGAATTTCTTGGGCATGTTTGCACGGCGGCGCTTGTAGATGACGTATGAGACGGCGAGGAGGACCTGGAAGGCGATGACCAGGAAGATGAAGAAGCCCATGCGGGGAGAGGAGGCAGTGATGGCTGGGAACAGTGTTAGCTACTAAGCTGTCCGATAGAGCTTGGAGTGTAAGGACTTACCACTCAGGAAGTGGGTCTGGAGGTTCTCAGTGAGACTGAGATGCGATGAGCGCAGAGTGTCCTGGAGTTGATTGAAGCGGCTGCTGTAATCCTTGCCCTCCAGGTCACGCTGGATGTTCTGGAGGAGAGACTCGATGCGCTGCAGTCGGGCATCAAGGGCAGCAACCTGCTCCTTGGAAGCCAGCTTCTGCATGATCTCAGTGTGGCGGGCATCGCTCTTGCCAGCCTGGGCCTTGAGATCCTGGATGATGGTGTTGGTAGCCTTGTTCTGGAGCTGGATACGGCCTTGGAGATCAACGAATTGAGCACCAATGCCCGCATCGATGACGGGGTTGCCAGTATCGCGGATAACCGGAGGCTGGTTCTGGTTGGCGATCGGCTCTTGTTTCTCTTGTTGCTGCTGGGTGCTACCTTGGTAGGTCTGTCCCTGTCCTGTAGCAGATGACAGGATGAACTTGAAGATCTCGAAAGAGTCAGGGTTCTCGGGGGTGGCAGCCGTAAAGCCGAAAGTATTTCCGACGGGCAAATTGACCTTCTGAAGGTTAGATACCTGCATGGAGAGAGTATTTTGGACGTTGCATACCTTGTTAGTCGAAAAACAGATCTTATCATCCACCGTGACCTCGAAGATCGAGTTGGTGTGCTTGACCTTCACAACGGAAGGTCGGCCCAAGTTGCGGTAGGCGTAGTCACAGTGGCCGAAAGCAAGGCTGTCGACGCTGCGGTGGCTCTTGTAGTCTGTCGTGCCGTCATTCAGGAATCCGCGGATGCTTCCACCCTATAAACCTCATTTAGAGACTGTACCCCTTGTAGATAGGGATCAGATGGGACGCAAGACATACCCGGCCGCCATGTGTATCAATAACAAGCGCAAAGCCGTCGAATTGCCCGACAGTATAAATGCTAGACGTGCCAACCCGGGCTTGTCCGTCCTTCGTATACCATAATTGGAGGATACCACCTGCTCGTTCGGGCCCGCTGGCACGGAATTGGAACTCGGCCGACCATTCTTGTTGGGAGATTCTGCGCAAGTATTAAGACGGGTTCAGTTGGGAGTGTCTTGGGATGATTGTAACGTACGGACTCTGAGCCCAGGCAGATCCTCGAGTGTTGCCAGGGTATGGAGGGGTCAGGATGAGCTTATCGGAGAGCTGGGTTGGAGGTTAGACCACGATCACAGTATGAATTCAATAAGTGACATACAAGATTTGGCTCATGGCCCTCTCCGCCGATGGTCCACCCCGGAATTGAGTCTCGACTCGGCGAAATCCTGCCGATCACAGTTAGATCAAATAACGGGAAAAGGACAGACGACCAAGTCACGTAGCGTACGTTTTTCCGTAACCAAAGCTAGCACTTTCAATAACCTGAGCGGTAGCTCCAATGGCGAGCAGAGCAAGTGAAGTAAACGTCCGCATCGTGGCGGGGGAGGTGAGCGAGCGAAGGAGGAGGATTCGTCAGTACGATAAGGGCGAAACAAAAAAACCCTTGAGCGCGCCTTGTCGAATGCGTACAAGCACGTTCAGGCTGATCTCGATCCCACAGTCGCAGACGTTAATTATTCGGTATCGGACCACTTCGAACGATTGGAAGCTTTGCCGCGGTCACAATGGCACGATCTATCGGACTCGCACAAGCTAGCAACAACGCGAGTGGTGATCCACCCAACCACAATAGCAATAACACAGAGTCGAGCTTCCTTAGCAATAGCAGCAGCAGAAGGAGAAAAGTCAATAAAGTGATGCAACTGGATACTGTTGAGAATCGTGTGGCGGACGCCGACGTCCGAGAAGTCCATGCGGAAGAATTGCTGTTGATACGCTGGCCTCAAGTGCCTTAGCGTTGTTCGGGGCGATTACTCCTGAATGGATCTCCGCATAAGCGCCCTCACGTGACTGCGGAGGAGCTTCACACGTCCGCATTCCGCCCACTTCCTGAATGATTCCCTCGAATCGTCAACAGAATAAAGGGCGTCTCGGCCATGGCTGAGCTCTATCCGTCATTGGCGCAGTGCGCCATTGTGGCTGCTGCCTTCAAGGTGCTGCTGTTTCCAGCATAGTGAGCTCCCCTTGGACACACAAGCGCGGCTGGCCGCGCGACAATTCCATTCTAATCGTGTTTCTAGCAAATCGACCGATTTTGAAGTGCATCGCAACTGGCTGGCCATTACACATTCTCTTCCGGTCAAGGAGTGGTACTACGAGGTTCGCATATATTGAGAATGCCTGCGATGATGGACCCTAATTTTGTCTAGAAAACTTCCGAATGGACCCTCGATTACCCCCCGTTCTTTGCGGCCTTTGAATGGCTGATGTCGCAGGCCGCCGCGCTTGTGGACCCTGCCATGCTAATTGTGAAGAACTTGGGATATGATTCCTGGCAGACCATCTACTTCCAAAGGACCACCGTGATCCTGACGGAACTAGTTCTTGTCTATGCGTTGAGCAGGTAAGGGTGGACCCCTCGCGCATAATCAAGCTGCAGCCATACTGATCTTCTTTGCTTTCCTAGATTCATCAAGTCTACTCCTCTGGCAAATAAACAGGCGGCACATATCGCCAGCCTCTCGATCCTCCTTTCCCCAGGCCTCCTGATCATCGACCACATCCATTTCCAGTACAATGGATTCATGTATGGCATCTTGATCCTGTCGCTCGTCCTGGCTCGCAAACAACTTCTCGCCAGTGGCTTCTTATTTGCCGCTCTACTCTGCTTCAAGCATATTTATCTCTACCTCTCGCTGGCCTACTTCGTCTACCTGCTACGCGCATACTGCCTGGACCCTAAGAACGTTCTCCGCCCGCGATTCTTGAATATTATCAAGCTTGGAATCTGCGTGGTTGGTGTTTTCGGTATTGCCTTTGGACCATTTGCGGATCAGCTTCTTCAACTGAAGGATCGGCTTTTCCCATTCTCAAGGGGACTGTGCCATGCATACTGGGCACCAAATTTCTGGGCGATGTACTCATTTGCAGACCGCGCCTTGATCCCACGTAAGTTCTGAACTTCAACGGACGTTACTACATGATCACAATTAACATGTCTTATCTATAGTCGCTCCTCGGCTCGGTCTGCCTGTGAACCGCGAGGCCCTCCAGAGTGTTACACGAGGCCTTGTTGGAGACACCTCGTTTGCGATTCTTCCCGAGGTCACCAAAGAGCAGACTTTCCTCCTGACCTTCATTTTCCAGCTTATTCCTTTGGTCAAGCTTTGGCTGCGTCCAGACTGGGATACGTTCATCGGAGCTATTACTCTCTGCGGCTACGCCTCATTCCTCTTTGGCTGGCACGTGCACGAGAAAGCCGTCCTTTTGATCATCATTCCTTTCAGTTTGATTGCCCTCAAGGATCGCCGTCACTTCTCTGCCTTCCGGCCACTCGCAGTTGCGGGACATGTCTCACTGTTCCCGTTGCTCTTCACACCGGCCGAGTTCCCTCTGAAGACCGTCTATACCATCTTCTGGCTCATCCTGTTCCTATTCATTTTCGACCGCATCGCGCCAGTCCCCGAACGGCCACGGGTATTCCTCTTCGATCGCTTCTCTTCGCTGTACTTGACTTTGTCGATTCCTCTAGTCTTGTACAGCTCGCTGCTTCATCACTTGATCTTCGGATCACAGCGGCTGCAGTTCCTCCCATTGATGTTTATGAGCAGTTACTCTGCACTTGGGGTGGTAGGAAGCTGGGTTGGATTTATGGTAGTATACTTTACTACATGAGTGTATTTCTAGATAGAAATTACCCCAAAAATTTCAGTAGACTCTTTCTTCATGATCTCGTCTCGTTTGGCCTACACATTGCGGCTACAGTTTTATTTTGGTAGGGAGTGACGTATACTTCAGGCTCTTTGCACTGTTTGACTGACCACGTGGGCCCAGACCCACCCAACCACGGAGTCTATTCTGCACCTCACCCAAAGAGGCTAGTCCCGCCCTTGTGAATCCATGCAGCATGCCGACTGCGAGATGCAGACTGGATAGAAATCGGAGGTTTGTAACATCACCCTGTTAAAGTTGAAATAGTCTAGTCTGAATGAATTAGTGGTAAACTGCTTTGGGATTTTGGTCTTTGGAAGAGTTTTCAGGTATTCTTTGGTGGAATATGGTGGATCCGATCGTGCGCAATAAATATCCGAGCGAAATCAAGTCCACCCTAGTACTCCTCGATTTTCTCCGCCCAGGCGGAAGTTCCGCACACTGATAGACACTATGATAAAAAAAAACCAGAGAAACAATACTCATATGTGGCCCTAATCAAACATATCTAGTACATCATTACCAAGAGTGGGCAATGACCACGAGAGCCGGAAGTCGCCTTGACAGACCATGACGAAGGCTATGACTAGACAACATACCTGGTAGAATCAGGCAATAGGACAAGATAATGTGTACTAGGGTTTCTTAAACAATATTTTACAAAGGCCTTGCTTCTGACCCAAGAGGAATCCAGGCAGTTGATAGTCTAAGTGGGTGAAGATAGAGCAGCATATTAGATGCCGCAGCCTAAATCTAGTATTCGTTTGAAAAGCACCCATATCTTGGATGTTATATGCAGTTTTCCCCTCTGACATCTATCTTGAATTTTCTGATTTCTAGCACCACAAAAACATGAAACGATGTGAAGCAAAGTCTTGATGTCCAATCCAAAACATCTGAGATTGTTGACACTGCAAGTGGAGGTTGATGCATCACTGTCCAACTTTGATTCCCAGAGGAAGGCTTAAAAGAATCGAATGATATTTTGGTGGTTAAGTCAGGTATTGAAAGTGAGGGTATCCCATAGCTCAATTGATTGCCTGAAGTTAAATTGCCATCAGAATCTTTGCGGGTCAAACCCTATGTAGGATTTTGAATTGATAATGGAGATGACAGAGTCTGAGCCCTGGGAGTGACGCATTCTGTTAAGTCTTCTTTTATTTGAAGATAGATGCCTAGAAATGGAACTTGATGACAGGTTTGATGCAACAACTCGCTGTTTCAAAGTCTGCTTTCATTGAAAGATGCAGGTTGGTAGTTTGCGATCAAAGAAAGACGGTTGTATTGCAGGGATCACAGCAAACTGAATTGGACAGCTAGATGCAGCTAATAATTGAGTAATCAGATCTAGCAAGTAGTAAGAGAGATTGATACAAGAGAGATAGGTAGCATAGAATAGCCCATAGGTAGGTAATGTGTAGATGACGGACTTCATTACCGAAATAGGAAGATTGTTGAAGATGAATGAATTGACATTTTGCATAGAAGGAAGATGAAACTGGCAATAGTATATCCTTTTGAATGTAAATAAAGATGGTGGTTGACAAAGAATGGATTTCTGGACGTATCTATTCGGTTTTGATTTGACTTCCTTTTCATCGCTGATCGACAGCTCGAGGAGTATAGTTGATAATTGGGAAGGGATACATATTTTCCACCTTAAACCGGATAGCTATGCATCTAGGTAAAATCTACCGTGACTGACGAGTCGAATGAGTACAAATAAAGGGGCTGTTGGGGTGGGCAAAGGGATGTGGATGCTCACGGCGGGCAGCAGGCACCGGACAGGGCGAACTGAAGGAAAAGGAGGGTCCGCAGAGGGCCGCCGAGGAAGTCGGTTTTCTGCCTTTGGCTCCCGCTGCTCCTCCTCTCCGCCAATCAGCGCCTTCCCTCCGGAGCGCGGTTGATCGACCGCTCCTCTTTCTGCGCTTCTTCTTCTGCTTTGCTTTCTTTTCCCCTTCAATTCTCTTCGCCTAGCGCGTTTCTCACCCACCCCCGTCCACAAATTCTCCGTCTTGTCCAAAGACAATTATCTAGGACTTTGTGCCTTCTGCGACGCGTTTCTCCCGGTATGTCCGCCAATTCACTATTCCATATCTCGCTTCTCCGCGCTCCGGTCTATGTCGCTACGACCACCAACCTCCGCGCGGTGCCGTCTGAGGCTCTCCGGTACCCGCATCATGACTTGAGCTGGAATTTACATCCTTTCACACACTGTCGTCATCTGGCGCGGCTCTGTGGTTTATACTTTCGATCTGATCTGATGTAGTCGCTAACGAGTCGCGTGCTTTTCTAGTTGGTTTATGTTCGAGGCCACTCGCGTTAGTCTCCGGTAGACTGGCGTGTGTTCGCCCACCTGGAAAAGGATAATGGTACGCGATTTCGCTCGTTCCTAGCAGAGATGGACTATGAGGTCACCGGCGGGGGAACAACAACGATAATCATAAAGCGCAAGCTCACTGTCGCCTAGGTCCTTTACAAACGCAAACCGGTCCAATACCTTCCGCGACCCGTGATCGAAGATGATAGCTCCGAGGTACGCCATTTGACAGCTGGGACGCACGATAATATTGCTTGATTGACACTTTTCTTCTCTTTTGTTAGGTTTGGGTGATCCCGGAGACCAACGAGGTCTTCACGAGCTATGAGCCGTACCTCCAGCGCATGGACTTTTACAAGTCACGCCGATTCATCTGCGAGATAACGGGCCATTCGGGAATGACATTTTTTGAAGCACTTCGCAGCGAGGTACGGGGAGTACACAGATGGCTGCAGGGACGTGTGCTGATTGTTTGGAACAGCTGGAAGAATCGCGCGAAGTGAACAATAGCTTCCCCGAGGCACTGAAGGAGCCAATCTTGCGCCGCATTCAGTTCTCGACGACATCTAGAGTTGACAATCTGGGTATGTTTCTTGAATCAGGGTAATTTATCCGAGACCACTGAACTAATCATTGGATATCACTTCGGCAGTGGACGAAATTTATGAAGTGAGATTGATAATCTGAAACCATTCTGCATGGAATTTGCAACTTACCTACTAACAACAATCCAACAGGAATTCAAGTCAGACTTCTACCCCGGAGAGCCGGTCCTTATCCTACTAGAAGACAACAGCAGACTCCACGGCACCATCAGAGACAAGGCCAACTTTGCCGAGCAGCTGTATGCAGACGGCACCATCAAGACCCCGGCATATGCCAGATACCTGGTTAAGATATCGGACCGGCCCAATGAGGAGGCCTTGTTGGATCAGGACCACATCACCCGTGATAGGAAGTCGTTCACGAAATTGATGCTTCGTGGCTTCATTAAGAACAATGTCACTCGAGAGTCGTGGACTGGTGCTCCATGGCTGGTGAAACCATCGGTCGCAGAGGAATACAAGATTTCTACGGAGGTACCTAAGCATTTACAGTATGGAGCCAAGGTAGCAGAGAAAAAGGCAATGAAGAAGGCAGATCAGGAAGGCTTCTTCGGATTCTTCTCTTCACAGCAGCTGCCTGAACTGAAGCCTGCTGTCAAGGGCGCGAAAGCGAAGATGACCGCACATGACCACGCCAAATCACGCGAAGCTCAATACCTAGAGTATCAACGATCCCTCAACGGCAATCCGACTTTCCTTCCTCCAAACAACCCACTTCGCCCAAGCAAGCCGCCGCTGGTCGGTGACAAGAAGATGTCTCATCTCTCAGTTGTCATCAAAAATGAGTCTCGACCACCATCACCACCTCCGATCAAGTACCCAATGGAGGATCTTGAGCTCGCTCCTAACAAGGAGAAGACTCATCGCCCGACTTTGAAATTCTTGATGGTCGGAGATACTGACGATGACGGAGCCGAGGACCTTTTGCCTGACGACGTGGAACCGGAGTCCGTGGGACTCCTCCTCGAAACTTGGGATACGCTAAACGTCTACTGTGAGGTATTCCAGCTAGATTCTTTCACCTTCGACGATTTCGTCCAGGCGATGCGCTTCTCATCGGAGGAGATGGACTGTGAGCTTTTCGTTGAGATCCACTGTGCCCTTCTTAAGAAGCTGGTTAATTCCGAGGGTAACGGCGGTGCTGCTCAGATTTCTCTTCCTGACTTCCCATCCGAAGACTCTGATGACTCTGAGAATTCGGACGAGGATGAGGAGAACGAAGAAAGCGAAGACGAAGAAGAGCCAGGTCCAGCAAGGAGGATGACTACTCGTGGTAGCCTGGCAAAGAAAGAGGCTGAGAACTTGAAGGCACAGCTCGAAGAGCCTGAAGAGGATGAACGAATCCACCGTGCCGCCGAGATGTTCGTCAACTACAGCTGGATTGATCGTCTACGACGACGAGACTTCCGCAATGGTGGATGGGAACTGGTGATGATTGGTCTCCTGCACCAGCTCTCTGTTCGGCCTCGCCTCGAGCAGACCTGCCATGAGATTCTCAAATATCTGGCGCCGCTCGATGAGCCCGCCACTCAGAAGACGGCACGGGAGCAATACCGTACCCTGGATGTGAACCTGCGAGTCAAGGCTCTCCAGATCATCTGTATGCTGAGTTTGGAGACCAAGGCCGTTCGGAATTACATGGAAGAATGCAGTATTCAGATGACGGAGTTCCGCAAGGTCAAGATCGAGCATCAAAAGGCTCGCAAGGCCGCGTAAGTTCAATTCACTGCGAAGCTGGCCATTAAGCTACTAGATACTAATTCTATCTTTGCTCATCAGACTCCAAGACCTGCGACAATTACACCAAGAGCGAAAGGCACTTCAGCCAGAACCCGAAAAGACCGCAGAGAAATCGCCGACACCTGTGCCCGAGCTTGACGGGTTGGACGACTCGAAGGTGACTGGTCTGGATGGGGATTCCGAGATCCCCATGGATTCAGATGACGAAGACACCCCTCGGCCGCGCTCACTCCGGGGCGGTGCAGATCGTGCCGCCGAACGTAAACGCAAGCAAGATGAGGAGCGGGAACGAAAGGAGCAGCTGGCCAAACAGCCCAAAGGCTCCAAGCAGTACCAGCGCGTGCTCAAGAAGATTGAAGACCAAAAGGCCAAGATTCAAAAGATCGAGGAAAAGATCGAATCAGTGGACAATGACCTCCGAGAGGCCGACTGCCCACGTACGAAATGCCTGGGTTTGGACCGTTTCTGCAATCGGTACTGGTGGTTCGAGCGTAACGCGATGCCTCCTGCTGGGATGCCGGATAGCTCCACGGCGGAAGCCGGCTATGCCAATGCTCGCCTCTGGGTTCAAGGCCCCGATGAGATGGAGCGTGCAGGCTTCATTGACCTGACTGATGAACAACGGAAGCAATACCAGAAGCACTTCCACACCACCCCGGCCGAGCGCAAGAAGCATGAAGAGGGCCCTACGCATGTGTCGACTGCCCGTGAATGGGGCTACTACGATGATCCCGAGGCGATCGAGCAACTGATCCAATGGCTGGATGCGCGAGGTAACCGGGAGTGCAAGTTGCTCAAGGAACTTCATTTGCAGCGACACAACATTGCCAAGTACATGACGAACCGTCAACAGTACCTGACGGTGAGCGCCGAACGAGCCGAGTCCGAGGAACTGCCTACGAAGCGCGTCACTACGCGCAAGAAGACGTACATGGATGTCAACGAGCACCGTCTCCGCTGTCTACGGTGGCACAGCGGCACATCTCTGAGCGAGAATGGCCATCTGCACGTTGACCCTGAGCGGCCCGCCAAGCGGCAGAAGCGGAACGCCGATGATACGCGAGGCGGCCGAGGAACGCGGGGAAAGACGTTGACCCGACGGGGCTCACGACGCGGGGGTTGATCCAGTTGTTCATTGATGGTCCCTCGAGCGAATCTGGTGTTTCCTTTTTTTTTTGGAGAATTATTTGTACCTGCTCACGCGACCCACGAATTCGTTATTGGTGTACGCTTCCTAGGAACTGGTCCATCTGTGTATAGTTGTTCTGAGCATCTTCTGGGGGAGTCGCGGGGGATTGATAGTTCTGGAGGGTGGTGTTTTGCTTGATTTTCCATGGTGGCTTGCGAATTCCAGAGGCAGATAGAACAATGGGAGCACATAGATTGATGAATACTTTGTTGTTGTCGTCGTGGTAGATACTCGCCTAACGGCCGCTGACAATTCGGCTTCTCGGGACTGGCAGTTTTTCGATTTTCGTGGCCACCACTCGGGACCCGGGGATGGCGTCCGTAACGGTACCGTAATTCCGCGGCTACACGCGGGGAGCGGCAGGTATCGGCACGTCAGTCCTTACGCCGAACCCGCAATGGCAAACCGACGTCAGTGAGGTTCGACGGGCAAACACTCAATTTCCTGCCTATCGCCTCTTCGTTTTCACAATCTCTCCTCAACGCTGCGCCGTATCGACGGTGAACACCCCAAACACTCGTCCTGTACATCTAGACCAATACCTGCATGGCCCGGAGAGGGTTCCGATGAGCCTCCGGTAGCCCGAAACTTTTCTGCCAAAATATCGCCGAGTGATCACGAGGGGCGCAGAATCAAGCGTTCAACCCGCCAGACCCTCTTTCCCCAGTTGCGCCTCGGCCGCACAAGATCGTCCATCTTCCACCCACTCCCTTTCCTCCCATGCCGGCTGGGATTTCAGACCATGCGCAGCTTGACTCCATCGTTCGCACCCAGCCACGCCACCAGTTTCACACAAGCCCAGAGTCCTCTCTGCAATCTAACTCTCCGATGAGTGGGATCGCTGAGACGAGATCGTCCATTGCTGGCGGTACCAGTGGCCAGATCACATCGAATGCCGGGGTTGACTCACAAAAAGCCGGCGGGGCTGTGAAGACGCGCAGTGCCGATTATATCTTGCGAAGCGGTCTCGCTGGAGGGTTAGCGGGCTGTGCGGTAAGTGCATACACAATTCGAAACGGGCCGAGGCAGTTGTATACTGATTGCGCGCGCTCCCCAAATCTAGGCCAAAACTGTTGTGGCTCCCCTCGACCGTGTAAAAATCCTCTTCCAAGCGTCGAACCCGCAATTTGCCAAATATGCCGGCAGTTGGGCTGGCCTTGCTGCCGCCATTCGTGATATCAAGCGCTACGAAGGCGCCCGAGGCCTGTACAAAGGCCATTCAGCCACACTCCTCCGTATCTTTCCCTATGCCGCCATCAAGTTCCTCGCCTATGAACAGATCCGTGCCGTCATCATTCCTTCCCATGATAAAGAGACCGCGATCCGCCGCCTAATATCGGGCAGCCTGGCAGGCATCACCTCAGTGTTTTGCACATATCCCCTCGAACTCGTGCGAGTACGACTAGCATTCGAAACGAAACGGTCGTCCCGCTCATCCTTGACCGATATCTGTCGGCAGATCTATAATGAGCGTGTTTCACCACCTTCGACAGGCTCTGCAGGGGCTAAGACCGCTTCGGCCTCCGTTGCTACAGCGGAGACTGTCGCATCGACAGTCAATCAGGCTGTGCCACGATCTGGCCTCGCAAACTTCTACCGCGGTTTCGGTCCGACCATTCTTGGCATGCTGCCATACGCCGGCGTTTCCTTCCTCACCCACGACACAGTCGGCGACTGGCTCCGCAGTCCCTCCATAGCACAGTACACCACAATCCCAGCCTCAGAATCTAAACCAAAGAAAGGTTCTCGCCACCCCCAGCTGACTGCCGCCGCTGAGCTCTTCTCCGGTGCAGTGGCCGGTGTTGTCTCACAGTCTTCTTCATACCCACTTGAAGTGATCAGGCGGCGGATGCAGGTCGGCGGCGCAGTCGGCGGCGGCCAAAGACTCGGCATCATTGACACTGCTCGCAAAATTTGGCTTGAGCGAGGCTTCCGTGGTTTCTGGGTTGGGTTGACCATTGGCTATATTAAGGTCGTGCCCATGGCCGCCACTGCCTTCTTTGTCTACGAGCGGTTGAAGTGGTCCTTGGGGATTTAGACCGCATTCTTTGAATTCCTGATTTCAGCGGGGTTCGAATGCCCCTCGCATCTATACGGTCTTCTCTACTTTTTTCAGAAACCAAGTGCATTCCCGCGATAGAACATGTGATTCTTGCTGCGGAGATAGTTGTGCAGCATTGGCATCGTTTTTGTGATTCCCAAAGTCGGCGTTGTGGATATTGATTGGGCTTTTTTTTTTTTTTTCTCTCAGCATTAGATGGGCCTAAGATGGCTCAAGTGGAGATACACTACGATGAATCCGGACATATAGTTCATTTATACAGATTTATGAAATATCCACAAGTAATTGGCCCTATATTCCCACTTTTGTAGTTGTTCGATCCCAGCGTGCAGAAGCCGCGGAGTCGAAGCGGAGCAGCGCACGGACCACTTGATCCGCGGCAAAAAAAAGTTGGAGACTTCAACTTTCTGTCGCGCTCCGCCGAGTCTCTTCCCCTCTTCTTTGGATCAACATACACTTGCACAATGACGACCCGGAAACACAACGAGTTTCTTGATGCGCCCAGTGACGAGGATGAGGCGAGCGTCCGCGGCTACGATTCCGAGGAGAATGTGGCGGATTCGAAAGGTCGGGCCGTGAAGAAGCGCCGGACCGATACACAAGACTTCTTCGGTCTTGGGTCAGACGAGGATGTATCCGCAGACGAGGAGGATGAAGAGGAATCACGAGCCGATGTCAAAGGAAAGTCCCGCAGGCAATCAAAAACGACAAAGCGAGATGGTGCCTCGGGGGAGGAAGACGAAGAGGAAGATGAAGATGACGAGCACGACGAGGATCAAGATGGAGGCGCATATCTCGAATCCACACCCGAAGAAAAGAAAAAACCCGCAAAGATCCTATCCACAAAGTCACTCAAAAAGCCCAAGAAGGACAAGAGCGGCGTTGTCTACCTCTCGTCACTGCCACCGTACCTCAAACCGTGAGTTATTGTGCCACCCAGATTCAACCGGCAATTCAGTACTAACTCACATAATAGCTTTGCGCTCAAAAATATCATGGAAAAACGGGGCTTCGGCCCAATCCGAAAGGTGTTCTTCGCTCCGCTCGTTCCCAGCAACTCCTCGAAGCCGCAACGCAGTAACAAGCGCAAACTTTATTCGGAGGGTTGGATTGAATTTGAATCAAAGAAGACGGCACGTTTGGCGGCGGAATCTATGAATGCTCGTCCGCTTGGCGGGCCGAAGGGGATGTACTATCGCGATGATGTTATTAACATGCGGTACCTGTGAGTTTCCCTTTAAACGCTTCGCTTTGCAAATCTCTGGACGTATACTGATTGATATTTTGCTAGATCTGGATTCAAATGGGCAGATGTAGGCTTCCCCCTCCCCTGTTGCACAGAACTAGCCGTTTCCTGCGCCCTTGATTATTCGCGCCTTTCGACAACCGTCTTTTCACTTTGGATCATTCACTAACTAATTGCTTCTAGCTGATGGAAACCGTCCAACGCGAGAGATCCGAGAGAGAAAGCAAACAACGCATGGCGGATATCCGAGCCAAGAAAGAAGAGAAGGTCTTCTTGGCCGGTGTCGAGGCAGGACGGCGTCTGGATGGAATCACCCAGAAGAACGAGGAGAAGAGGAAGCGCAAGGCCGAAGCAGAGGGCCAGACGGAAGGCGTGGATTTCGAGCCAAAGAAGCCTGCTCACGTACGGAGACGGTTCGTACAGAATGATGTCGTTTCTGCATCTGATAAAGATGAGAAGGCTATTGGGAATGAGGCTAAGAGGGTGCTTGGGAAAATCTTTTAATGTCTTGCTTCGAGGACTTTGTTATTCAGCGTATAGAACTGCATTTATTCATGCATACTACTGGACCTTCTTCTCATGATGATGTACCACCAAAATCCCGAATCAATCAGTAAACTTCCCTGCCGATGGTCTAGTGCTCTGTATGACCCGAAGGGTACTGGGACTGCCATTGCGAATGGCATCGGGGGATGAAGGTGGAGCATCGTCGTGGTTTAGAAGGGAAAGAAGGACAGGGAAAGTCTGCTCATCTAAGGAATCTGGAAGCTTGTATATGGGCAGCTACTCGATCCATCTTGCGATTTGACATACTATGTTCAAAATATCTAGCCTCTCCTCTGACGATGAGAATGCGCATACATTTGCATGCTATCTATTTGCAAAACTTTTGCTTCTGAACCATCCCCCTGAAGAAGATACAAGAAAAAGAAAGCATGAGACTATAAACAAATAACGCCAGCCATGATCATCAAGGATATCACTTGCATAAAAGCTTCATTCTCGTTCTCATTCTCATTCTTCGTTCATAGTGAGCTCGTCGAAGTCATCAAGCAGCTCATCCATGTTGATCTTCGGCACCTCGTCCTCACTACCACTGTCTTCGTCCATCTCATGGTCCTGGTCAGCCTTGAGACGAGCTTTATACAGATCCAGAGTTTGACGCAGCTCCTGATCTTCCTCGACATCCCGCAAGAACATTTCGAAGTCCTGTTCGAGACGATCCTGCTCCTGCTCTTGTCGACGGGTCTGTTGGCCAGCGAGGGCTTCCTCCTCGTACTCGCGAGCCATGCGCTTGAGGCGCCAGGCACGGTTCTTGGGCTTCTTCTTGCGAGCGTAGTGCTTCTTCACGAGGACGACGTCTGGAATCGTCGATCCATACTGGCTGCTGGCCTCGATGGCCTCGAAGTTATCATCGTTGAAGATGGTGCCAGTCAGATGGTAGCCCAGCACGGAGTCACCGACATGCAGAATACCGCCAAGGTGGGTTCGTGTGTAGTATGTGGTGTCGTTGCTGCCCAGATCCGATGCCCGGGCGACGGTAGCTTCGGCCAGGCGATACCGGCCGGTTGAGTGGCCGAGAGGCTCGATATCCATAATGATGAACTCCTTCAGCTCTGTGACATCAGCCAAGTTCCTGAATGGCGAGCGCCAGTAGGTGCCGCTGGCAACATCGGCCGTTTGAAGGGTGAGAGGGTCTAGAAGGTTGACACTAGTTCCGACACGGTGGCAGAGGGTCAAGGGCGAGATATTGCCCAGCTGGCGAGCAAGCTTGATAGGCATGGCAACCAAATCATCCTTACAGATGGGGATCAGTTCAACAGAGTAGGTGAACTGAAGACGCGTTAGTCACTGTGTAATGATGGTACTCTCGTGTCCGGCCATGACATACCTTGTAGGACTTGGTGGAGGTGTGGATATCCATGGAAATCAGCTCTTGGGACTTCTTCATCTTGCAGGGAATCGTGGACTGCAGGAAGTCGACCATCTAAATTGTGTTAGCATTGCTTGTCACGGAGCAAGATGATAACCGCGGTGACCCACCTTCTCAGCGTGATTACGCTGCGCAAAGTAGAAATCCAAACCATCCTTCGCTTCCTTAATATTGACAGTATCCTTGTGCGCACCGGCCTTCAGAATCAGCTGCTCCAGGAACAGGAACGTCCGCTTGTGTGGGACCTTCTGTCGAACTTGGACCGAGGCTCTCCAGGTGTTGTGTGTATAACTCTTCTTGCAGTCATCACACTGCTGGGATGCAACCACATATTCCACCTCGAATGTTTGCTGAACGATGGTGCCTTGGAAGGCCTCTTGCTGGATGGTGATCTTCACCTTGATACGACGAGAGTGGGGTTCTGTCCAGATGAAGCTCGCATCGATGATTCTGACTATAACAGAGAGATTTGATGAGTATGAGTTCGCTTATAACTCAAGACAAATCCGGATATAACCTACCTTTGTTGAGACCACGGAGACGGCGCAGACAGACAGCCAACAGCTCTTTGGATTCGGGGTTTGCAACGACCCAGCTATTCGGTGGTTGCAACCAGCGCTCACAGTCTCGGCAGCAACTGAAGATCATGTCAATATCATCACGTCGGGTGAGTCAAGCGACCAAAAGACGTACTGCAAAGTTCCCTCTCTTTGAATACCCTGAGACACGTCCACGGTGTTCCGAAGACACTCTGCACAAATAGATCAGTATCTTCAAATTCCAGAAGTAAGACTTGGGTTCTTACCAGAGCAAAGAGCACCAGCCGAGGCCGTTCCGTCAATAGGAGCACCACAGTTACAGCAGAGAATACTATAGCAGATTAGTTTAAGCTTGCGCAGCCAAGAATCGTGAGGAGACTCACGTCGCTGTGATAACGGGCTGCTCTTGCAGTCCCGTCATGGGAACAGGGGCATCTAAATCCATCGACATGGTGGAAATAGACGATCAACAAAACAATTTGGGAAAAGATTGGAATCTCGAAAAGATCGATTTGTAACTTTTGCCCCGCCTCGATAGGAATCTTTTTTTGTTGATGACTCAGCTGTTTGCATCCTTTGCATTCGGCGATAGCAGCCGCCCCGTTCGATTCTCCGACAAGCAAAGCTGCGCTCGTGTGCTCATCAGCTCAGTTTCATCACGCCGCAATGAGCAGGGCTTTGCTACGAGGGGCCGCATGCCAATCATGTCGCTATGAGATTATCCGATCATTCCTTGCCGTCTCCGGTGTGCCGATTCCCCGGTTTACTCCGGCTATTCGTTCCAGCTTTCCCTCCAGAGGTTTCTCCGTGGTAGGCTCTTTGCGCTCTGATCGGCCCCCTGTCTCGAATCCGCCAGATATCAATTTGTCACCTGTGGAAGAGAAAGATGTTGAAACGAAACCAACTGCTCAAGCTACATCGCGTGTTCCGTGGTATTTGCAGGAGGAGGCACAAACCATCGAGGAGCGCCCCATACCAGGCGATCATATCCCCGAAATTCCTGAAAATTCGCCCGAAATGCTTCCGGTTCTTCTCGAGTACACATACAAAGATCTTGGTTTGGACCAGTTGAAGCTATTTGACCTGCGAGGCCTCGAGGTTCCCGCGGCATTGGGTGCCAATGTGATCATGATTGTCGGAACGGCACGCAGTGTGAAGCATCTAAACGTCTCCGCTGATCGTCTCTGTCGATGGCTCCGAAGCAAATACAAGCTTTCTCCGTACGCCGATGGGTTGCTGGGACGTAATGAGTTGAAGATCAAACTCCGTCGCAAGGCTAAGCGGGCGCGTGCGGCCAGCCATGCCGGCCGCATGATCGACGAGAAGGACGATGGAATTACGACAGGCTGGATTTGTGTGAACGCCGGAGTGGTGGATAAGAACGCGGCTCGGACGGACCTCAGCGATGCTGGATTTGAAGGCTTTGGACAGCTGGAACTCGGCACCAACGTCGTGGTCCAGATTTTCACGGAAGAGAAGAGAGCTAAGCTCGACTTGGACGGCCTTTGGCAGAAGACCTTGGAACGAGCCGAACGAGATCGACTTCGAGAAGTGCCTGAATCAGAGCCTGGGGTAGAATACTCCACAACCAGTCGTCCTTCCTTCGGAGGTATTGGAAATCCCAATGGTCAGAGGAGGAGCATGCACACCGTTCAGCGCACCGTGAACCCCAGCACCGGGTCTGGGAAATCAGGACTGCTTGCCGCCTTAGCTGCAAAACCAACCACAGCAGAAGCTCCTGGTCCTGGAATGAGCACAGATTCCCTGCTGCGCATGCTCATGTCGCTCCCTCACGAGAATGCCCGGGCCGAGCTTGGATCTGGCCCGGATGACTACAACTCTACCGTGTTCTTGCAGCTCCTTTACGCCAGTCTCACCGACGATATGTCCGCACGCGATATCGCGGTTCTTCGTATGAAGTTGTACTCTATTGCCGTTTCCCGGCAACACCCAGCATATAGCAAAGATACCCTTTTCAGGGCCTTTACCGATCTCCTTCGTGATGGCTATGAGCTGGAAGATGACCTTGCTTTTGATACCGTTGCTGCGCTGTTGGCCCCGAGGTCTGTCCAGGATCACAATAACCAGCCTGCCAACTATCTTCCGCAAGAGGACATTGAGCTCGCGCTGGAGGTTCTGGATCGCCTCAGTCTACGTGGTGTTCCAATCTTCAACTTCAAAGTCTTCAACATGCTCTACCGAGTAGTTGATACACCTATGAACCCGCCTGCTTCGTCTCCACGAGGAGATTTGCCTGAATTGGAGCAGCCCGTCCTGGCTACGAGCGGTAAAGAGTGGACCAAGTCTCAGCGGCTGATGCTGAACCGATTGTCGAAATTGGTTTCTGCTGCTGAAGTTGCTTTTGATGAAGAAGAGGCACGGCAGCTGATGGTGACCCAGTTTCGATGTGAGGACTACAATGGTTTCTGGCGTATCTGGAGACAGCTTCCCTTGAAGGGCACTGGTCGTACGCAAGATGATTACCGCAATCTATTCCAATTGCACGCAGATCTTGGGGAAGAGGGCCGGGCACGAGACTGTCTCTCAATGTGGGTTCCAATGATGGATCGAGAGTCTCCCGCTATTGAGCTTAAGGGTCCTATTGTGACTTCCGTCATGCATTGTCTGCTGGTGGCAGACCCCGATATTCAGAACCGAGTCGAGGATGGGTCTCCCAGCTTTTTCTTGGGACTGTGGCGACGATGCCAGGAAGCGCTGGCACGGCCTAGCCTGTGAGGAAAAGTCATTCTGTATTATAACCTGTTATATATTGTACCAACACCGAGAATATCCTCCTTCGTATACTATATCATGTGCATTCCAGTACAGAGTGGTGGTAGAGTAGTGGAAATGACATAGTTCTGGTTAGAGTCGAGTGTGACCCGCTCGGACGACCTTGAGCCTCGGCTGAAGCCGATCCCTCAATCCGGCACCGAGCACTTCCCTTCTTCTCGACCGACCGCGCTCTCCATCAACCATCCATCTGCGACTGCTTGAGGATGACTGGTGCTCCAAATCATGGAGTACTTACCTAGTCTTCAACAGGAGTTTGATGAGCACAAGCCATCGCTCTTCGGTCAGTCCTCAAGTCTACCCTTTCTTGCGGGGGAAATGGAGTCACCCCTCGGAATCCGGGGAACTTCTATCCTCTCGTGGCGTCACGGCAAAGATTCCCAGATGCTAACCAATCGATTGCTGCTTGCTAGAACTCCTCGCTGAGCAACAGCTCTCTGATCTCCTTCCACCTTCCCTCCGTTACCTCCTCGCCGTCGCGACACACCGCCACCCGCGGTACCTCCTCCGGATCCTCAACTCCTACGACGAAGTCTACGCCCTCCTTTCTCTAGTTGTCGAGCGCTACTATCTCCGCACATTTGGCGGATCATTCACCGAAAATTTCTACTCTCTCAAGCGTGAGCGTGTGCTGCGAACCAAGAATGGCGAGATCCCACGCGCCCAGGTTGGCGCGGGCGGCCCCGTGCGCGACACCCTTAAGCTGCGCTCGGCAGACGTGTGGAAGAACCTGCTCGTCATGGTCGGCATCCCCTACTTGAAGCGCAAACTCGATGAGGGATATGACATCCATGCCGCGCCACAGGCATCCCTGGTGATGGGCGGCGGGCCGCGATACAACCCCAGCGATGACCTCCCACACAATCCAACCATCCGCCAGCGTATCTTCCACTACTATAAGTGGTTCTTGCGCAATGTATACCCGTCAGTCAATGCGGCATACTACTTCTCTATCTTGGCGTTCAATCTCGCCTACCTTTTCGATAATACTAAATACTCATCGCCTTTCCTTTGGCTGATCGGGACACGCATTCGGCGCCTGGGAGCCGCTGATCACCGTGCTATTGCTGCGGTGCTGGATCCCAAGCCCGCACCTGGCGGAAACCGCTCTCAGCGGCCTGGCTCGGGATTGATGGGTCTCTTGAGTCCGCAGAACATGTACCCACAACTTCTCACATCTCTGCGCTACTTCCTCCCCGCATCGATTTTCGCGTTGAAGTTCCTGGAGTGGTGGCATGCAAGTGACTTCTCGCGCCAATTGGCTCGCAAGGCGACTGAAGTCCTGGACTTGCCAGCTCCAGTGGTCTCGGGATTGACCAGCCCAGCCGAGCGACGCAAGTCTGGACAGGAAGAAAAGGAGAAGAAGCAGGCGGAGCAGGAGAAGAAGGCTTCTGGGGACCTGAAGTCTGCATTGAAATCACCTCGCCGACATCAACCACCTATTTCCGCAACTTCCTACCTTCCCATTTTTACCGTGCCTCTACCTCCGGCCGATACATCAAGCGCAAACACTTGTCCTGTGTGTTTGAACACGCTCGTCAACCCAACAGCCTGTCAGACGGGATATGTGTTCTGCTATGTGTGTATCTTCCACTGGCTCAATGGAGAGCACCAGCGACAACTGGATTTCATGAATGGAGAAGGTGCAGGTGCTCCCTGGGAAGAGGAGATCACTGGAGATGATGAGATGACGAAGAAATCATCAGATGGCCAAAGTTCCGACGACAAGGCCCCTCGCAAGCGTAGCGGAAAGTGGGAGAGTGGTAAAGGGAGATGCCCTGTTACAGGGAGGAGGGTTCTTGGTGGAACCGATGGCCTCCGGAGGGTGTTGATTTGAGTGATGATGTATATACCTACTTGTACCTCTAACTACACATATTCTCCTTGCATCACACTGAGCAAGTTCTCAGGAGCATCCACTTCATCCGAGAAGCTTCTGATATTTACTTTATCAAGAAATCACGCTGTACAGTGCGACTCCATAAGTTTAACCCTCAACCAAACTTTAATGATCTCGTCAATCATACTTGGAAAGATAACCTGACCTAGGGAGGAGTGAAGCGAGTATTAACTCATGATTTTCTCGGACATTTCTTGACATTCGATTCCATAATCATTAAGCATTTCTTGTTAGATAGTTGCTCCCTAACCCTATTTATGACCCTCTCCAACAACATGTTCCTCATGCTCGCTAGATGATGCTTTCTCAAGGTCCACATGTCTCTCAGCAGCCTGTCCCTCGGCAGTTGGAGGCTTTACAAAGCCAATCTTGTACCAAGGCAAAGAGAACAAGGCACCTGCGCTCGCCATGCTGCGTCCCTTGCATGCCGGGAAAGCAAAGAAGACCCACACTGTGGCACAGCCCGCGAAAGCAGTGAACGGGGCAAAGGGACCCCAGGCGTGCATGTCCACAGTCATGCTAGGGAACCCACGAGTAATGGCAAAATTCAGCAAATTCTGATAAATAAAGGCAATAGTCACCACCGTTCCGCGTGTTGAGGTCGGGCAGATCTCAGAAGCTGTCAATGAAAAGACGGGTGCCCAGCCGAATCCATAGCCAATGGCAAAGATACAGATGGCGACGATCGCGATCCATGCTGCAGGTGACGGGCTGGTGGATCCAGAAATATCGGCGACCCCCAGGTAAACGGCGAGGTAGAGTAGACACCCGGTGTTCATCGATGAGCCAATGATCAGCAGTGGATGCCGACCAAAGCGATCAGTGAGGTAGAATGCATAGAATAACACACTTGCGACTTTGATCATACCATAGACTGCGGAAAATAAGAGAACCTGGTTGGAATTGAGGCCGATTGACTCCAAAATGGTCGGCGCATAGTACGTGATCGAGTTTCCACCACTCATAATGAAGAAAGTTTGGACAATCATAACGAACAAGAGCATCTTGCGGGTCGGTGGATCATTGATGCATGTGCCTAGCAATGACTTGGTGGATTGCCAGGCAGAGAGACTTTCAGCAGTTGCATCGACACGGCCTCTGAGCGCTTCATACTCGCGGCTGAAATAACTCTCGTTTCCATCGATACCACGAGCCTTAAGAATACTCTGCCGGCCATCCTCTGCCCTTCCTCTCATCATCAAGTAGCGAGGACTTTCGGGGAAGAAGGGAAATCCAATAAGGAGCACGATAGCAGGGATCAGCTGAAGGACGAGAGTGGCTCGCCACTGCCACCTGTTCTGTGGAGAGATATGCTCATAAGAAGCATAGTTGATCCAGTAGCTTCCCGTAACGCCGCTCATGATGTTGATGTTGTAATATAGGGACCTGTGATTTACTAGATCCCGTTAGTTTTGCTGTTCCCAGCATAGCGCCCTAATACACCGTCTTGTCACCATTTCCTCCGTCGCCTCGACATAAAAGACCCGACCTGCCCTCTCGTCCCCTTCTATCCTTCTTTTCCCTCCCCTCAACTCCTCTATCTTGCACTCTGGCCCCCACCGACCACTGCGCCTTGTTGCCTAAGCCCCGTTGACTCTATAATCGATTGGCCGAGAGGATAGGATGGATCGATAGGGAAACCGGGATATACTCTAGCACGATTATATATGGACAGAAAATAAAGAGGGAACTATTATCTCCATATCGGTGCGTCCAGCGCATTTTTTCTTTGGTCCTGAGCCACGGAACAACTGGCAGGCAGAGCTATATCGATCCAGCGATGAGAACCAGACGCAGACGATACGTAGACATACGTTCCCCTGAAATAGCAACAGCGATTCACAGTATTTCTATAGGATCAAAGATCAGCGGGCAAGTCATTCGTTAGGTAGTCCGTTTCCACCTCAGACACAGCCCCAATATTACACCCCTCTCCCTCGCCACTGAAGGCACAAAGGTCGAGCAGCTTCCTATCTACAATCCTGACTATGTATGTTTTACCTAGGCGCGCGGCCTCCCGAGCAAGTCGGTCTGCCGCATTGTTCCCTGGATTATCATAATGACCTGGTATCCACTGGGGACGTAGCGCGATGTTTTTTACTTGGATCTTGGCTGCTGCTGAGAGAATCGCGTGGACGATTTATTGTCCTGATTTGCTTCTTGCTTTCTGGATTGAAGGCAATGCCGGACCTTCTATCGCAGAGAATTGTCACTGTTACTAGGCATCCGTACGCGTCACGTAAGCGCTGGTAAGCCAGCCTTAATAACATACTAATAGCGTAAAAGATGCCGATCAGCTCTGCTACGTGGACCGACCAGCGGTCCATCGGTCCTACTTGAACCTGATCAGATACCACAGCCTCCTGATTTTCATCAAGAGCGACCACGGCCGCGCCATAATAGCCCTCGAGACCCGAGGCGTCCGAGTGTATAATTATATCTGACGTAGAATGTGCGGTCTCTGCTCGTTCCCTCGCTGTTTCTCGGTTCGACTCGATTTTAATCTCTGCTAGGGCCTTAGCACGCTATAGCGGTAGCGGCCGTGAGCCAAAAGATATTAAGTAGCTGCGATAGGCATACTTATATCGAACGCTACCCCAGTTTTCCGCCGAGCAATAGAGGCTTCTGGTATTTTAGGCTTTACTACACCTCTCACCCTAAGTATCTGTTAGTTTGCTCCGTAAGTATATATGACGGGTAGGCTAACTAGGACGACACCGCTTTAATTAACTAAGGTCGATCTTAGGCCCTTAGTGCGGGTGAGGTAGTTAACCCCCCGCTTTTTGTATACTGATACGCGCATTCGTCCTCTTAGGCTATAGGCCTTGAACGAGGTCGGTCCGATTTTAGCTTGACTGCGTACGTCACCGGTTCACTACCGCCTCGCCGTATCGCGCACGATGCGATCCTAGACCGTATGTAAGCTTAGGGGCGTTCTGTCTTCTTCTTAGGACGACACCACTTCCACCGGTAATGCAAGACCGGTATGGGCCCGAGTGTGAGTGGGGTAAGAAGAAGTCGGATGGATTTCGTATCCTATTATCCCCTGATTTTGGTGTGGTCGTGCGGTCGTGCCCTGCACCCAGCGCACCGGGCCGGACCGTATAACCACGACGGATTCACTTTTGGTCTCCCTAGCGGGGATTAATACCCGACACTACACGAAGGTATAAAGCTATTATCCTAACAGCCTGGCTAGGGCTGTGGCCCAGTGCGAGCTCACTGGGGGCGACATCAATAGTACTAAACAGAACAGCCACGGTCTGGCTCATCGCCGCCTAAATGCATAGCCCCTACATCATCTGAGAGAGAGCACTTGAGAGTGCAGAGTACTTGTGGCATCAATTAAGGATTTGAGGCGCATAGTCAACCTCAGCTTGAGCCCCCAATCATGACCTTAATCCGAGGGTTCCACCATAGCTAAAGCACTAAGTAAGCGCCGCCCGGGATCAAATGCAGCTAACGCATGGCAATCACGTTCCTAACGCGTCGCACGATCCACGTTTTGCATGAGGAATGCCCCTCGGAGCACACAATAATTAAATAAAAATACACCACTGCAAACGATTATCCTCACAGTTCGTGGGTCAGACGGGCTGAGCAGGGATTAATTCAAATGTCTCGTCCGGAGACCAACAACCGCTTCAGCAAAGTACGAACGACAGCTCCACGGTTGGAGCAAAATGTGGTGCGGCGGCCCCCAGGCCAACCAGATGGGGATGGGCAACAGGAATGGCCCCATCGATACCATATGCATGACAAATCGGCTACATGGGTTAGCTAGGTTCAGGCGTCCTTTGGGTCTCCTCGCTTCTCCTGTCAAGCTGCCCTTTATGACTTTCCCCTTACATAAATCCCATGCAATAGAAGTGCCCCAGGAAAGGCAATATGGCTACCAAAGATGCAGCAAAGGAGGCTGTGGTGGGAATCGCGAAAGAGTACGGTTTCATTCAGCCCAGTTCCCTTGATGAGATTGGTCGAATTGACCCCGCGCTTCGACGCGAAGTCGAGGAGAGTATGTTGGCTAAGGACAAGAAAATCGGACACTCGATCATCACGTAAGATAGCTCAAACTGTTTGATGAGCACAAGAAATTAACATCCTTATCTAATATGTGCAGACTTGCCAAACACATCTACAGCAGCAACGCACGTTTTGTCTTTGAGCTCCTCCAAAATGCTGACGATAACCAGTTCGGACGGGCGCTCGCAAGAAATGAACTACCGTTTATCGCCTTCCATGCCTTCCCCGACAGAATCATCATCGAGTGCAATGAGGATGGATTTACGAAGGAGAATCTTTCGGCGATATGCTCCGTAGGAGAGAGCACCAAAGCAGCATCGCACGGCTACATTGGAGCCAAGGGCATTGGTTTCAAATCGGTGTTTATCGCGGCATGGAAAGTTGAAATACAATCGGGAAATTACACCTTTTACTTCAAGCATGACAGGGAAGACCTCGGTCTTGGAATGGTGCTCCCCGTGTGGCAGAATGTCGGCGATAGCGTACCTGATTCGTTGACTCGTATAACCTTACATCTTCACCAGAACGGGGATCCAGACGAGATCCAACATCTCCACCAAACAATTTTCCGACAGTTAAATGACCTGGAGGAGACATGCCTCCTTTTCCTGAGGAATCTTAAAGAGATACAGGTGTCCTTCTATGATGGAGATGGCGAATTTCATGAATCTAAAAGGTTCTATCTTGAGGGGGATTCTTCATGGAAGGTTTCCCTCAACAAGGAGTCTGTTGAGAAGGATGGCAAGGAATCTGTTCAGGTTCTTGACTACTATGTCACTCGTTATATGGGAAACGGGCTCCCAAAGAGTGACAACCGTGAACTTCCCGCCACTGCAGAAGCGCAGCGAGTTTCTGCACAGGCCGAAACTGTTCTTGCGTTCCCGGTAACACAGGATAATTGTCCAATATTGGAACCTCAGTCTGTGTTTGCCTTTCTCCCTATAAGGAAGACTACTTTCAAGGTGAGTGATGGACGAGAGTTGCAGGCCGAAAAATAGCTTACTTGTCACAGTTCCTCATTCAATCCGACTTCGACACCAGTGCAAGTCGACAGGACATCTCTCTGACATCTAGACGTAACGCTCATCTTCTCGATCATGTTGCTTCGGCCTTTCGCCAGGCCGTCTTGGATTTCACGTCTGACAAGGACTTTTCATACAAGTGGCCAGCGTACCTTCCATCCTTAGAAGAAGCTGCCGGGACATTCTGGGCCGACCTTCCTTCAAAGATTCTTGCACAGCTTTCTGGACACGCCGTCATACGTACTCGACACAATAGGCTTCAACCAATTACCGATGTGGTGATACCGACTCGCGATTTCAAAGACAGCGATGGAAACGTTTTGCTTGATCACGTCGATATCGATCCTTTCATCTCGGACCACTATTCAAGAAAAGATAGAAAGTATCTTACTCCTTATGGCCTGAAAAGCATGACATTCGGGGTGATTCTGAGGCTTCTTCGGGAAGACCTGAAGAGTCCACTGTCGCGGATGAAATCGAAGGGCTTAAGTGATGATATTCATAGCCGCATGGCGAAGCTTCTGGCTCGATTTCATTCGTTTCAAAGTCTGCGGTCACTTGACCTGCTTCCCCTACAGGATGGGACTTGGGTTTCACCAAACTCAGGCCCTGTTTTCTTCCCAAGCACCAAGGGAATTTCTATTCCTCCAGGACTTGGTTTTCGCATTCTGGACTCAAGTGCCACCACTAATGAAGACCGTTACGCCTTTTTCTCAAGCATGGGAGTCAATGAGATTGCAGTTCACCTAGCACGAGAAGCAGCCTTTGAAAGGAATTCCTCAGTGTTTGGGCACCCAAACATAGCTAAATCAAAAGAGCACTTGGTCTTTTTGTACCGGACCCACCAATTCAGGACCGGTGGTGAGAAGAACAAAGCCATGCATATATTTTCTGAAGATGGTCATCTAAGAAGGACAAGCCAGCAAGATTGTTATATCCCATCAAACAATCCGTATGGCCCAAAGCTTCTCCTGGGACCCACGGATAGCCTGCCCGGCATGACAGTGCCTTTTGTTCATCCGAGTTACCTCGAGGACACCCCAGAAACACCCAGTGCTATACATTCCTCGTGGATTCAGTGGTTGCAAACGAGTGTCGGCGTACGGAAAACCCTGAGGCTTATCGCCAAGGATGGTCAGAGTCTCTCTTCCACCTGGGACTACCTGTATAAACACCGACCACAGAAGCTGCTTGGGTTTTTGAGACATGCCTGGGGAGATGAAGGTGGACTCATAAATGAAAACGAGTCATTGAGGCAAGCTCTTCGAGAAACAGATGCCAGCCGGCTCTGTGACGTCGACCTCCCAGGAGAATGTCGGCTTCATGAGGCATACCTTCCATTTCCGAATCTTACCCATCAATGCGCGCAGTTTGTAGACAACGAGGCTGTCTTTCCATTCTTACACTTGGAGGGAGATTCAACCGTGGAGCAACTAAGTTCAAATTGGCTTTTCCTTCACACCTCTCTTGGTGTGAAAAAAGACGAAGATCTTGACTTTTTACTCGACATCTTGAAGTGGTTGAAAACTTCAAACCCTGATGCAAGTCGTATCAGTGACTTTGAGCATATTTTCAGCCTCTATAGTGCCATACATTCCAAGTTAATTGGCACCAGAGACAAAGTGGAGTTGAGAGAGCGCATCAGGTAAGTGCGCATATCAACCGACACTGTCGATAAGACTCGTCCTAATTTTCCACATCAGGTCATTTTTTCAAAGTGATTCCTACATATTTGTTCCCCAATTTGCTGAGGCTAGCATCTCGAGTGCAACCTGGACCAAACCCGAGCTTTGTCTCTGGCGAGCACCCCAGAATTTAATCAGCAGATATCCAATTGAGCCAATTTACCAGCATTTTGTCGCTGATGAGACCCAACTATCATATATTTCGACCCTTTTTACCCAGACCCTCGGAATCAACTCGGCATCTTGGTCTAATTTGACCATTGAATTGGCCGTACTCAGAGAGTCTCAAACCCAGGATTTCGTCTCAATATTTGATGTCTATAAATACCTCCGTGAGATGAATGTTTTTCTTTTCGTCGAAGATCTCAGGTACCACAACCTTCACAGATTTGACGTATATATTCGATATTGATGATCTATTCCCAGACGTGAATTTCGCGAGAATGCGCTGATCTTTGTAACCAGCAATTCACAGAATGGCTGGTACAAATCTTCCGAGTGTTTATGGTCGAGCACCACAGACATACGCGGACGGGTTACACTCAATGAGGATTATGAGGAATTGAAGGAATTTTTCATTGACACCCTAGGGGTTCAAACGCTCACTCTTCAGATGGCGTATGACGATCTCCTAGAAGCCAGCTCCGAAGCAACGATGGATGAGATCATATCTAAGATTTGGTGTCTCAATGCATTACTGCCCACAGATGATACTTATGTGGACCCGAGGCCCCTGCTACAAAAGCCGATTTTTCCTGTTCTCTACCCCGATGGCTCAAGAGCTCTTCGTTCTACAGATACCCGGTTTGCAATTGCCGATCGAGAACACTTGGCATCACGATTCCGAGGAAAGATCAAAATGCTTGACTTTACCCAGGAGGAAGTTCGTAGCCTGAAAGTCTTCTTCGACTGGGCCAACCTTTCACATTGCTACCTCTCTGCTTCCGTCAGGGAGCTAACATCTATCGCTGGCGACACGACACCTTGCAATCCATCTCCCACGCGTGATTTAAAACGTAAAGCGTATGCTATTCTTCGGTATGTTGTATGTTTCCACAAAGTGATAAATTTTAGGCTAATATCCTCCGCCGCGATTCAGTGTAGCGGGCACATTCAAAAGCCCTAGGTATCATGCAGACAGACTGGACCTTTACAGACTACTTCGGACGGTTAGCATTGAAGTTGCGGAAAATATTGTCACCCTTCTGCGGATTACTCAGGGTGGTAGGTCAGTGGACGTGGAAGAAACGGTTGCAAAGCTACACATTTCAGAACAGGCATCTCTTCTTTCTATCTACCTTCCTAGGGACAGAAAGGCCCAGGAACTTTGCTATTGTGATCTTCTGCCAAGAAAGATTGTTGACTGGCTCATGAGGGATCCTGTCACACAAATCCTTGAACCTATCGACGCCGATATGGTGAAAGTAATGATCATGATTTGCAGCATCCACCCTTCCGCTGCAAATCTCATTTTAGATCGTGAGGGTGTGGCTGAAATTGACATCACGAACGAGGACATTGGAGTCGAGGATGACATCCATTCCGAGACCTCGGAGTGTTCTGAGATAAGCAGCAATGAAGATCCTAGACAGCTCACGAGCGCAGACACTTCGATTCCTATCCAAAATGTCCATGAGGCCCGACTCACTGCCAGACAAACCTCAACGGCATCTAATCCGCCTAGCCCCGATTATAATCGGCCAGTACCCATTTCCTTGTTCAACAGTCATTTGCCAGAGAACAATATGCAGTATCAGCATCTGCTAGATCATGTGATTCGATTCGCACGGCGAGCCTCATTTCCTTCAAATGGGGCATTCAATATGTCCCAGCTGAACCGAACGTTGCCAGGGAATGAAGAGACTGGTCAATACGAAGGATTCGATGGCCCCCAAGTTAGGAATGCTTTTCGCTCCAACAGCCAGCTTGAAAGAGACAAAAAAGTTGGAGCTGCGGGGGAACTTTACGTATGCATCAGTTCCCGACCAGACTTTCAAGTATCCTTCCGTTCGATCTTCAGTATCTAATGAGTTATCACAGGCGTTTGAGCTGCTCTGCGGGATAGACCCGTCACTAACAGGCTGGAGTGATCGAAATTGGCAAAGCACAATTCGTCATTACGTGACAATTCACCCCGACTATGCAACGATGGTTCCTTGGTACGGAAGAGAGACAGCAGACATCGTTTATGATGACACGGAGGGTGCTTTTACATCGTTGCTTATCGATCATGGATATCTTGAAGCCGATGAATGGGAGGATAGGAGGCCAAAATATTTCATCGAAATCAAGACTACGACAGGGCCATTGTGCACTCCTTTCTATATGAGCAAGCGTCAGTTTGAGCGGGTGAGTAAACTATGCATAAAACAAATGGCGTAACAAAGTCTAATGCGGCCTAGATGAGTGCGATGCACGACAGAGGCGATTATTCCGAAGTATACTTGATTTTCCGCGTCTTTGACATACATGGACCCAATATTGGGATGTGTGTATACTTCGACCCGGAACAGCTCAGGCTGGATGGGGGGCTGCTGTTTACTGGTGAGACATGGTCAGTTATTCCTGGATAGTGTGGCCGCGTTACGCTACATAAATACCCCATGAACCAAAGCTAGTGCGAGCTGAGTACCGGAGGAGCAACCTCCAAAACTACACTTGTTGAAGGTATCATTCCCGTTCCTCTTCTCTTTCCCATGATTTCAGATAGCAGTCAATTCGGTGTTTCAGAAACTTGAAAACCTCTTAATTTTTCCTCTTTTTCTCGCTAGCAGCGCTGTCAGCAGCCTAATCCCGGCCTTCCAATTGACATAAGAATCCCATGAGTCCCCTTGTCTGCAGACCCCAATGCAAAACTCTCATCATTTCCGCCATTGATTTGCAGATTTTTGAACTTTGACGCAAAGTCTGGCAAGGTGTATCTTACGAAGCATTTAATAAATTGAAGACCGAAATGGTGGGGCTTGAGCCTGATCCGCTGCTGGGGTGGTCAAGTGGCGACTCGCCGTCCTAAAGTTACCGGTGGAAAGGAGGCCGTTTCTGGCGCCAGAGGCTGTCATTTTCGGTGTCGTTTTCACAGGTCCCTATATTATAGTTGTAAAATGTGGTCATCATGCCACGCATTTCAGTTGGTGCAACCTCTGAGATGTATATAGGGCCGACGGTCATTCCAAGTCCAGAGCCAATCCCGGACATGACTCTGCCAACGAGTAGTTCGGCCAGCGAACCGAAGTTGACGGCCATACGGATGGCTCCGATTGTGTAGAAAATGGTGGCCGACAAAATAGAGCGAGAATAGCGCCCTTCAGTGGAAGATATGGATTCTGAGTACCAGACTTGGGAATCTGGATGTGCAACATGAGGATGAGGACCTCCTTCATTCACCTGCGAAGCAATTTGATGACCGGGATGATTTTGAGACGGATGTCCTTATTGTTGGGGGTGGAAATCCGTAAGTTTGAGGCAGATCTAAGAGGAAGTGTATTTGACTGAGCTTACATTCTGGACAGCGCCGTTTCCCTCTCAGCACGTCTCAAGGCTTTGGGCGCTGATACCGTCATGGTTGAAAGAAAACCGCATCCTGGTGATAACTGGGCTCTCCGATATGATTGCATGAAGTTCCATACCCCAACGGCATCCTGCGAAATGCCATTCATGTGTGAGTTTGAAGCCATTCCGAAATGTTGCTATCAGTAGACGCTTACAATGATTTGGAATTTCTAGCCTATGACAAGGAGCTGGGAAATTCACATCTTCTTACCAGAAATCAACTCGCGGCGCACCTTCGCCGATACGTGGAGACATTCAATCTCAATATGATCAACTCAACAGAGGTCCAGTCTACACAATATGACGTTTTGAAACAAAGATGGAAGGTCACATTCCAGACTCAAACTGGTATACACACGGCCGTCTCAAAACAGCTTGTATTGGCAACTGGCATTGGCTCGCAGAAGCCAAAGATTCCAAATCTAGGAGACAGCCATTTGTATCAGGGTATTAGCATTCATTCTACACAATATAAGAATGCTCAGCAGCTCAAGGAGAGCGGGGCCAAAGTAAGATGTCACTGAGTTTCTCCACAGAATTTCAAAGACATGTTGCTAACCTGGTGAATAGTCTGTTCTGATCGTTGGTTCAGCAAATACCGGTTTTGACGTACTCGAGGACTGCTATGCTGCTGGACTTGAATCTACAATGGTCGTCCGGTCGCCGACATACATGGTCCCAGAGGATTATATTTCCCATCCAATGGGCCTTGGTCTATACAATAACGGCGTTGAAGCAGCTGACAAGAGGTTCATGGTGCTGCCTATCCATATAGATGGCCATTTAGTTAGAAGCCTATTCGCAATGTTTGCGTCAAAGGAGCCAGAGCGCTACGCGGCTCTGAATGCCGCTGGATTTCCCGCTCTTGACTGCAGGGACAAGAGCCAGTGTCTGTTGCATAACACAATTGAGCGGTCCGGGGGTCACTATATCGATGTGGGTGGGACCAAGCTAATTGCAGAAGGCAAAGTCGGCGTCAAGGCTAGAACTGAGCCTACAGCGTACACGGCCACCGGATTACGCTTTGCTGACGGTACTACCATCGATGCAGATGCCATTGTCTGGTGCACTGGTTTTGCCGATTCCAACGTGCGTCAAAATGCTACCCAAATTCTGGGAGGCAAGTCTATGAATGATAGTAGTGCCAACGGAGAAACGAAATCGTTGATTGGCGCCCGTGACATTGCGGAACGTATGGATGGAACATGGGGCATCGATGCAGAAGGGGAGGTTCGTGGCATGTGGAAACGTCATCAAAATCTCGACAACTTCTGGGTTACGGGTGGCCATACACAATTTCAGCGATGGCACTCGCGCACACTAGTCCTTCAAATCAAGGCAGCTCTGGCTGGGATCCTACCTCCGGCCTATCGAGATACGCCGAAACCACGGACGGGTTAAGAAAACACCATTTAGTGGCTCTATGCAACCTCAATGCAATTATTGACTTCCTGTGTCGTCCTCCCTCGGATAATTAAAGGACCAAGACACAAAGCCGATGCGAACTTCTGAATTAAATGTGGCGTTAGTGTACCAGAGATTGATTGATTATAGAACATGTCAAAGCACCAACCCGGGTTCTGGTTCTCTGTAGTCAAATGCGGCACATGTGCTCTGCCTCTAGAAAAGACGGCCAGTCCGTCCACTTGGGCCTTAGTGCTGCTGCCTATGAGATGATGAAGACAAGTTGCGTCAAGACACTATTTCCCTCAAACCTACAAGGCCGGTGAGTTTCATGATCAATCCGAGCTCCCTCGAATCCTCGAAGCTACCTTACTAGATCAGCTGGGTCGCTGCACGTTTTTCAAATTGGGGAATCATTTTCAGCCAAGGAGTAATTGCCAAACTAGTAAAGTAATTGAATTGACTCCGAATGCCGATACCAATCACCTTATTGTTCTTTGGATCAGCCCTGCCAGCACAGATAGAAGCTAGTCATAAGCTGTATATGAAGGGAGCACACTCACCAGCAGGATCATTGATTGAAATTCATAATTGTAATCAGGTAGAGTGTAGCTTTACATGCTTGCTACACGCAGGGAACATTTCCTGAGCTGTGGTTTATGTGGATCTGCTTTTATGAGCCTGATGTCAGGATATTGATAGGCCTTAGAGTATCAGATATCCATTATATCGCACCGTTGCTCGTTCGTTTAGCATGGCGAGAACGGGTAAGGCTAAAGTTGCCCGACACCGAACTATATAATTCTCCTATTCCAAGCGGGGGTATTTCAACCTTGACCTAGCTGTAGATAGTCATCAAGTGGATTAAAAGTGTAAATTACCTGCACATTATAGCTCACCCTTCATTAGTCCTTCCCGCTTTACGAGCTAATAAACATCAAAGGATAAAAATATAGTGATGACAAAACAAAAGAGATCGTAAAGAGAAAGAATGAGGGAACATTCTCCTTATACATCAGCTTGTTAACGACATAATTTGCTGTCGGAATTCAACAAGTTTTGAGTCCAGAACTTCGTTGTAACAACGTTGCCAAACTGTCTCAGGGTCGATGGGTTCGGCCTCTATTCGACTAGCCGTTGAGACGAGAGCACCGCTAACCTTGATGTTGGGTGGTGGTCTTGTGTACAGCTCGGAGGTGCTCCTGAAGCTTGTCCTTACGCCCAAACGTCTTATCGCATTGTACATGTGGACATTCAAAGGAGTTTGGAGACACGTGGGTTGCCTTTAAGTGTCGCATAAGAGAGGATTCGCATGAAAATTGACCTGTATATGTGCAACCTTCCCACTGACATCTTCTTTCTGGAAAGCTCCTGCCCAGAAATCATTATCCTGTCAGCAACTCGCTTGAAAGAATTGTCATACTTTTGGCTTGGGGCAAACATACTGGGGTTTTGACCCCTGACAGCTAGGTTGAGCATGCCTGCCATTGGTAAAATCACGAATCTCATCAACCGGGTCAACCTGGCGGTGTGACCGAGGCTGCGATGTCATCTGTTCGCACTGTTTGATTTCAGACGTGGTTAGACTTAGTTCCATTTGATCTTCAAATACAGTTATGTCTAGATAAGCAGGGTAGGGGTTCACGGCACCATTTTCCATCCTATGGGAACTTGGGGCCTTGGTCCGTCCGGGGGTATCCAGGATGCCTACATTGTGGTTCAGCTGTGTCCAGTCTTCGGGGTCTTGATGCCATAAAGTTTGAGTCTGAGAAGTCCAGTTTGGAGGAACGGCACGTATTATATCATTTTGGCCCGCGTGGGGCTGTATAAACCTGGATCGTGAGGGAGTGTCGGCTTGTAATAGCGTGTAATCTTCTGAGACCGGCACGGAAATGGCCAAATGGTGGAAGTAGTCGTTGGAGGCTATCCAAGTTTTCGGCAGGTCCGTCTCATCCAGTCCTGGGTGAATGGAGTTGCCAAGATTCCGGTTAATTGGGGTTGGCGGCATGATGAGTAGGTTCAGATTGGGCACGGGGGAGGTGAAATGCTTTGATGTCAAAGGGCGACATCCGTCGAGCAAGAATCTGAACAAGAAAAGAACGTGGGACTCCCTGGTGGCTTATAATTGCGATATAATGAACGTGGACAGGCGCAGCAAGCCCTCATGTAAGTACGACCATTGGATATACTGAACCGCACTCAGATTATCTTGCATTGCGGCCCATCGACCCAACCGAGGTGTTAAAACAGGCCCGGAGCCTCGTGGGTGGAAATCAAGAGGGTTCAGGAGACAGTCCAATGATTTTCCGACCGAACGTTTTCGCGGTTTAATCAATCCAATCACCAGCTGATTCCTTCCGACAACCGAAGCTAGCGCTGGTGTCAATCTGATCACCCATTAGGCGCGTATGTATGCAATCCAGCCCAAAGACGAAACGGCAAGCCAGCAGTCTCGAACCCGGGTTTTGGCGGAGGCCAACTTGGCTTAATCGTCTCGAATGGGGTTTGGTCTCTGCTTAACCTCCTAGCCACTAGCCATGGAAGACGGTTTAATCCATCGCCAGCTGAGAGCTCTACCCACACCATACTATCGGCGACTTTCGGGTTGAGATGTCCATTTTTGCCATCTTTGGGACCGTACAGGCTCGTTCACACGCATTATGACGTCTTTTGCGCTCAGACTAAACTCTCACGAGGTGTTTAGAAGTGTGATCAAAACGAATATTAGTAACATTAGAAAGCTGGATATGTACCTATAAACCCAAGGAGACTCTGGAAACCGACGCTCAAAGTCGCGTGATCGGGACTCGTCAGGGGCATGAAACTGAGCGACCTGCATTGGCTGACAAAACGAGGAGCAGCTTTGATAAAGCGATGCGATGGGCATCTCAGCGTTTTCGGTAAAATTCAAAAACAACGACTATTCTGTTTTACCTGGCATTTCCCCAAATTTAACCACGTGTTCGAAATGAGACACAGTCTAGTTCAAGAGAGTTGAGTCTCCGAGAATTAGCTGCCCGACATCTCGGTCATGGATCAATGCCTGAACGCTGCCTTGTCGCACTGTTCGCCAATGCCGACAACATTGAGTAGTAATGAGGCTGACAATATGGGAATCCGGGTCAGGCTGTCTATCTGAACTCGAGCCTCGATTCAGGCCTTCAGTCTTTTGGTACGACATAAGTCCTGGCGACTAGTCAATCATCTCCCTTCTTAGAATAAGTGGGTGCTAAATGTGGGCTAGTCTCCGGTCTGGTATCGTGTAATGCAGCCGCAATTCGACGTGTTTGATGGGGCTTGACTCTTTGTCGGTCATCATGGTAACTCGACAACGTCTATCGTCGAGGCAGAAAGTAAGTATTCTGTAGAACTTACCGTGTTCATACGAGGGTTGTTAATCATGGTGTTCAGGATCCTAGCAAAGCCATGTGAGAGCGAATATTCTGCAACACCCACGGAGCACCTAGATGATATGAGAAAGCTGCTGTTGGTGGATTCGAGATTCCCTCTCGCACCATTGACCCACTTGACTTTGAACGCAATCATGATTCGATTATGGAGAGTATCTAAAATCACAAACTCCTGGAATTAGTTCCTCGCCTGTATGACCCGCAACCCTAGAGCCCGAAATTGTTGAGTATGGTTTCTATAATAATTAAAGAGAATGCGACCCGCGCCCAATTGGAAGCCACTGACAACAAGCAGAGCAAATCATTAAGAATGGCAGGATGGACAGTGTCCAACAGACGTCAGATGTGCTTGTCGCATGTGGGATTGAAGTTTGTCCTTCCGACCGAAGGTTTTGTTGCATTGTGGTTCTGGACATTTGAATAAGCTTGGGGAGACATGTGTGGTTTTGATGTGCCGCCATAGGCACGTTTCCCGAGTGAAAGCTCCGGCGTACGTGCAGCCAACCCATCTGCACTTGAACTGACTGGGTCGATGGCGTCTAAAGTTCAGTCAGAATGCAAGTGTTCCATTGGTTGTTTCACACAAACATACTCGGACTGGCTGTCAGATCCGCGCCCATGGCCATCTTCGCCTCCTGCGAGGGTATGATCGTCGGCACCATTTCTGGATACTGCCGCTACTGAGTTGAATGAAATAGCTGGTTGAAGGCCGCCTTGTGATGGGTGATCGAAGGGGGACGAATGGCCCCAGTCTACCCACGAGACATTCTGGGGACTGGCCGTGGACCCGGAACAGGGCACTGGGGTGGCATTGACTACCCAAGGTGCTCGGGCAGTTCCGTAGTTTGATGAATAAAGCATTGAGCCGTTAGGTCTAAGTGGAGTGGAAGGAACCTGGGCATGCACTGCCCTACGAAGAGAAGGTGGGACGCTTTGTCCAGGGTTTGAGAAGACAGGCGATGTATTGTTGGAAGGAGTCCAGGGGTACTCCCAGTCATCCTGATCGGCGTGTCCACCCTGGCACTCCCGTCGGCTATTGTATGGAGACGACGCCATGCTTGATTTGATATCGTGTGGGATAGCTCAATGACTAGAAGGTTTCATCAGGCAGTGATTGTGAAAGATTCTGAGACCTGGATAGGAGCCTCTTTATAAAGAAAACGTGACTTCCCGAATGGCAAGAACCATCCGGTGATAAACATGCCCAATGCAACGCGGGGGGAAGTAAGTTACAACCCCCGTGAGTCGTGGAGAAAGGGGGCGGGGAGGAAAGGGGATTTGGAATCACGCCAATGGGAAGGAACCCTCGTAGCCTAGAGCGACCTGAAGCGCGCGCAGCCTAGGGATGTGGATACAAGTGGAGCTTTGTGAATCATATGAGGCTGAGAGATCGCCAATTACGACATGTCCATCCAGAATTAAGGGAAAATAAGGTAGTTCAAGTGCCCTAGGGCCTGAGCAATGTGCCGGAACTAGCCAGGCCCACCGTTCATGCGAGCTGGCATGGGCGAGCATGGAAGAATCATCCACCCGTGGATAGGTCATTTTATGGACAACTCTTTTGATCCTTGTTTGTTTGTTTCATGCGAGCAATGTTTCAGGACGTTGTTCATCAGCCACACTTTCTTCTTTGGCAAGAAGCGTACACATGAATGAGTACCGCTCGAACAATGCCCATCTCATTTCAGATCACAATAGCCGTTCAGAATGTTCTCTTAGTCAATGGCCGACCCGCTTCAAAAAAAAAAAAAAAAAGTACCACCAAGGTATCTGCATTTTGCAGGCATACCAAAGACCTGGAATAGGCCCCTCGAAGATCTGTGATACGCGTTGCCGCAGCTCGATTCAAGGTTCTGGCTTTGGCTACTAGGCAGTGATCGACCAGTAGGGCGACGGAACATCCAGTGATCGTCCCGGATGACTAGCAAGGACCTATCAGAGTCTAGAGATTATGATTGTCTTTTGAAACTCCACAAGTGACATCGGACCTCATTGAGCTCATGCTCCATATGGAAGGACGCTCGGGCGTGGGTCTAGGGCGCATAAACCCCAAGGGTCGGGAACGGCAGGAAGCACGGAGCATCTGCACCGAATGTTGTAACAGGCCAAATGAACTGCGAAATGCTGTAAAGACGACGCCATGAGGTCGGTCACGCCGACCTATCCTTGTTACATCGCACTTGTCGCCTTGAAGCGTCATTATCCCCGGCTAGCTTCGGGATCGCGATAGTCATTCAAGTAGAATTCCCAATTTTCATCAAAAAAGCGACCGATGTGAGTCAGGATGTGGGCAGGAAGAGTCCGGACTTAGAAGTAGTGACATGAAACAAGGGAGTTCATACGGGGCAACAAACGAAGGAGGCCAAAGACCGGGCTAGGCTTTAAGATTAGCGTGATGAACAACTGAGCTTTTTATCCGGAAACGCCACCAGAAGCCAAAATTCCGTCCAATTTCTGAAGCTCTTAATTGGATAGCACATCTTTATAGCACCGCACCTACCTTGTCTTGAGAATATTGTAGCTCGCGTGTTTGAGCTTTACTGTCTCCAAAAGGTCTGATTCCCATGGAGGAGAGAGTAATGATATCAAGAAAGTTAAAGGGATTTCATTTCGAAGAAAAAGTGAAGTAGGTCAATCAAAGAGCCCCGTGGTTGTAATCATTGTATGGCATTCTGAAGTGGGCTTTCAACAGGTGCAGGTGATATAATCAAGGAAATTGACGTATTTGGTCGATAACCACCAAAGGTACCTAAACTCAGCGCTGCTCGAGTCTATCCTCAAGGGACCTGCGATGTCTCAATCGTTTCAGGAAGTTTGGGCACAGTTTGCGGGATGTGTTGATGAAATACTCATTGGAACTTCCGGCTTGTTTGAAGCCAACCCTGATGGAGACATTGCTTTTTTTTGCAGATCAGGGGCAATACCTTTGTCGATTCACTCGGTGTGCTATCTGGATCCACAAGATCCAAAAGGCAAATATGAGGACAAACATGAATCGATTCCGGTTGAGTCGGCTGAAATTCGCGCCTGATAAACGAGAAAATGTAATCGACTTCAATGAGGGCATCCCGATTATACATAAGTATAATCCGCTGGAACCTCCCGTTAAAACCGGGAGATCTTGTTTTGTTTCAATGGGGGAATCCTGACCTGCCAATTTCGTGCGGCGGCAAATTGTCAAACCAGGCCACTTGCAATGCTTGTCAGGACTGGCTTTTTGCAACCCCGGTAACTCAAACTCGTGACCTGGATGTAGATTACAGCAACTCTGGCAGTAAGTATACCGCGCTGTCTGAATGTGCTGCATGAACTGGACTCTGTCTCTGTATATCTCGAGCTCAGCGAAGTATCCGGTGCGCGGGTCCAAGTTCGATGGTTTGAAGATAGGATGTTCAAAGACTGGTGTCCCATAGTTGTAGGCCGCTTTTCAGGTCATTGCCATGCATCTCCATGCGAGAACGTCCAGTTGGTCCCATATGAGACCTGGTTCATCAGCTCAGGTGGTAGACAGAAAATTTGCGAAGACCCCTCTCTAGAAAACTACCCGCTTACCTCATTCGCAGTCTGGGGTGCAAATGTTCGCTGCTCGAGTTGTTCTCCCAGCCCTGCTCCCTTTCCTCTTCCTGTAAGTAACAATTTTAGGCCTTTCCCCCAAACAATAGAGTTCATTCGGTTCACAACTCTTCTTGAAGATAGCCGAATATCGCCGTAGGAAGCTTCTGAAAGAATCAAGGACGAAAGGGAAAGAAGGAGAAGAGATAGGGAGGGTGAGATATTGGCTGTGACAGAAGTATTGGTAGCAAGAGAGCGCGAGAAGAGGTAATATATAGAGCAGATGAGGAGTTTCTCATGCAACTTTCCGCAGCCTAGGTCACAATGAACACCCTGTTCTGTAGTCCACGGAGGGCGTCGGTCTGGCCTAATGTTCGCCTTTGAAGACGTCCACGGAAGTGTTTTTATCTGGATCTATCACTCCAAGGCTTGTGTTCGAGGACTTTTCCCACAGGTTATTGACATAGGATGGTCACCGGCTATAGATTACCCATATTCGTAGGTGGTCAATATGCATAGGTATATAACAACAGTGACAGGCTCGGGATTTATAGGTACGTATATGAGGCGTATGCTCGGGGGCTGCCAAGGAGGCAAGATTTGGCTTTCAAACGACTTGGATGAAGTAAGGTGAAGTAAGCGGGGAATGATTGCCTCTATATTTGGGCCGCCATGACAAACGGCGCATCCTTTGTATATGCCGCTCCAATCACTATTTCCTTTTCTAAGAGGCACCAAGAGTTTGATGTGCCTTGCTCAGACAGCAAAAGATTATCAGATACTATTCCAAGATCCAGATCGGTATCAAAGATTTCTCCCTTGAACTATCTCCACTGGAACTATCAACAAAAGCCGCAGGCTCGGCAGCTCCTGAGAATTTTAATTAACAGTATATGGTTGGGCGTTGTCTCCAAAGATCAAATGAGGCCGCTCCTCCGCAACTTGAAGGATCGTCTGAGCAAACACAGAGTTCGCCCACGCAAACCAGGGACGAGTGTACGTCTTGATGTTGGTGACGTTGATTGACTCATGAATAAGGCCGAGCAAGCTGGAGTCGCGGACCAGATTGATAGAGTCCAAGATCTCGGTGTCATCGTCAGAAGTAAGAGCCTGCATTAGGAGGGACATGGGCCAGGCATTCTCGAGACCGACTAAACTATGGTGAGCGCGCTATTTCACAAGATAGAAGTACTTGATAACTTACTGTGAGGACCACCGATGCCGTGGAAAGCAGGACCTTCCAAGTAGTATGGATTTCCGGCCTTATCGGTAATCATCTTGCGAGTGTTTTGGTAGACCTTATCGCTCTTGTCAAGGAAACCAAGATAAGGAAGAGAGAGTAGAGATGGGATATTGGCGTCATCCATGAGGATGCGAGAGCCGTACCCGTCGACCTCAAAGGCGTAAACATCCCCATAATTAGGGTGGTTGACAATACCGTGATCCTTGACAGCTTTCGCGAGGTTCTTGCCCCGTTGGTCTAGCTCATTGACCAAGTCATTGTGGCCACCCGCAGCCTTGATAACCTCGGCAACCTTCTGCAGCTGAACAGACATCATTGCGTTAGGAGGAATGAAATATCCCAAAATTGTGGCATCATCACTTGGTCGGAAGGCGCTACGAATCAGACCCGTGCCACTGTTGAGCGGGTTCCCAACGCCCTGCAAATTCAGCGTCTCGGTGCCAATGGTAGTCTCACGTTGGAAGGTGTACTGATTGGTGACAAACTGATTCTTTGAGTTGAAGGTAGGCTGTGACTGCGCATCGATCACGTCGAGCACAGTTTGCAGCGCTTTATACCAACGATCGGTCAGAAACTCGGTCGAGCCGGTGCTCTCATGGAATTCCGTGCCTAACAGCAGGAAGTGTGCGAGGGAGTCAAGCTCGTACTTGCACTCGAAGACAAACGATTTCTCGTACGCCGGGTGAACGGTGTCCACTTGAGTGCTGTTCTCTGGCGGGATGCCACTTGCCGACGGTGGCTGGAAAGCATTGCAATAGGGCGACTGAATCACAAACTCTGCCTGGGTATTGATTGCACCCAGAATCAAATTATACAAGCTCTTATCTTTCTTTGCAAGAGCTTGGTAGTTGGTAAGCTGGTTAGTGGAGTCACGCAGCCACTCCGCGTTGATGTCACCCGTAACAATGAAGGTCTGCGCGCCGGTCCACTGGGCCGTGTCGCGTTTACTTTGACGCTTGGAAGCTGCTGTAGTACCATTTTGGTGCCACCTAATTGTAGTATCCAGGGTGTTTGGGAAGGCGTTGCGGAACAGCTGCGCCAGGTCCTTGTCGACGAGACGCGAAGTCACGTCGTCGATAACCTTCTCCACCGATGCCGACGAGAAGGTGCGGCATGCTTCGGCGGGACGCTGATAGGGGGAGATTTAAGGGACCACCGCTGTAAGGGCCACTTCAGGGGCGTTAGTCCATCAAATTCAACCGCCTCATTGTATAGAATCGGTGGCGGTATACATACTGCGGCGTCGAAGCATACGAAGTGTAGTCGGGACACGCTCGTCGGAGGATCGCAGGATTGTCGCGTCCAGGCAGGGCATGTGCCTGCAGGGCTAATAGCCCACTCAGTAGAAGTGTTGATAGCGGCATGGTGTGTGAGTTGGAGAGAAATCGAGACGCCTGTACCTCAGCTTAGGAGGGATCGTGAGGGGGTAAATAAACGGAAGAGGGGAGTCCATCGCTCATGCCGATCCGAACCAGACAGGGAGGGTGCATTCCGCACGTACTCCAGTCAGATCCAGTACCTAGTCCTGACTGCCGATATGACTTTAGATATGGAGTCATACTGGCCAGCCTCATGCCACTGCAAAGTAAGAAGATCTACAGTTGCAGATGCACTGGAGTCCTTTCGAGTCCCGGTCCAAGTCTCGGGGAAATTGCGGGCGAGGTGACATCGTCCATGGGATGGTTGCACTTTGGCTCCACCTCAAAATGCGGAGAAGCGATCGGCGGTTGTTTACTTGGGGCCAACAACAAGCTGGATTATTACTGTATTCCGGGAAAAATGCAGTAAAAAGGTGAAAACAGGATATTTTCTGTATTACAAACTATGCCTGGTAACTACTTTTTGCCAAAGAACGACATGATACTGCCCTGACCTCCAGGTTTGCCCGTCTTGCCCTTGGCAACATTCACTGCAGGCTTCTTCTTGGGCGGCGCGGGTTCATCCTCCGAGAACGACTCCCACGTCGCTTCTTCTCGAGTCACTATACACATGAATCAGTATGGTGGCGGGTGGCGTTCACCACAAGGTATGCATAAATTGGTTGGGACCTCAGTACTTACCCAAGTACCCCTCTTCGTCCTTCAGCGTCCGTTTCTTCGTCACCTGCCGCTTCCCGCGCCGACGCCCACCCTGCACGGTGACCTCCTCTTTTAGCTCAGCCGGCTTAGATGGAAGTAGTGGCGGTTGCTCCTCTGGCGTGAGCTCTCGCTGAAGCTCCTCATCGGCGTCGCGCATTTCCTCATCTGGACCGGAGTTAGCGGCTAATTTCTGTGTAAACTCAATGGGCGAACGCAGGGACCCATACCATCAACGTCCTCTTCCTCCATCATCTTCTTGAGTTTCTCTTCTCGCTCCTTCTTACTTTCGCGGTTGGCGGAAGGGGCTTTGTCCGCGGTATTGGGGAACAATTCTTCTGGTTCATCTTCAGAAGCATCATCCAGCATCACTGTTGGTTGTTAGCTAATGTCTGTTGCAGGGATTGGGGATAACAGACTATCTTCCACACCACTCTGTGCAGCCTATATTGACCAGTCAGTAAACGGTTGCAATGTAATGAATAGACCACATAATATCACGAACCGATTCTGCCGCCTTGGGCTTGGGCGGCTTGGTCTTTGCGAACGAGCTAAAGAGGTTGCTCTTCTCTCGTTTAGGAGCTGCAGGCTTTCCCGTAGACTTGACTGAAGATTGGGAATCGCTGGTCGGTTGTGACTCCTCGGGCTTGCTTTCTACCTTTGCGGGAGCTGGTTTCGTCTGCAAAGATTGCTTGGACAGCACTGTAGATTCGGCTTTGGCCTTAGGTGCTGGAGCAGCCGCGGGTGCAGGTGGTGGGCGGGCTCCGGTTCGACGCTAGATATGCCATGAGCCTCATTTTTTCGATCCAAGGTCAACTCCACAAACCTTGACGTTGCGATTTTGGATCATGCCCCATTGTTGTCCACACTCCAGGGGGTCGTCTTGCGCATGAGCGGTCGCCATCTCCCTACAAACGTCCGTCAAAGTATTAAGATCCTGAAGCGTAGATGATTGTACGCTGTAAACATGAATCATCGATATTGACTGGAAGATCGCCTTCGCATCTAGTTCAACGCGCTGGTCATCAGCAAGGCAGTCCCACTAATTGGTTGACGAAGTAGCGTACCTTCCAAGTCCTCCTCACGAGCCAATATGATTGAGGCGACGCGCACAGCATCGGAAACAATTTCTTGGTTCGGCATGGAGCTAGGCAGATAGGGACTGCTTTGCATGATCTCATCTTCGTCGTTCGTATGGCCGTTGGTCGCTGGGGCCTCGGGGGTTTTCTGAATGCCGGAGATGAGATAGGTTGCGTGGACGCTCTGTGCTCTCTTCGCGTTTTCATTTCGATGAAATTCAAAGAGTATTCTGGGGTCTCCACGTCAGCGACTGTCTATGAAGGATAAGTAGAATATTTACTGCTTAGCCCGGTTCGCGTGGACCTTCAACGCACGGCTTAGTGACCGATAAGTGACCTGAAACTGATGAGCTGCTTGAAATCGGACACTAGACATCGTTAAGACTTACCGTGCGTCGCTCATTGAGCACATTTTCCGCTAGGAACTTCGCAGAATCCATGGTGTATGTAGCTCCGAAGCTCCGAAGCTTTGAAGTTGCTCAAGTTGCTTGACGCGTGCCAAACCACTTTACGCGTATCAGTCAGCGGGTCTTGGCGTGCAGCACCTCCACCTTTTGGCGTCTTCCTCTTCATCCAACACCATAAAAGTCGGTCCCAATCTACGACCTAGCCTCTGTGCATGCTCCAGACGGCTCAACTCTTCCGATGGAGCAGTCTTTCGACCTCCCCGACTCCACCGACTGGCTTGACACGCCGCTCTCCCTCCTCGCGCCACTAGAGTCCTCGCTTCGCTGTCAAGTCTGCAAGGACTTCTTCGACACCCCGGTGATTACTTCTTGCAGCCATACATTCTGCTCATTATGCATTCGCCGGTGTCTTAGTACTGAGGGCAAATGTCCTACATGTCGCTCGGGCGATCAAGAGCTCAAGCTTCGCCGCAACTGGCTTGTACAGGAAATCCTCGAGGCGTTCAAAAACGCGAGGGAGACCACGCTCAAACTTGCGAAGAAGGAGGCCGCGCGGATCGCTGCTGGTGACAATAGAGCTCCAGAACCGGGCCCAAAGAAGCGGAAAGTTAGCCAGGTGGACTACGCCGAAGCGACCGATGCAATCCATCGTAGTCCGCAACGCGTTCGTACAAGGTCAAGGTCGCAGATGGCGCAGGCGCAAACAGATAGACATGAGCACAATCAGGTCTCAGGGGTACCAGAAGTGATCGAAGACAGTCAAGATGAAGATTTCGTTCCAGGTGGGTAGCATATTGACCATCGCTAATTGCCCCTCGAGTCTAACTTTGTCTATAGTCGCAGATGACGGCATGGTTGCTTGCCCTATATGTAACCGCAGAATGAAGAACGAGGCTGTCTTCGCACATCTTGATAAATGTACGGGAGATCCAGGACCGGCTTTAAAACCAGCCCCTGCAAAGCAAACATCATTTGGGTATGTATGATCAATTTCGTGGCGATCCGAGGACTTTAAGTCTAACTCAATGTAATTCTAGATCCCTACAACCTCAATCGCGCCAAACTCCGATATCCCCTTCAAAAACACCCGATAGACTCCCAGCGATGAACTATTCGCTCCTAAAAGATCTGCAATTGCGCAGGAAATTCCGAGACCTGGGTATCCCCGACTGGGGCCCGCGACAGCTCCTGCAGAGGCGTCACACTGAGTGGATGAATTTATGGAATGCAAATTGTGACTCCACATCCCCTAAATCCAAGAAGGAATTACTGCGTGAGCTTGACATCTGGGAAAGGACACAAGGCGGGTTTGCACCAACGCAGTCCTCAGTTGTCGCGACCAACACAGTGATGGCCAAGGACTTCAACACGGCCCAATGGTCTGTCAATCACGATACTGACTTCAAGCGTTTGATTGAAAACGCTCGTAAAAAGAGTGACGCTCAAGTGAGATCGACCATTCCTGGTGCTGCTCAGCCAGTGAGCGAGGTTGAGGGGGGCGCTCCAATTGAGATCAACTCAGACCCGCCAGCTCCAAGTGAGATGTCTGGGTGATTTCGCCTTCATGGATAAAGAGGCATCACGGTTGATGACCCCTTGGTGTGCCATCAACCGATTGAAGCCCATGGTCCACTCAATTAATGGTCACCTAGTTGGCGGGCAATGGGCGATCATCGACCTTCATATGCGAGAGCCTGTCAATGCTCTGTGCAAGCTGGCTTTCCACATCTTTCTCTGCCTGCGCCTGGCGCGCGGCTTCATCTGACGCTTGTTTGAGACTGTCCAACTCGGCAAGCTTCTTGCGCGTAGCTTCGGCTTCTTTTTCTTCCTTTGCCTCCCGATCTACCTTCTCCAGGGCCTCGAGCTCCTCATCGATTTCACCCTCATCAAAGACAGGTCCTGTCTCGTTCATGATACTTCCGACCTCGTCCACCTTAGACATTTCTTCACGGAGCTCCTCGATCACATCCTCGACACGCTCCGCTCCGCCGATTTGCGCATGCAGTCCACGAAGAACACCAGTGCTGGCCTCCATGACCTGCACAATCTCCACCTGACCTGCAGCCTGCTCAATTTTTGCATACACTTCCTCCAGCTGGACAAGTGTGTTCAGCCGCTGCTGAAGATTATGCTCGACCATCTTCTTGGACTTGACGGCTGACAAGGCGGAGATACGATTCTTGTTTGCCAGTGCTGTCTTTGCAGACACAGTCAGTTCAGCAACCTTGTCTTCCAGGTTCTTAACCTGCTTGGAAAGGGTTGACAACAGCGTCTTGATCGAGGCAATCGTGGTATCTTGCTGCGTGATATGTGCCGGTTCATCTTTTGACATGAACTTCACGGTCTAATACTTTTAGTTAGCATTTATAGATCTCAGGCTTGTATAGCTCTCGCATACCTTGCCATCATATGCGATAGCGCCGCTGTCGCGGGACAAATAAAGCAAAAGAATATCAAAATCTGAATCTGACAGTTCAGTGGCATCGTGTAATACGGAGGCGAACTCCTCAATGAAGCTTTCTTTGGAGTAGATCAGGTCCAACTTGGAAGAATTGCCAGCAGTGGCCTTCTTTACAACCAAATCCGCTGCTTCCTGTAGAGTGGGGATTAATGTCAGACCTCAAGTGCCTTTTGACTACTGCCCCATCTGATATACACACCTGCAAGTTCTCGACCAAGACCAATTCCTGCACCTGCAGCTTTGGTGCAGATTCGCCGTCAGAGCCCACAACGAAGCCTTTCAGCTGTCGCACTCCCCAGCTCATCACATTCCACGGACTCAGGGCACCGGGGTCAATGAGTCTCCACTGAGCCTTCTGGAGACTCGCTCTACTGGCCATATACGCCGGTAAGGGAACCATGGTATGTTTGCGCATTGCCTCTTCCTTTGACATAACCAATCAGTACGCTGATATTACCAAATATACCACTCAGGCCCATGGGGCGACATACAAATACAGCACCCAGTGCTACTGGTCTTCCCCACTCGGGTAGCTCCAAGTCTCGCAAAAGCGACTCATCCGTGCGGAGGATGAGGTGATCGGTCTTCTTCCTGTTTTCACTCGTATTATTTGCAGATCGGATAGATCCAGAGCGTACGCGCACGCCTCTCGATGATGTATAGCCACGCTTGGCGGCTCGGTTCAATGCTTGTTCCCATGCGGCTACGTTGACAGCGTAGCCGTCGGGATTCGTCTTCTTTTGAAGTGTGAAGTCGGAGTAGAGCGAGGGGAGGCGGTTTCTAGTCACAAATTAGCTTCCTTGCCTCGGTATTGTGTCTGCAGCCGGCTCTACAGGCGCGGGGGATCGGGGACTGGAGATTGTACCTTCGAAATGCATCCTCATTGTTGAGGATGTAGTTCAGGAGCTCACTCATGTGGAGTTTGTATATAAGTGGCCGGTGTGATTCCAATCAGGGGGTTCGGTATTTGTCGGCCTTCAAGGCTAGGGGAATGTCTAGGTACCTCGAGAGGGAGACTTCGCTTGGTCGCTTTCGGGAGTTGCTGTCAACACTGTAGCGCCCACTTGGGGGGCAGCTTTATCGATAAGCCCACGTGATCTTATCATCTGCACGTGTGACGACAATCGTGACGATGTCAATGAAACAAGCTCTGTGAAGTCAACTGCAGATTTTGAAATAGTACCTTCAGGGTCGATTTGAAAGCCCTTCTAGACATAGAATGAAGTAAAACAGGCACAGTCACCCCGGCTTTCAGCCTAATGAGCATCTACCTACCATTTTCCACGCAGACATATATTTTACAACGACCCGACTGGCTTCGAACACCATAGGATTTTCATATATGTATAAACCACCGGAAATGTAATCTATTCTTATATGCTATGATGAGATAAATATTAAGGTCGTGGATTAGGCTCGTTCAAAGTCGTCATTTGGTTGGTCCTCAGCGTCCCTCGGGCCTGCACTCATGAGAGTTCCAGCATCCAGTTGCGCCGGGAGACCAATCAGTGAGCGACGATGATTGCGCTTGTCCAATTTCTCACTAATCTCTTCAGTGCCAAGAGCGTCATCGACGGCCGGCTCATCTTGAGTATCGAAACCCCGAGCCTGAAGATACTCGACTTTCACGGCGTGACGCAAGTTGTCGATGAAGCTCTGCATCTCTGGCATTGGGAATACGCCGTCCGCATCGAGAACGTCGGCATACAGACGTTCGGCTTCTTCAAGACAGGCAGAAGCGAGGGTAGGTTTGCCGGCCTTGAGCCACTGATCGGCAGCAAAGATGCTCCACATGCCAGCTTTCCTCCGACGCGCCCCCCATTTGGCTCCACCCACAGGGGTCTTGGAAGCATAGCATGCGGCGACTCGCTCCATAAAAAGGATCTGGCCAACCGAGCCAACTAAACCGAAATCCATGACCCGCATGGCCCATCTGGCTGCACTCTCGGTTGCTGATCCACCCCTGGACTTCAGAAGTTCCACAGCCAAGGCCAAGCATCGGAGCGCATGTGTCGCGTCGGAACATCGAGTAAGATAAGAATAGCAAGCAGTCTCAAACATCTGGTCGATGCTCTCGAGCTTGATCTTGGCTGACATAGCAAGCGGATTCAACAGCATGCTGACAGCACACATCTCATGAGCTCCCGCATGATATTTCCACGCTTTGTCGTTTCCATAGTCCGAGCGAATCATCTCGTATGTAGATGAAGCAAGCTTCCAGTCACGGAGCATGAATGCATAGTCAGCCATCTTTCGTAAGATTGCCTCGGGTGTATCTTGACGGTAGAAGTTGTGCTCCGTGTCGTAATTACCACTGGTTGCACCTCCTGAACCACCAATTCCAGATCGTGAGCTGGAGCCAAAGCCAGCCCATCGTCTTGACATTGACATAAATCGGCCACTGATACCGCGCCTACGAGATGCAACCTGGTCATTCCAGACTGCCACTCGGTTCTCCATAAAGGGAATCACAGATTGGACGGTAAGCTCCCGAATGAAAGATTTGATTGCGGACACATCGGAGTCGAAGAGGTAAGGTGTACCATCTGTACCAAGATCCACAAGTGTCTCTGCGATGGTGTTAGATGGGCCGTTGATGTGGAGTTTGTGAGCACTTACCGGCTTCCCCGGCTCCGGACAGGTGTTCTTGCGGAGACAACCACTCGCAATGTGGCACTTGAACGCTATCGTCGTCGGTTACAATGCATTGACTGCTTCGAAGCCTCAAGAGATGACAGTGTAGACCAAAATGACGCTTCATCTGATCGTATAGTCTGGTAGACTCGGTGATGTCGTCTCGGTCTTCATCGTGAACCAACACATAATAGCGAAGATACTCCTGGTGCACCCAATCTGGCAGCCGCTTGTCACCCGTGTTGGTTTCGGCATACAGCTGCCGAAGGGTCTCCAAAGGGGCTTTGTTGCGTGAGCTGATTGTAATCACACTTGCCACAGGGTGGCCGAACGTCTCGTGGGGTGCAGCAGTCGTAGAGGATAGAAGTTGCCTCAAGAACAACTTAGCTAGAGATATGGTAGCAGGAAAGCCCAGAACATCTTTGGAAGACAAAGAGGCTCCCAATGAGCCCTCTGCTGACCCTAATTGCTGAGCCAGAACTTCCTCGATCTGCGCCAGCGCCGAATCCCGCCCTGAATCCCGACTGGCAGGTGCCCGACCCAGCCCTTTCAGATCCACGAACCGCACCCCATAGTCTTCCCAAGCCCGGCTAGACCCAATGCTGTCCCGGATGATCACCTTCCCTGTGATAGTCTCCCCGAACGGCCGGAGCAGTTCCCAGAAGCCCCCCTTAAACCCCTTATTCTTGATGAGTTCATCCGTGTCCTCGGAAGCATAGACAGCGATAGTCGGAGAGAAAGCACGGATAATCAACGATCTAATATCCTCTGATCCATCGAACCGTCCGTCAAAAAGGGACCCGAAGGATGACCGAGCTAATTGCGGGGTGGACGATCGAACCGAGCGAGCTTGCGGTGATGCTGACCGAATCCGCAGTTCTGCAGTCGTAGCTGACAGCGGAGGTGTTGGCGAGGACACGGAGCCGGTATCTGCCAACTCAGCGTCTATAGATAGTGTGGGCTCGTGCTCATCCGGAAATCGGGACTTGGATGCGCTGCGCCCTACGCCGGGGGAGAAGGACGGCGGAGGTTTCACCGGAGTGGCATCTCCAGGCGATGTCATGGACACCTCGTGCACTCTGCAGGTCTGGAACTAGAAGAAAGAATCGGTGAGCCCCATCGACCGGGTGGGCAAGTTGAGGATGTTTTTGTAGCTAGAAGAGAAGGCGACGGCGGGCAGGTGTTCGGGCTCTCGCTCGGAGGGTAATTGTTGTTGTTGGGAAGGGAAAGAAGGCCACGTCCGTCAATTCGAGCGGGTAATGACGGGAAAAGACAACGGTAGAGCGTGTCCAATACGACTAGGCAGGTCAGAGTTATGTCCCGACTGTCGACTTAGAACTGTACTTTGGGTCGAGAAACTTGTAAGCTCCGTGGCTCGGGCGCATTGGCAGATTGCGGGTGGTGATGCAACCACGTGAGACCGCGCATCTTATCGGGCGATCACCGATTTGAGTCACTTCTTTTTTTTTTCCCCCTTTGTAGCTGCGTTCCCTCTCGGCTGTGACTCAATGGCTACATTTGATGCCTAGCCTGCGCGCATTACGGTCCTTACTTAAGGCCAGTCGCCCATCACGCCCCAGCGCTCCACTCGCCCGCGCTCTTTCAACACCAACAAAAGAGCTTCATCCGCGGAGCTTCTCCAAATTTCCCCTCCGACCCTATTCAAGCAGCTACCTGCCCATGCGCGGGCGCGAAATCGATTCGCACTCCCCAGAGCGAGAAACCAAAAGGCGACGCATTTCAACCTCGAGCGAACGAGACGTGCCTCACGAAACAATGGATCTCTCAAACCCCACCATCCACCTTACACCTCTCGAAAGCACCCTGCGAACTCTCCTCCTCGATGTCGCAGCATACATCCAAAAAGAGGGTATTACCGAGGAAGGCAGTGATGACAGGAAGCATCCGGAAACCGTCCTACGCTTCACAGGTGGCTGGGTGCGCGACAAGCTGCTCGGCGTGGACAGCCATGACATCGATGTGGGGATCAGCAGCATGACAGGGTACCAGTTCGGAATGGCCCTGAAGGACTACTTGGATGTTCCCGACAACTTGGAGAAATACAAGCAGAGCCTCCCCAGTGAAGAAATGAGCGAGGCCATCGTGAGCTTGCACAAGATCGATGCCAACCCGGAGAAGTCCAAGCACCTGGAGACCGTGACGACAAAGATTTTCGGATTGGACATTGATTTGGTCAACCTGCGCAAAGAAACATACTCGGAAGATAGCCGGAACCCACAAATGGAGTTTGGAACAGCTGAAGAGGACGCCTTGCGACGAGACGCCACCATCAATGCACTTTTCTACAACTTGAACGAGTCAAAACTGGAAGACCTCACTAAGCGCGGCCTGGATGATATGAAGATGCACATTATTCGAACCCCGCTTGAACCATATCAAACTTTCAAAGACGACCCTCTCCGTGTACTGCGGTTAATCCGCTTCGCGAGCAGGTTGGGCTATCAAATCGACCAAGAAACGGAATCGGCGATGCAGAACGAAGACATCAGCATTGCATTGAAACTCAAGATTAGCAAAGAGCGGGTCTTCACAGAGTTGGATAAGATGCTTCACGGTGAGTGTATTTGCAGGATTCCAATGATCGGCTCCACTAACATTGTTGTAGGTCCTGATCCACACGGAGCTTTGAAATTCATCGATCGACTCGGCCTATACCCCACGATCTTTGCCAACCACCAAGATGAAGTCACGGCAGATACATCGACTTGGCCTCTCGCCTATAATGCGCTCGCACGATTGTTGCAACCTGAATCCACCGAGACCGCTTTGGCACGTGTCCGTCAGATTCTTCTGCATGACAAGCCTAGCCTTTACAGCGCCTGGATGATTGCAGCATTCGCACCTTGGACATCTGTTCCTGCTCGAGGGAAAGGTACTGAAAAGAGACCCCCGCCCACACGCCCTGTCGAAGTTGGCAGGGACAGTCTCAAAGCCGATAATAAGACCCTCCTCATACTCCGTGATGCGACCTTGCATTTCCAGGACGTCAACAAGTGTAAGGAATCGTTGCTTGGTAACACTATCCAAGCCACACCAGCCGAAATCCGCCAGCAGATCGGGCTCCGAATTCGGTCTTGGGGCAAGGATTGGAGACTTTGTGTCGTCTTGGCCATACTTCAAGAGGTCATGAGAGGACGGGATCTCACCGATGGTACGATACCTTCACCCGTTGTCCCTATTGGACTATGCGATACTGACCATATGTTTCTAGTGGCCCATGAGTATGACCAATTCCTGGCATACATAGTAGAGAAGGACTTAGATAGCGTCTGTGACCTCAAACCCATTGTAAACGGAGAAGATATTATGCAGCATCTGGGGGCGAAAAAGGGGCCCTGGATGAGCAAAGCGACCAGCCTCGTGGTGGAATGGCAGTTGTTGCATCCTGAAATCACCGACAAAATGGCGGTCCTGAAGGAGATTTCGGAACGCCGCGCAGAGTTGGGGTTGTGAATGAAGGCGGAGAACTCTTAGAAATTCCAAATCCACCGGTTCCAAGAACCACATCTTTTCCTCTTTTTCCAATATTTTGTAAAGCAATCAGGCCCGCACTCAGTATGGATCAGCTGCGTAAAGATGCCCGTGAGGCACTCCTGCGCGATCCTTGGAATCGACCGATTTTCTTGGCGGCGGGATTCACTGCGACAGCAAAGAATGGGCTGCCCGAGCTGTGGCAGGACGTGTCATCTCACGATAGTACCGTCCATCTAGATGTACGTATCCAAGACACTATCCTTGAATTGTGCTAGCAGACTTATCATCTCAATAGATCTGCGAAACTCTCTATACGGCCTTTTGCTTCGTCCATGGCTGGGATACCCTGCTACCAGATGATGGCGGGCCCAAGCAGCTGAACGAGAGAGAGACTGAAGCCGTTAAGAACTTGTTCCAATGGGCCACTCAACTGGCACTTCCATCGTCGGCATTTGCAGCAGCCTTTGATGAAAATGTCGAAATCACAGAAGGTAAGAACCCCTGGATACTCATCCCGGCCATGCATGACAGCTTCGGCATCCACTAACTAACTACCCGCAGAGATCAAGAAAGCACAGGAAGAGAGCCGACTTAGATCTGTCCTAGCTATCCAGCTCATTCTACAGCTGTCCGCAAAAGCACCCCTAGGTCTATCGGATCGCTCCATAGCTAGCTCGCCCGATATCATTCTGGCTGCAGCCTGCTTCACCGCAGAGAAAGACCCATGGACGACCGAGGATAGCTACGAGGAGGCGTCCATGTATCTTGATGTGACAATGCAAGGCGACAAGTGGAATCTTATTGCGCGATTACTCAAGGAGAAAATCAGACCATTGTTCACCAAGACCAAGAATCCTGCTATCACCAGCGAAGGCCGCAAGAACTTCCACCCTGTGCCTTTGACTCGGTTTGATGGAAGTGTTCTTGACGATGAGATGAAACCCTGGAAGAATAAGGATGTATATGCTACCCGAGTCCTTTCATGGATCGTTTCGCAGTATAAGGTACGTGGTCACCAATTCATTGATCCTTGCGATCTCAGCCAACTAATTCGTCTCAGCCGACCGACAAAGCCCATCTGGAAGCACACTTCCCACTTCTGGTGCCGGCAATCCTAGCCTTGATAGATGACAACAGTCTCACCTTCAAGCGGATGGGCTGTGAACTCTTCAGCGAAATCCTAAAGCCCATCCACCACAGCGGCTCCGACATCCTGGTGCGCACAAACCTGACCTCCGTCTTCGAGGATGCCATCACACCCTGTCTCCTTTCCCTGCCAACAATCACACCAGAGGATAGCTCTATCCAACTTCTCGGTGCAGCATATCCAGCACTCCTCTCGCTCTTCAAGACAGTCTACAAAACCCCCTCTTCCAAGAAATCAAAAGACCAAAACGACAAAGATAGAGAGACATACACCGCCAAGATGTCCAAAATCCTCCGCTCAAATCTTATTTCCTCCTTCCACCACATCAGTTCCTCAACGCCCACTGCTATCTCGACCTCAGTCTCTTTCCCCCATCCACGTCTATCGACTTTCCTCCTGGAATGGATTACCACTTTCGTGAAAGAACTCGGAATCAACACGACGAAATACCTCCAGGAGATCGTTCCGGTTCTTTACACGACGCTCTCCAATCCTTTCGGCACTGCCCACCCCCCTCTACTCTTCGCCGCAGTAACAGCAACCAAATTCGTCATCCTGAATGCAAATCCCCGTATCTGGAGATGGCGTGGTGAAATCCTCGGCGCACTGTGTGCATGCTGGCTCCATATTGTCGGCGAGAAACACGATTCAGAGAAAGGGAAGGGAGACAAGGGATCGCCGCCGGTGACTGAGCTAGTAAAGATTACAAAGGAATTGCAAGGTGCTGTATATGTGTTGAAGCATACTTTGCAGAACCCCGTTGCAGTTCTCAATGGGGAGCCTGACAAGGATCAATTGCTGGCGAAACAAGAGATGCAACAGGAATTGCAGACGCTGGTTGAAGCGGATAGCGAGTTGGAAGGTCTGCTGTTTGCTGATGTCAAGGCGTGATGGTTTAGATTCGTTAATTTAGATTAGAACATGATCACCCCTTACTCCTTGCTGAGACACTGCTATTTGCAGGTCTTCTGTCGGGTGTAATCTAGCTTCTCATTTGGAACATGAATTACTCGCTTGAAGAATCTCAACATCATTCATTTACTCATGACGCAATTTCTCAAAAAATGCATCGGGGGTATCATTTCCAAATTATGCACGCTAAAAGCCGACGAAACAAATTTGCGCAGCCATCATACATCAACGCGTTGCTTGAAAAGGCTCTTCCCCCGTAGCCACTGCCGATAACGCTTGTACCTCTTTTTCTGATAGTCCTCGCTCACAACAGTCAGGCCTTCCTCCGAGACATTCAAGAACTCAGCGTAGTCGGCCATGTTCTCCAGGGCGTTGGTTTTGAGGGCGGCTTCCTCAATATTGCATTTGTTCACATACTCGAGTAGGTCGAGATTAGCACCGTGTTCTCGGAGTGACGCGGCGGTCATCTCATCCTCGGATGTGACAACCAGCGGGACTTTGAGGGGATGATTGATGTATCGCTCGTATTCCTCTGCCTCTGCAGACGTCACCGATGGGTTCAAAGAATCGGTGACCAATTGTCCTAAGGTCCATTGGGCGATTTGCGCTTTGCTGGGAGTTGTTGTGGAGTCAGGGGTATTGATTGGAGGAATGTGCGAGTCTTGATTGGTCTTGAAGGTGGGCTCTCTAATAATTCCTGCCGAAGGGGGCTGCTTAGATGATGACGGAGGTTGATGTTTCCAGGTATCGGGTGCGTCCATGATGGGCGGCGTGGTGGTTGAGTATTGGGAATTGTTGTCAGTGGGCACTTGAATTCTCACGGTTCGCTGTGGTGGACGATCACGTTGGTTTTGTTCCGGAGGGATGCGAGGTACGAATGGGCTGAGATCAGGAGTTGTATGTCCAGGACGGTAGGGAGGTAGGTAGCGTAGTGTTGAGTTCATTTTGTAAGAGAAGATTTTGGACATGGTCGAGACAGCCAAGGGCCGGTAATATTCCAGCCAGTAATCGTCGAAGTGGGACAGCGGCTCCTCGGGTCGGATTGGGAGTGGTGGAAATTCTCTTTCTTTCAGGTATTCAGGCGTGTACCAAGAGATGTAGTTGGGGCGCTTCTTCTGCAGGTAGGATCTGGGATCGGCATGGTGTAGATAGTAATCAGTTGCAAGGTCCCAAAGCATTGGAGCACCTTGAGCGAAAATGTAGTTGCCTAGGAACAGGTTGTAGGCCTCTTGTCGTTGAGCATCAAGGAAAGAATTGTTGTAGTATCGCTTAAAGCTTTCGACCATATCGCGCGAGTGACTGCTCCACTGATTGATCTTACGGTACGTGGCCATGGTATTGACCAAGTGAGATCCTCCGTATTGAATGGCAATAGTGTCTCCATGGTCGTGCCACATGTTGGTGAAGAGATTGACGGCGTCGGTATCGTACTCGACTGTTGTTTCGTCAATGATGCCGAGAGCATGCAACTGGTAACCAAGTGCTCTTTTGCCAATAACGAATTGTGCCGCATTGGTTCGGTCAAGACAGTCGATGCAATTTGTTCGTGCAACACCGTTCTGAAGTCGCAAACCAGATTCCACATCCTGTCCGTTTTTGAAGAAGCCAGTTTTCGGGATGATATCTCCAGCAATATCTTCCAGGGTTTGAATGACGTCTTGATCACGGCTCTTTGCTGCACGGCTCATATCCCATGCCTTGTAGATAAGTTTTTTGTCCTCTGGTAGGAACTGATTCAAGTAAGACACCGCATTCGTGAACTCATGGAGAAGTTTTGATTCTCTGGGTGTCCGTTCCCGTGACTTGACAAGGTTTAAAATGTAGATTGGCGCTCCGTACCGTTCAAACAGGTTGTCAAAGTGCAATGCAGCGGCCGAATAGAATGGATCGACAAGATTCAACTCGATCGCAGGCTTGGGTGACACCCCCGTATTTTCCTGAGTCCAGTACAGAGGAATGCTTCCACGATGCTGAACATAAGAAGTATAGTTGGGGTTTGCGTGCAGCTCTGGACCAGCGGAGTGGAAGGATGTGGTGGTCTGCTCGGAGACAATTTGTTCCGTTTCGACATCGTTGGCAACAAACCCCAAGTCATTTGAGCCACGCTTGAGAAAGCGGGCACCTGCGAAAAACCGAGACCGACGGGCGATGACAGATACGTACACCACCCTCCCATAGACACTTATTTTGGACTGGTCGACATAGCCATGGATGATCGGGAGACACCATTCGTAAGGATTCTTCAAAGTATTGATCGCCGGCGTAAGAAGATGGTGATTCCAGATAAACATTGTGTTGTAGTCTCGGGAGAGGAATTGGGAAGTCCCGTCATGATGGGCCTTCCGTTCGCGGCAAATGTTATGCTGAAGAGAGCGCGTAATATCGTAAGAGTAACTGAAGTAAAACGACCTAGTCAAGTCGAGGTTGCTCAAAATCGCCCTGTATCTTTCTTCCTCTGACTGCTTTTCGGGTTTTAGCCGCGAGGACTCGGCTGGAGTCAAGGATATCAGTTCCGTTTCATCAATCTGGTAGACATTGTGGCCACCAAGCACAGCGACTTGGCTCCTCTTGGTAACTAGGAGCATATAATATGCCCCAGTAAAGCGGACAAAACCAAGCAATGCCCACGCGCTGCATTTCTGCTTCAATCCACCAGAGCTTTTATTCCCGTCATCAATCGCATCCAACAGCTGGACCATCTCCCTTTTTGTGTAGACCATATCATCTTCGATTATGCTCAACTCGCCCGACTCGGAAGTGCGATCAAGTTTAAGAATTCGAAAGCGAGTCTCTGGAAGGTTGATACCGACCATGTAGAAACGAGTGGCAGTCTCGTAGAGCGTGAACTTGTGCATCCGGTTGATCCCCTCATCCTCTGCATCCACGCCAGATCGGTGTTTCTGTGCGAAACTTGGACTCGATTCTCGCTCGAAGGAAGTCGCGACTCGAGGCTCTTCATCTTCTTCTTCGGGTGGAAAGTCAGACGAGATTGAAGGCTCCCCAGCTAGCGCATTTGTGGCTGTTTCGATTGGGGCCCGGCCCGCGTTTATCGAGCGATCAGAGGTGGGAGTGCCTGGTTCCGCCGATTCCACCTCGGTGGATTTCCTGGGCTTCGCATCATTGCTAGCAGGAGGTAAATGGTCGTCTAGAATCGAGGGATCAGACACAGGGCCCACTAGTGTCACGTCGTCGAAGCTCTCCATCGCTCTGGGCGAGGAATAAAATGCCGTAGGGGAATGAGTAGATGGCACTGACGAAGGACGACGGGAAGCTTTCCCCACAAACGTGACGTCGTTTGGTATTGGGTCCTGATTGGTTTGGTGCCTGAGGAATCAACACATGCACAACATCAAAATAAAAGTCGACGTGCCTACAGGATAGCGGTGGATTACGCTGGTTTCAAAACCCCCGCTCTCGAGATATCATACTGCATATATAACTACAAGAGATTACTGCAGGTCATTAAAGAGAAATGTCTGAGGGACTTCATTTGAATTGCTTCAGTGCCACCGTTAGCCCTTCAGAAGTGTCATCTATGATAGACAACAGTGGTCCTTCACGAGCATGGTTCGGATGCTAAACTGGGTATTCCATGAATAGGTCTAGCCCCCGATTCACCAACATCTGTGATAAAAGTTCTCATTCAAGAAGAAGGTTAAGAGTTGTGAAGGTGTTGAAGCAGAGTCGTATTCGTAATTGTCTTTGAAGCCGGTTGGTAGGTTATCTCACCATAGGAAAGGAGAAAGGAAAGAACTCTTCAACATGCATAGCCCTTGGAATAAGAAATCCGGGATAGGAAAGTGGAGAATCGCATGGCACATATTGGATGTGAGCCAGCAGATAACTACATACGGGCAATCCTAAACTTTTGACTGTCTCTTTTCAAGCGCCTTCCGTCTTGTCCGCAAAGCCTTAGTTTCTTCCTGCAGCGCCAGGCCCATCATAATTTCCTCACTCCCACCACCGACGACATGTACCCGAGCATCACGACTAACCTGTTCGATTCTAGCTCCCTTACCAGCCTTATTATACCCAGCACCGCCAAGAATCTGCTGTGCCTCGCGAACACTCTTCTCCAGCGCTCTTGTAGACATGACCTTCAGCAAGGCGGTCATACCGCCGATCTTGACATCGTCGACTGGTCGGCCCTTGGTGAGCTCCAGGACGTTAACGAGCTGCTCCATGAATGCATATGCCGGCTCAATCATCAATCCGAATTTGAAGATCTTTGCTTGGATGGCTTGTTTCTGGATCAAGGGGGATCCGAATGTCTCCCGTTGTATGGCGTAGTTGAAAGCGTCTTCGGCGCAGACGCGAGCGAGTCGCAGGGATGCACAGGCAAGTGAGAGACGCTCGGGGTTGAAGTCTGGAATGCTTCGTCAGTCGGTTCTTAACAATTGGAGGACTGGCGGACTTACTAGACATGATGAGAGGGAAACCCTTGTTCTCTTCGCCGATGAGATGATCAACTGGGACACGGACATCATCTAGCTCGATAAAGGTTGAGCCTAAGGCTGTGTTAGTGAAGGATTCAACTTGAAAGCTACTCATGATAGCCAGTCATACCGCTCGCATTGACACCCGAGTTAAACATTTTCCGGCGAGTCACTCCTGCGGCTTTCAGGGGGATGACAAGCAAGCTGATGCCCGATCGTCCGGGACCGCCAGTGCGTACTGCAGCAGTGCAATAGTCGGCCCAGATACCATTGGTGATCCATTTCTTCGCTCCGTTGACGATATAGTGGTCGCCCTCTCGCTTGGCGGTGGTCTTAATATTGGCCACGTCCGAGCCAGCTATATATTCCCACGACATTAGCACTTGGCATACGCACAAAATGTTGTTATCCTTAGATCTCACCATCTGGCTCCGTAATTCCTAAACAGAATCGAAGATCACCCTTCGCAACACCGGGAAGCCATCGCTTCTGCTGCTCCGGCGTACCGAACCTCGCAATAGGTGGACACCCAATGCTATTCCCACCGCCAAGGCCCCAGATTACACCCACGAAGCCCACACGGGTCAACTCATCCCCGACAATCAACGTGCACCAGGTATCCCACTTGTCACGGGGTACATTGCCCGGCAGCGGCAGACCAGCCGAGTGCTCCTCCGTCGTGAGAGGGTGCACGATGCCGAAGCCGAGCTCGCAATGACGTCGTCGAACCTCCTCGGGAACTTGCCCTGCAGTTTCCCACTCCTGTGCGTAGGGGGCGATCGAAGTGTCAACGTAATCGCGGACCCACGCGCGTAGGTTGTGATGCAGGTCGGTATAGTAGGGATTGCGGACGTCGAGCTGGGGGAGAAGGGGCTCGCTGTAGGGAGCTGTTGCAGGGCGGAGATTACGCGCCATGGTGAGTTTGGGAGTATGGATTTTGGGAGAAAGAGAGTTGAATGGTATTGGGATTTTCTAGAACTCGGATCTACATGAATTTGATTGATAGCTGGGGTGTAGTTGAATCATGCGGGGAAGAAGAGAGGTTGAGCTCGGCCTGTGAAAAGGACGGTCCATCCAGGCCGAGGCCCGACGCGTGTCGCGTCGATCATTCCCCATACTTTTGGTCTACATAGTACCTGCAAGTAAGCAAGTAAGAGTGCGCATAATTGAAGGAGAGAGGGGAAATGCATTGCTTTATGCTGGGGTATTATTACATGCAATCTTTATGAGTATGTCCGAAAGTGCTCTTCCAAGCCTCCCAGTCCCGGCCACCCTAAACTTGTAGGTGTTTGATACTCTTGTACACCGGGCGCAGGTGCTCTTTGACTTCTCGGAGAGTCCATCGCCGCCGGGACTGGGAATCCAACATGCCCCTGATGCAACTCATGATAGTCTCAGCGACGGTAAGACCTGTCTCGAGTTTCGTCTCAAAATGGTCGATCTTAACCGCAAAGTCACTTGGGAACGTAGTCGCTCGTCGTGTCAGATCGTTCAACACCATCTGTCGCTCCATCTTGGTATTCAACCGATAGAGAAGCTCAAACAAGATCACACCCAAAGCATACACGTCAAGTTTCTCGTCAATCTGGTAATCATCGAAATAACCTGAGGAATCTGAGGTGCACGAATTCGCAGGAGGTCGGTAAAACTCGGTCCCAACCACTCGTTGTATCTTGGGACCTTCATGATAGGGTGTCATGGCGCCGCTCTCGACGGAAGCCTCATTGAAATGCGAGATATCTGCAACCAGACCAAAGTCGCCGATACGAGGTCGACAGAAATGGGTCGGTGAGGTCGGCGAGGAAGGTTTAGCATTGCAGGAAGCGCAGATGTCCAGAGTAGTGCTTTCTGGTGCGCACAGGAAGATATTCGCTGGCTTTAGATCACGGTGAACGATTCCCTTGGAGTGCAAGTACTCGACACCCGCAATGATATCCAACATCAATCTCAGCGACGGCATCAAATGGAAACAATGTCGGCGGGAGGGAGAGCCGTTGTTGGTGTTGGTGTTGGATTTATCGACTGATGATTGTGGATTTAGGTAGGAGCCGAGGGAGATTGGGTGAAGAGACATTTGGATGTGAAGAATGACAGCCGGTGCTTGTTGACCGAATCGATGCTGCCGCTGAACTTGAAATTTCGACTGATCCTGGCTCAATCCATCGGTGAAGATGTCATCCGTCTCTCCATATGTGGAGGTCTGACCATACGAGGGATTATCGAAATTTCGAGGAATAGATTCGATGTCTTCGTCATCGTCAACTCCTGTTCCAGAGCTCTTCTTAGAACGACGAGAAGACGACGTGGCATGGCTATCCCAGCGAGAGATACGGGTTGAAAAGCCATGTTCATCGGGTAAAGAACTACTAGCATGCGACTCCACTGCTGAGCTCTCAGAATGCTCGAAGACAATGCCCATGCTAGGCTCATTGATTGAAGCCTGACTGGATATGTCAATATGTGGAGATTCATATTTGGTGTGCGCTTGTGGCTCGAAGGGGCCACGACCCGAGACATGCGCCTGTTCGACCCATGCACCGTAATACCGAACAATATTGGTGTGCTCAAGTCGAGCAAGAGTCCGTATTTCCTTCATTATGGTTTCCAATTGGTTCTGGCCGCCATACTGCAGCTGATCAAGGCGCCTCTGGCTGAGAGGGATTTTCTTGACAGCATAATCTTGCCCATCAATATGATTAGTGACATGGTATACCTCCCCAAAGGATCCACGGCCGAGAATTTTGAGCTCGGTGAACTCGACTGAGTAGCGCGACATATTTTTGTACGGTGGCATGGCCGGTCCATTGAATAGAGGCATACTCACGGGCGAGCTTCCAAATAACGGTCTCGATGGCGCAGGCAGGTTGGGTGCGCCGATTGGAATACCTTCAAGGACATCGAAATTGCTGGTCGAAGGCATATCCTTGCGAAAGGGTGCTTCCTCCCCGGGCGCTTCCCAGAAACGGCCATTGCCATCTGTCACACTGAGTCCTTGCTGAGCCCAGAAAGTCTTCGACACCAAAGCAAGCTCCTCGCTACCTTCAATCGGCGATGGTGGCTGGGTTTCGTTCAAATTCAAGTCCTCCAGAGCGGAGAGTCCCAGCAAATCCAGGTTGTCACGATAGGTCTGTCTTGTTCCATCCAACTCTTCCTTCTCAATGCCATCTGCGAGAACGCCATGTGATGCGAGGAATTGGGATTTGTACTTGTACAGCTTCTTCCCAAGATATTGTGCCTCTGGGCAGTGCCGAGTGAACCGTTTGGTAGAGCCCTTCTGCGCATTGAGGATGTCTGCCGCTCGACTTTGGCAATAGAATTCCAATAACGCGGCAGTCATGAAATTTGCATGGCGCTGCACATTCGAGCCCAGGGCATCCTGTGACAAGGAAGACAAATCATCTCGCGAGATTGAGGAGTCTATTTCGCTGCCTGAGTCCAAGCTGCTTGAAAGGTTCGCGGTTGCCTTGCCCTTATTCGTGCTCCAGCTCTCGGCGGCACCTTCGCCATTGGTATTGGGGGTTTTATGGCCACTAGACTCACCCTCATCCGAGTCGGTATCTGGATCGGATGATGAAATATCTGCCGCAGATCTGAACATTGACATGCTGGTGGTGGTCGTTGAGGAGCAGGCGGTATCAAGAACGCAAGAGATGGCTACGCAAAAGGAGACCAAACTGGCTCCATTGAGGTCCGAGATGGGCAATCGTGATCAGATGTGCCCACAAGGTTAACTATGACCAACAGAAGGGCAGTCGCGAGGTTTGTTGGTACTGCTCCTGGTGAGGCGTGGGCGGTATAAATATGGTGGGGTGGGCCAGAACACTCAGGTTGTCGTACCAGCCTGGTTGAGCAGTGGCGTGAAGTATAGCGTCGGAATCAAAAAAGATGCCCAGATCGCGAGGTGTTGTCTCAAGATGACACGCTGGATTTTACTCAACACAGGCCAAACATAAACAAGACCTGAGCGAACAATCCTAATGATTTGAGTCAGGCTTCCATTGGATTCTAAATGTCTCTTGTAGGGCGCGTCATGCGGGCGGTGTAGAAGTCACTATTCGGGGAGTGACAATGTCAGGTCCACTGATACATCGACTGATCTGAACCCGGGGATCAACGATGAACAAAGATTGTTCTCTGATGACAATCGAATTGTATGTTGAGCTAAGGGTGAGATGGCTTACAAAGTGGCCAAACGGGAAGACTGATTCCGGTCATTTTCTGCCGGCGGACTGCGGCGCGGGATAGAGCCACCAGGACAGTTACTTTGTGGATAAGCCAAGGTGACCGAATGAGGAAAGCCATGGTAGGAAAGTGGCCATCAGAGAAGAGTGAGAGAAAAGACGTATATTTCAAGAATATCTAACTACTTAGTGGTAAACTCGTGCTATGGCTACGTGGCTATCTTCCTCATTTGGTGGCATGAACTGTTTGAGTTGGGTCCTCTTATCTTATCGGCATGTGACTTGACTGCTCACGCGTAAAGAGCGTCACGTCCAGGGCGCGACTGCGACACGACTTCCGGACTTTCGGAGTGTTGCTCACCCAACCCATTCTGCTCAAGTCCCCCACACACCTGGTTTGAATAGGGCCTCTGAAGGTATTCGGCAGCACATCGAATGCATTAGCACCATGCCTGAAGCCATTCCGCCCCATAAACGGGCTTTGACCGACACAACCAACAATATTCGTGGCGATGCCGTCTCCCCCGCGGCGCTGAAGAAGCGCAAGCTCGATGTTAAACTCTCCTCACAGTTGAAACCCCCGCACAGAATGCCCAGCGGAAAGGATTTGGTTCGACTCAACCGCAGAAGAGTCAGTTTGAGGAGGAAGTTCTTGAGAAATTGACGCAGGACATCGGAGATTTGAAAGGCAACAATGCGGAGAAGGACCAACAATGGGAGCGACCCCCTTTGGGCGATTTCGACCCAACCAAGGAGAATATCTGTTTTCAACAGATTGATGCTGAAGAGGGTCGATTTGGAGCCGACAAAATGGCAGTTCGCCTCTTTGGTGTCACCGAGGTAAAGCCTGCCTTGCCTGGGTCATGATGCCCCAGAAGCAAAGATATCTGACAAACTTTCATTAGCTCGGTCAATCAGTCATGTTGCATGTTACTGGCTTCCAGCACTACCTCTATATCGCTGCGCCGGTTGGCTTCACAAAGGAGGACTGCGGCCCTTACCGAGCCTTCCTCGAAACCAAACTCGCGCAAATGGTCCCAGTCATCCAATCCGTGGAGGTAACCCTACGGGAAAACCTGTATGGATTCCAGGGAAACCAAAAGAGCTGGTATCTCAAGATTACCGTGACCGACCCTAAGTTTATTGCCAGGCTGCGAAGTGCGCTTGAAACAGGCAGTGGCTCAATGAACTACAAAGGTCTGTGGAGCAACTCCGATTCGGGGATCCTCACATTCGACAGCATTCAATATCTTCTGCGATTCATGATTGATACTGGTCTACACGGCATGTCGTGGGTCGAAGCCAAGGCAGGAAAATTCCGCCTTTTGTCAGACCACGAAAGGCAATCGAATTGTCAAGTTGAGGCCATCATGGACTATCGCGACATGATTGCGCATGCTCCTAACGGAGAATGGGCCAAGATGGCTCCACTTCGTATCCTTTCCTTCGATATCGAGTGCGCTGGCCGTCAAGGCATCTTCCCAGAACCCAACGTCGATCCAGTTATCCAAATTGCCAACGTCGTCACTCGGTACGGAGAGTCCAAACCTTTCATTCGAAATGTATTTTGCCTCGATACTTGCAGCCTCATCGTCAATACACAAATTCTGGAGTTTGAGAAGGAGGAAAGAATGTTGATGGCATGGCGTGACTTTCTGGAAAAGGTCGACCCCGATGTCATTATCGGGTACAACATCGCCAACTTCGATTTCCCTTACTTGCTGGATCGTGCCAAACATCTGAAGTGCACCCAGTTCCCATACTGGACTAGAGTGAGGAACTGCAGGACAGAGGCCAAGGAGGCCAGTTTCTCGAGCAAGCAGATGGGCAACCGAGAGACCAAAGCGACCAACACGAACGGCAGAATTCAACTCGACTTGCTCCAGCTGGTACAACGAGATCATCAATTGCGAAGCTACACCCTCAATTCCGTATCATACGAATTCCTGGGAGAGCAGAAGGAAGATGTTCACCACACCATGATCACAGAACTGTTCAACGGCACGCCCGATTCTCGACGTCGATTAGCGGTATACTGTTTGAAAGACGCCTACCTACCGCAACGGCTGATGGACAAGTTGATGTGTCTGGTCAACTACACGGAAATGGCAAGAGTCACGGGTGTTCCCTTCAATTACCTTCTTTCTCGGGGTCAGCAAGTCAAGTTCATCAGTCAGCTGTTCCGAAAGGCTCTCGAGCAGCAGCTTGTCATTCCCAATTCCAAGTCGCAGGATGAACAGGATTATGAAGGTGCCACTGTCATTGAACCGAAACGTGGTTACTATGGCGTGCCAATCGCCACTCTCGATTTTGCATCGCTATATCCATCGATTATTCAAGCGCACAACTTGTGCTACACAACCTTGCTCAACAAGAACAGCGTTGAGAAACTTGGTCTCAAAAAGGACGAAGACTACATTGTGACGCCAAATGGAGACATGTTCTGCACCGCGAAAGTTCGCAAAGGTCTCTTGTCGCAAATTCTCGAGGAATTGTTGGGTGCAAGAAAACGTGCGAAGAAAGAGTTGGCGAGCGAGACCGATCCATTCAAGAAAGCCGTCTTGAACGGTCGTCAACTTGCTCTGAAAATCAGTGCCAACAGTGTGTACGGCCTGACTGGTGCCACGGTCGGCAAGCTGCCTTGTCTTCCGATTGCCAGTAGTACTACCAGTTATGGTCGTCAGATGATTGAGAAGACCAAGGCGGAAGTCGAAGCGCGCTATACTATCGCCAACGGGTACTCTCACGATGCCCAGGTCATCTACGGTGATACCGATTCAGTCATGGTCAAGTTCGGTGTCACCGAATTGGAAGATGCGATGAAGCTAGGCGAGGAAGCTGCGGACTATGTTTCTTCAAAATTCATCAAGCCCATCAAGCTCGAATTCGAGAAGGTGTACTTTCCCTACCTGCTCATCAACAAGAAGCGTTACGCCGGTCTTTACTGGACCAACACTAAAAAGCATGACAAAATGGACACCAAGGGTATTGAAACGGTTCGACGTGATAACTGCCTGCTGGTCCAAAATGTCATCGAGACGGTTTTGAACAAGATTCTTATCGACCGAGATATCGATGGTGCGCAAGAGTAAGCCAAATGTTCTGAGAATTGATCCGAAGATGGATGCTAACTGTGGATGCAGCTATGTGAAATCGACCATCTCAGACCTCTTGCAGAACAAAGTGGATATGTCCAAGCTAGTGATCACGAAGGCCTTGTCGCAGAAGGAATACGCGGCTAAGCAGGCTCACGTCGAGCTTGCCAAGCGCATGACGAAGCGTGATGCCGGATCCGCCCCTGCTCTGGGAGACCGTGTGGCCTACGTGATGATCAAGGGTGCGGCTAATTCCAAGGGCTACGAGCGGGCCGAAGATCCTATCTTCGTCTTGGAGAACAATATTCCCATTGATACCAAGTATTACTTGGACAACCAGCTTGCCAATCCCCTGGGCCGTATCTTCGAGCCCATCCTGGGTGAGAAGAAGGCCAACCAGCTGTTGACTGGCGAGCACACACGATCCATCTCTGTTGCTGCCCCCAGCTTGGGTGGACTCATGAAGTTCACTAAGCGCACTCAGACCTGCATGGGCTGCAAGAAGCCACTCTCGGGCAAAGAGGAAATGGCCGGTGCGGTGTGCGAGAATTGCCGCCCTCGCATTGGCGAGCTGTACACCAAGTCCCTTACCAAGGTTTCGGACCTGGAAGTTCGCTTTGGACGTCTGTGGACGCAGTGCCAGCGATGCCAGGGCAGTCTTCACTGCGAAGTCATTTGCTCGTCACGCGATTGTCCCATCTTCTACATGCGCATGAAGGCGAAGAAAGACGTGGAGGATTCTCAGAAAGAGCTGGCTCGATTTGACTTCGATGCTGGTGCCTGGTGATGCTACAAATGTAATGGATACTGTATGATTTCACTTATGGAGAAGATGAAGCTTCGTGGTGCAGGGCGGGTCTTGGGCGTATTTCATTGATGGCGTTGGGGAATACCTTGTACACAGTTTTAATGCAGCAGAAGAGTTTCTCAAACCAAATTCATCAAGGCTCCTAGAAAATGACAGTCATCCAACAAGGTTCAAATTGAGATCGCTGCCTAGCTCCACTGTAGCCTTCAAGTTTCTGGGGAAGGCAGCCCATCCCCTTTTTGGTCGTCCCATCGCATCGCTCCTGCAGGGCGCGAGTCTTGGCGCGGAGCAGCTCCATCCTCTCCGCCGATCCCCTGCGAGCTTTCTTTTCCCCTCAACTTTCGGACGACCTTTGCACAACAGTTCCCTCGATCTCCAGTCAAACACGAGCCCAGTCATGAACGGCGCTGAATGCATGTTCGGACACGGGCAGACGCAAGCTCCCTTTGGCTTCCAAGCCAATGGCGCACCAGTCCCATGGGCGGAGGTATGTCGTCATCCCAATCTTTCTCTCGGCGGCACAAACCAAGCAGTGCAACAATGGACAAGAGACTTGCGACTGCCCTTTGTCTTCGTCCTTTCTTCCTCCTATTGATTCGTCCGTCCCCGCTTATATATTACCTCCTGTAACAGATTTTTTCTCGGCACGAGGCCATACTCAACTCGCACCTTGAGATGCTCAGTGCAGTGAAGGGTCAAATCGCGCCAGACAGCGAAATGTTCCGGACAGTGTCCTCCATGGTGACCAAGACGATCCAAGCGATGAATCAGTCTAAAGTTGCTCGAAAGCAAATGGTATGTGAACGTGGCCGGGTTACTCATCTGGATTATGTCACTGACGGATTCGTCTGCTCTAGCCCAACCGTATGCTCTGCCCCAGTCCCCTTGGATCTTGAGCATTTCCCCTCAAACTGTCGTTTACACCATGGCTAACAAGTTATTGCCACAGGAAAATCATCTGAAAACGTATTCAATACTCCCCGCTCCTCATCCTCCGCACCCAAGATGAATGCACAACCCGCCGCCACCCCGCAATCAACGGATACAGAGACTAGCAGCCGTAAGAAGAGATCCAGAACGGAGAAAGTGGACACGGCTATGCAGTATCAACCTCCAACGCCAGAAGATGATCCCCGAGCTCCCAAACGGCGGCGTGATCTGGCCGAAGAAGATGCTCGAAGTACACACTATGCCTCGTCCGGTTCCCAGGAAACAGAAGACATATCCGCAGAAGTTCAGAGACGCCTTAAAATCAGGGAAGAGAGGCGGCGCAAGAGAGAAAATTCCAAACCAGAGAAGCGCAAGCGCGAGAGTCTCATATCGAATGACAACGAATCGCCTGCTGGACCGTATCACAGGAAGAAGCGTGCACGGCGGATGAGCTCCGATCTGAAGAGGCATGGAGGACCACTGGTAGACAAGGAGACAGACGGGAGCACAAAACGAGTGAAGAAATCACACAATGGAGGCTAACCTTCCGACCGCAGGAAGGGTGGTGGTTCTTGTCTTGGATGGTCGGTCGAGTCAATCCACAGGTTCTAGCTTGTCACGTCCATCCTTACTTCTATTGTTCCTGACAGAAACAACTTTGTCGTTTTGGAGAGCGAGAGGAGGAGGCTAAAATCAATGACGGAGCTGATAGGCCGCTATTGTATTTCTACCCCTGACTGGCCTTTGTCAAAGGATGGGTTTTGTCAGAAAGCTATTGTCTAGTCTATTATTACTATCAACATTTCTTTCAAGACATCTTATGACATGCGTCGCCTTACAATTAGAACAAACACTTGAAACTCCCAGAACTTCTTTTACGTTGATCCGCCCCGGCGTGGTGAGGTGAATATTTAATGTCCAGCTCTTCCTGCTCTCCCAGTCTGGGGTATTACTTCAAGAACACATCCAACTAGCATCAACCAGACACCTTCGCTAGATCTCCCAAAGCAATCTTCGCTGACTTGTTCGAGTATCCATCCCGGCGGCCGTCATTTCTTCCGCTGCCCTTTTCGGAAACTATCTTTCCCAAACAAGCCAAAGGGAAACCCTCTGTGGATTAGTACTTCCAACAATCCAAAGCCCGTTTCGCCTTTTTGGGACTAGAAGAGGCTGAAAATAAAAGCGGACGACGAAGATTTCCCCGTACAGCGTCCGGTCTAGGATCATCGAACTAGCCCTAATTCCTCTCCCCAGCACTCTATATCCACGGATCTGTATGTCAAAATAGGCATTCTTCTTCCAAAAGAATCAGTTGCCATACCAAATTCGAATTCTACTAATCCTGCATTTCCAATCGGGGATAGTAGACTTCTACAGGACTCTGGTCAAAACGTCTTTCGCCCCCGTCTGTCCCTGGACTCTTCTTTCTTCTCTCCATCTCTCCTCCTTTACTCGAGATCAATCACTCCCATTCCGCCAAACTTCGTGAATCACGCCTGTTCTATACTGGCATCCAACACAGAAGAGGCCACCTCAGTCCTCCTCCTCGGGGTATCATATCAAGTGCGTCCGGGTCACTAGGTCGAATCTAAGTGGTCGGACTTCGGGGCTTCAACTACTGAAACTTGAGGGATTTCATTGCGTGCAAAAATTGTTCCAAAAATCATTTAGAAAACTGTTAAATCGTTCAAATCTTTTTAGTCACATCCCAAAAACAGCAAAGCGGGTAAAGACCCTGAAGTGGAAATCCGGCTCTTGGGAGGAGACAATAGGACTCCTCTTGTGTGATCTACTCTGGGGTTGAGGCTGGGGCTGAATCGCCCCCCAATTTACAAAGATGGCTGTCCGACGTCCAACCGGCCCGTCTTTTGGTGGAGGCAGAATGCGTCCTGCAGATAATCAACAAGCCGGGTCTCTTCGACCAACCACTAACGGCTCAGGACGAAGAAACAATGGATGGAATGGACACGGCAAGTCGAACTTACGGCACTACAATCAAGACAACCGCTCTCATAACTTCATTCATCATCAACCTGTCCACCACTTTGGCGAGAAACCACGAGTAAGCAATCCTTTGTGATGATTGAAATTGAATGATACTGATGATACTGACGATACTGACAACAACTTGCAGATCCAGCCACAAAAATGCAAATACTTCCGCCAGGCCAAGTCCCACCGTTATCCCAATCAACAGTTCCAAACCTATCAAGGTGGTGACTTCAATGCTCCCAAGCATGTCCAACATTTCCAAAACAACGCCGGTAGCGAGAACCCAGTAAGTGTTCCAATCGTCTCCTTGACTCTGTTTAAGCGCGGACTAACAACATCAATAGGTTCAACTCCAGACTGGATTCCAAGACCATCTGCGCGCACCTGCTCCACGCGGTCCCAAGAACCGCAACAACAAATGGCGCAATCGCCGAAATCAAGTAAGTCCCAACTGGAGAAACAATTTCATCTATCAAGCACTCACTGATATCTCCCAACAGGTCGCTCTCTACTCTGCTGTTCATGACATCGAAATGTTCGATGCTTCAAATATCGACACGGACATTGAAATGCCCGACGCTCCTCCACTGGAGTCTTACAATGTCGACAATTGGATCAACGAGCCTGTAAGTCAAGTCAATTTCATGAAATCTAAAACTGCCAACACTTATTCTAATAATGATTTCAATCAGACGCTCCTCGTCGCTGATGGCCTCGCTTCTGCGAATGCAATGCTCTCTCGAATTGAATACTTCGTCCGCACTGGCACCATGCCCGCTGACAATTTCACCCTCAGCGGTTGAATAATTTGTCTCAGCAATGATCAGTAATTTTTAAATTCGCCACAACAAATTTGATATTGAAGTCCTGGCCAAGGTTTTTACCTCGACGTGCCTTATCCCAAGAGCCGCGAGGAGATTTCCCTTGAGCCCCGTGGCACCAAATCAACCACCTCGACACAAGTCACAAGTCCACGGCCTAAATGGGAGGGCTATTTACATATCCACGCTTGGGTTGGAGATTTGCTACTATGTACCTCGTGCTGTTCATGTCTGGAGACAACCAAAGGGGAGTCATGGCTCTGGAGGTTGTTCCTCGGACTGAGCGGTACTTGGATTTTTCTCAAATTCCTGACAATCTCGTTACTTTCAGATTTATTTCTTCCAATACTTGCACATTATTGTATATCAGGATATTTGTTCGATGAGCATATTGATACTTGGGCTTACTTCACAATGGACAAAGACATTTCTCTTTTACTCAGACTCTCTTCACAGTTCTGACCATAGTAAAAATTCTAGCATTTTGACTTGTATTTTGGCCGTTTAGTCTAGAAGAAGTAATGTAGATTAGAATCACGAGAAAGCTATAGACCCTATTCGTGAACATGCTTGCTCGTCGATGCCTATGAATTTATCGGTGATTGAAGTATTATATATTCGATGTACCGAATTCCTGGTGAAAACAAGACCAAGAGACTCCAGAGGGGAGGATCACCATTCCATGAGTCTAGATAAAGAACCAAACGCCCATTCCCAATGCTGAATCGAAGGAGATATTGGTACAGAGATAAGTGCCGACAGATTGTAGGTATGTGCAGCGACATGAATGAAAGTCGCAGAGTCGAGGTCGAAAACGGCGGGAGCATTAAGTATATCGAGGATCGACCATCGAGTATCGAGGGGATGCAAGCCTGCAACAGAGAGAGGCTTTACTCGTCCTCGTCTTCCTCCACCTTCTTCCCCCAGTTCCAAACCTCCCAAACATGCTCATAAATCAAATCTCCATATCCCTTCCCTTCCTCCAATGCTTCCTTCTCCTTCCTCAACCGCTTCTCCATCCACCCCTCCTCCTCCCCACCCATCCACACCCTCTGCGCAACCCCCTTCTCTTGCATCTGCCGCGCCTTCAACCGCTCCAACTCATCACTGACAGAGCTGGCCTTTGCCTTGGACTCAGCCTCCGCCTCCCGAATCTGTGCATCCCGCGCCGCCCGTAGTCGGGCCTGGATTTCCTCCGCGCGCTCGCTGGGCAATTCCCGCATGATGCTGGGTGGACGGGATATCCGCGCTTCGATGCGCTCAACGATACTGCGACCTGTCCGCTCGCGGGTAATGTGATTTGCTGAGACGGCAAATGCACTGGCGAGGAGGACTGTGAGGTGATCGAATTTGCGGGGTGGGAGGGCGATTAGTACTGGCGAGGCAACGAGGAAGGTTATTGCCGCGTAGTTTTTGAAGCGCTCGTAGTCTGCTTCGCGGGACACTTCAGGATTCGGTGGTTGTTGTGGATTAGGAGTTGCCATGTTGAGCGATTGTGAGGTATGCAAGACTTTGTCGAGGCTATACTGGCTGTTTCAACTGGATATCTGATTGTAACGATTCATTCAATCTTGGATGCGTTCATTTCGCCGAAAATTTACGGGGGACAGTTCGTGCCAAGTATGCAGGTCATGTGACTAGGCCACTATGCTTTTTGGAGTAATAAGTTTACCGTTGAAAGCATTATTCATCATTGTATTTCAATCATGATTTGGTTCAGCCATGTTCTTATTTCCTTTGTTTTCTTTTGAAGGACAAAGAGGACCCTCGGTCTTGCCTTGGGTCTAGACTTAATTCCCCAAATCCCCACCACCAAAGCCTTCAGGTGTCAGCCACATTTTCAGAGCGGTGTGGTACGGCCAGGACGACAGTGTCAACCCATTGTCTGAAAGATAGTATCCAAACCTGCTTGGTTGGTTGGTTGGAGATGAAGAAATGAGCTCCGCTAACTACCGAATAGGACAAGTGCCAATGTCTATAAACACCACAAATAATGTAAATAGGAAATCTTCCATAAATCCCGCGACAATAATATTACCAGCGGGAGAATAGAAAAAGGCAAAGGATGCGGTAATGACATTCGGGTCCTTCTCGAACTCCTGCGTCCCCTCGGGATAACTCTTGGTCGTGCTAACTCTGCCCTCAAAATCTGTTGTCTCCATTCCGACAACACCGTCCTCGTACACCTGCAACCCCATAACATCGCAAAGGCCGATGTCTTGTAGAATCGCCCCTAACTCATTCACAAAATCCATCGGTGGCTCTGGAAAACCTTGCCCCCGTTTGTATTCATACGGGTACAACTTCCCCTGGTGGAATAGCCAACTGCAAGGCTTGATATTAGTGAGGTCGTTCGAGGCAATGGCGCGTCCATCACGCTCCATGTTCCGCTCGGCAGGGCTGAGGTTGAAGTGCCTGTGGATGAGGCAAACATGAATTCCTTCTCGACATTGTGCTTAAGACAATCTCGGATGACAGTGTTGATATGGTGCATGCCGTTTGCGGATTCGAACTTTTCGTTTACAGCATCAATAGACTGCGCTGTGGCATTGTGGTAAACGTCATGATCGTAGGAAGCTGGCGTTATGTTGCCATTGCGATGGTTAATGTGAGAAGAAGACACAGAAAAGATGCTGGTCACCTAGTAGGCTCTGCCTTTTCACTTCTTATCTGTTAGCGCCTTCGGGTCTCGGTCTTTCTACCCCGCCTGTTCTGCAACTGAAAAATGGGCCCCGTTGCACAGACACTGTTCGTAACTGTTGCTAAATCAGAGTGGGTCTAGGTTCGCTTCCAGTGTATATAGCGTAGATATTAGCCAACAGAATCGGGGGCTGAGCTCAAGGAACGGAAACCGTCCTGAATATAACCATAATCCCTGAAGACCCAGCCAGCCATCCTACGATCGACCAGTCTCTCCAAAGAAACATCTTTCCAATTTGAAACCGTTCAAATGGAGCCTACCAAGTATGCATGCTCCATCCTCTCTTTATTGTCGAGTGCGATCCATGTATGTATCACATTTTAAACAAATCTTGTTGACAGGACCGCCCTCTCTCCTTCGACGCCCATGGGACCCGGTGTGAAGGCAGTTTCGTTCTGTCCAGGTAAATTCAGCTGCCCGTTTGCGGCTCCCGCAGCGCAGGTGAATGAGCAACGCTAGAATGACGAAGGGATAATGGACTAGAAAGCAGATTGGACTGGATTGGATCGGGGCTGGTTCTGTGATTTTACTGCCCATCAATACTGCAAGAGCATCATGGAAGCCGAATAGCTCTTGGGCCAGTTAGCTGCGGAGCTCTGACGGCGTTTTGTAGCTAGCCTGATTTGGATTAGATCCCACGTTGCGGGTCCAAGACACGTCACCGTATCCTGCAACGAATTACTAGTTACTTTGTTCTGAACTCCATAAACTGATTTTTGAAAATCTGTTGGGATTATTAGCGCCATTCAGCATTAGGCATGGTAGTACCACACGAATAGCACATAACTTCTCGAGAAGATTTCCGGATTTCTGTCTATAGTAGTGAGTAAATGATGAGCGAATTTGTGCCGGACAGATGTTAGATAGAAACACAGTAGAAGATTCACGGCAAACTTTATACTCCAAGAAGAGAATTGCAATCACCTGGTCGAGTATGCTAGGAACTATTCTAGATTGAAGTGGCTCTTTGTTCTCCTCGTAGATCCATGATTCATCCTAGGAATCCGCGCATATTGTTCAACGGTGCCATCTAGCAATCGTAGAGCTAAGATCTCCTAATATGAGGCGGTCTAGCCCCGACTTCTCTGTTGTGTTAATCTGCATCACGTGCATTTCCTAATATCTTGGTACCCCCCACTTTAACCAAGAACTTGCTTAAGTCTACCATAGCTTAAGGAACATATCTACTATCCGTCCCTTCCAGCTTCTCACCTTCTGCGTCCCATCGCGAGAACGCTGTGGATAGGCTGCCTAAGGCACTGATACAGGTGGACCAGCGACGAGGGAGCGAGGGAGGGATCGGAAGGTTTCACTGCATTCCCACTGTAATCAATAACCATTTCCACAGCCCAGTTAGGATATTAGGCACATATGATTCGATGATTCAGACGAGTTTCAGGGGGCTTTTGATTGGATTACAGTACAGTAATCTTCTCACGTCATACGCATGACTGTTGTACGGTCGATAGAACGTTCAAAGCTCATATGAATCTATCCAACCCTTTGCCATTTCCTCGGTTCATACTCGAGCTCCCCGTCCAGAATCAGATACGCCCCTTGCGTATATCATGCGCGTGGAGTGATCTCATCTACCTGCCGATCACCGTCGGAACAACGTGGCGAAGCTTTAACCGTTCAGTGGAGGTCATCCTGTACCAGCCACTGATGTACTGGACCGGTCGGTCGGATCGGTTCGTATCCTATCATAAGAAATCCCTCGTCCAGGGATACCGCCAGAGTCTGTCCTACTAAGCTTTTTTTCTGCAAGATTACGGTCATTATTACGACGCCAGGTAGACGAAGTGGATCCTGGATTTACGTCCTGTGCGCCAGCCACAATAGGAAGATTCTAGGGAGTTAAAGATAGATATTACAGTACGTACTTTGTGATTAGACCAGTGGTCTCAAAAAAGCAACAAAATACCCTGCCAGTCTAGTAGTATGAAACCGTAATCCTGTGCGATACGGCGCATCCTTATCCCCCCTGTCGACCCATATAAAACCACCCCATACCCCCTCGCCCTCCTTCCTTGACCTCCAGGCCCCGATCTACTCATCCCTAATAGGCTGCTCATTTTCCTTCACAAACCAACTCAACCAACGCCCAGCTTCGCTGACCTTCAAAAATGTTCGGCAACGGTCTCTTCAACTGGTTCTCCTCCTCCAAGCAGGAGCCCACCAACGGCGCTACATGGGACGCGACCACCGCCTCCGTCCACAACCAGCAGCCCACCAGCCCCGAGGCGCCCTCCCCCGAGCGTGTCGTCACTGAGCAGCCCGTATGTAGCTTCAATATCTCACACTCAGATCTCCTTCATCCAGGCTGGCTCTCCATTTGCTAACACATTACTTTGCGACTCTAGAACTCTCAGGAGAACATGAAGCTGCGCGGTGGTGGTGCCGGCGACGTCTGCTGCGGCGTGTAAGTGTTCCCCTTGCTCAGGTTCCTCATTTCATGCGGCCCGGCCCGGTGCACCAGAGAATGCAGGATGCTTCCTTCTGCAGGCGCTTGCTACTTCCGTATATTTTTGAAGCCTACTGACGCGTTCTAGCTGCGCCGGTCTGCTCTGCTTCGAATGCTGCGAGGACTGCTGCTAAACGATGACCCAACACCCATAATCTCGGCTCAAGGTCGTGATCCCTGTGAATCGAAACGTTGAACGAATGGGCATACCCGATTCCCGCGCATTTGATGACCCATCAACTTAATAATCTCCTCGATGTCGCGAGCGATGGCTACGAAAACCATGAGGGCTGTGCACTTTTTTGTGCGGGAACTGGTTGTGCTCATTCTATTCCGTTCGGTCAACTTCAGTATTTTCCCAAAGATACCGCTTGCGATTTGAGATGCCCCATTAATGTGATGATTGTGATTCTTAACTTTTGGGTTTTTTTCTGGTTTTATTGCGCCTTTTGACTCTCTTGCACAGAAACCGTGTCTGCCTGGTGCCTGCAATTGGAGTCAGGGCTATTTTGAGAATATCCTTTAGCCGAGCAATCCCATTGAATTTTCTTACTACCGTATCTAAGATTTCGCCTTTTCCTTGGAATATGAGAAATATTTTGAAGGTACTCATTGGATACTTTCCTTGCTGGTTTTGCAAAAAATTGGGAATGCGGAGCAGAGACTCAGAAATCAAGTTAGGTTGTAGCAAGACTAGGAGAGCCTATTCATTTCTTAGGCATATTGTAGGAAGGAGCAGCATCATAACTTGACGATTCCAGTCCATGCTTGCACCAAACCGCATTTCATTGCAGTCCCTAGAAACGAGAGAAGGGCAACCTGCAATCGTCAGTAGAGGTACCTCGGCTTCCACATACAATGTTAAGAGTTGAATACTCACCACTTTCCGCGCAGGGTAATAACAGCCCAATTATTCCCATCCGCATCAGTCTCCTTCTCCACCTTGGTCGAGAAAGATATAGCACTCATAATGCCATCCCCAAACTTCTCATTCAGCACCGCCTTGTACGCATACCCATAGTTCTGCACAATCTCATACAACCGATAGATCAGTGGCTCCTTGGGTGGCATCTCGACCGACTTGCCACGATCGGGGAAGCCACTGAGCTGCCCTTCCAAGTGAGCATGGTCGATGCTCAGCAGTTCGGATAGTTTCTGGATATCCTCCGGGGAAGCTTTAGCTTGGCCGTAGAAGATAGCGGCCACGGCTACTTCATTGCGGCCGATGTGCTGGGCAATCTGCTCGAAGCTGAGCTTTTTATTGGCTTTTGCTGTGAAAAGGGTAGCTGAAGAGGAGGGGAGATTGGGGTGTTGGGAGGTCTGGAATGTTTATTAGTATAGAAGTTGGTGATGTTGATAGTAACCTTAGGGCTGGCATACGTCGAGAGTGGCGAGAGACATGATGGTTGGTTGTTTGAGAGATCAGGAATAGTTCAAAATTGGAATGAAGTCAGAGAATATATGAAAAGTGGCGAAATGAGGGGGATCATTGTTTGACCCTGTTATCAATGATGATCGGGGTATGATGGTTGTCACTGACATGCGGGGCAGATAAGGACTTTTGATGCTGCGATGACGTGTGTGGGGAATTCTCCGCGGAGGACAGAGGACTCTCTCAGAAGGGTTCTTATCAACAGTAAAGGATGTAGGACATTATTCTATCGCGATCAAAAAAATAGTAAACTTAAATCTCGGATCTGATCTGAATAATACTTGGTCCCATAGAAGCCCGAGAGATAGAAACGCGATGATGAATCTCTATGAGGTTACCAAGGTCCCCCCCCCCCCCCCCCCCCGCGCCGGACGGTACGAAATCATCGAAGACATGGAAGATGTATACTGTGATTCCCTCCCATCAGAAAGATCACCTTCTTGTTTTCTCTTTCCAAACGACCAGCTATACAACAACAGTTGTTGATTGTGGGTATATGTTAGAGTCGTGGCTGGTCGAAACGTTACGTGTGCTACTCTCAGCCATGTCAGAACATAGCATTATTCTGACCTAATAATGTTATGTTCTGAGAGATTGGGTCTTTTGGCCTGTTTGGCTACCGGGTCTGGGCTCATGTCGTAAGTAATAGTACCACCCTAAGTTACTTCAAGGTGCTTATATAACGCTCGCCTCGGCTGGTTAAACAAACACGACTCGTAGGGCTGAGAAGCGGACGCAAATACACACTGGCTAGAAGGATAGCATGAAGGTCGCATGACGTGCTCTACAAAGGACTTAGGCATTATCTAGGATGCATGAAGCCTTCGCGATGATCTGCCGAATATACCTTTTTCTTTGAGTTTCATCTACTGGCAGGACCTATTTTCGTTCTCGGCCGTACTGATCCGTTAGGCGATCCGCGGCCACGTTGCATCCCACGGTCCGTGGTCCATGGCCCACGGCCCCACTCTGCACGAGCAACGGAAGTCCCAAGGACAAAGACGAAGAAATACAGTAAACAGCCCATCACAACCTCCTAGACACAGACAATCCCTCAGTTGGTGTCTATCATACACTACACTTTTCAAGCCTTGTACCTGTCAGCTAGGTCAGCTCAGCTCAGCTCAGCCCAACTCCACAAGAACCAGATGCCCAGGATCGCGGAGCCTCGCGACTGGTCCAGCACAGCCACGGCTCCCGTCCCCCCATCGTGGCTTGGCAGCGGGGCATTTAGAGCGGTTTAAAACAAACCCCCCGCCCCAGGCATCTTATTTCTCCGCTGATTTTCTTTGCATTTTGTTTATTCCTTCCTTACACTTATCTGTCACCATGTCGCAGAATAATGACTTGGCCTATGGCCGCTACTACGAATCGGACCGCGGGTCGGGCGAGGGCTCTAGAGGTCTAAGCGACACCTTCAAGAAGCTCAAGGATACCTACAAGACTCACTCCAAGCCGTCCGGTCAGGGATATGGCCAGGGTGGTGCCCAGGGGGTAAGTGTCATGGTCCCAATTGTTTCCTAGACTTTGTCTAACGTATGCAGTCGTCGCAACAGAATTATCAGGACCAGAGTCAAGGCCCATACGGGTACAGCCACGGTCCACAAGGCCAGCAAGGCCAACAGGGCCAGCAAGGCCAACAGGGTCAGCAACAGCAGTATTACTCGGGCCAGACCCCGCAGGACCAGAATCACCCACAGAAAGAAGATAAAATCCAAGGATTACTGGGCAAGATCCAAGGTACCGTGACCGATCTTGGTTCCGGTTTGGCTACCAAACTCGGAACCGCCATCGATCCACAGGCCTACGCCGCGTATGGAGCGACCAAGCCCAGCTCAGAGCACCGTTTTGGCAGCTTCGCTCCTCCCCGTGAACACAATGATGTGAAGCCATACGTCGATGGTTGCTCCTATTTCTGGGCAGTGTCAGTGGCGCTGGAGAATGCGCGCGAGTCGATCTGGATTCTTGACTGTAAGTTCGGATCTTTCGGGGACATGCATTGGAACAGTATGCTAATTTGTTCATTAGGGTGGCTATCTCCCGAACTCTACCTGAGAAGGCCTCCCGCTGAGAATGAAAAATACCGACTGGACCGAATGCTCAAGGATGCTGCAGTTCGTGGCGTGCGCGTGAATATTATTGTTTACAAGGAAGTCACCCAGGCTTTGACGCTGTCCTCCGCCCACACCAAGCATGCCCTGGAAGGCCTCCACCCCAATATTGCTGTCTTCCGCCACCCTGATCATCTGCCTGATCGCCAGGCATTGGTATCCGATATCGCGCACTCGTTCGAGAACCTTTCGCTCACCTCCACCAGCCTCTCGAAAATGTCCAAGGACACCTTGAAAGGCCTGTATGGCACGACCGACGATGTCATTCTATACTGGGCTCACCACGAGAAATTGTGTCTCATTGACGGCCAAATCGCTTTCATGGGCGGCTTGGATCTGTGCTTCGGCCGATGGGACACTCATCAGCACGCAATTTCCGATGTGCACCCGTCGAACATCAACGAAACCGTCTTCCCGGGACAGGACTACAACAACTCCCGTGTCCTCGACTTCCACAATGTCTCGGAGTGGGAGCAAAACCAGCTCGATCGACTGACCACATCTCGCATGGGATGGTCGGACATTTCGATCGGCCTGCGAGGCCCGGTTGTCGAGGACCTTCGACGCCACTTCGTGGAGCGCTGGAACTTTATCTACGATTCGAAGTACCAGGTTCGTCAGAATACTAGGTATACACGACTTGCACTCTTTGGACAACCTACTTCATCTTCTGGACCGCAACCCGGTGCTGCACAGCAGCCGGGACAAAACCAGTCCGGAGCACCCAATCAGTCACAGCCCCAGCCCCAGCAGCAGCAGGCATCGACTCCCCCTGTGGCAGACTCAGCAGTCTAGTACCACAAGCCAGCAACAACAAGGGTCAACTCCTCAATGGCAAGCCTCGCAATCCACAGGAACGCCGAGCTACCCGCCGCCTCCTACCCAGACATCTTCGAGCCCCCAGCCGCAACAATATCAGCAGCAGCAGTACAATACCTCTTCATCTTATCAGTCTAGTAACACGCCCAGCTACCCTCCCCCACCCGGGCAACACTCGTCCGATCAGAGTCACCAGCAACAGCCGCAAATCCCTGCTCCATCCTCGCAAGCATACCACTCTGATAACACTCAAAGCTACCAATCTGGCCCAAGCCCATCATCAACCCCCAATCAGCCATCCCCAAGCCAAGGATCCCACCAGTACAGCTACACGGGTGATTCATTCCCTCCACCACCCCCAGGACCGCCACCAAGCCAGTCTCCTGCAAGTCAGACATATCAACATCAGCAGCAACAGACCCAAGCACCCTCCTACCCTCCACCGCCAACCCAAAGTCCCAGCGGCTCGACCCAGCAGAGCCAGCAACAGGGCCAGACTCCCTACTACCCACCTCCACCTGGCCAGGAAACTTCCCATTCCGGCACACGTGGAATTGACGACTACAACTATGGAGGTGACCAGAGTCGGGGCTTCGCGCCGAAGGGCTTCATTGATAATATCACACAGATTCGTGGCCAGCTCGCCGGCCAGATCCACCAGTACCAGGATCGGCTTACCACGTACGGTCGCCCACAGTCGCAGGGTCGTGGCAACATGTCTTGCCAGATTGTCCGCAGCTGTGCCAAATGGAGTAACGGCAGCCCGGTCGAGCACTCAATTGCTGATGCGTATGCTGCCATTATCAAAAACAGCCAGCATTTCGTGTATATTGAGAATCAGTTCTTCATCACGGCCACTGGGGACTCGCAGCACCCCGTGAAAAACCAGATCGGTGCTGCCATTGTTGAGCGTATTCTGCGCGCCGCTCGTGCTGGCCAGAAGTACAAGATCATCGTGGTGATGCCTTCGGTACCCTCCTTTGCGGGTGACCTCCATGATGACGAAACCTTGGGTACTCGTGCTATCATGGAGTTCCAGTATAACTCAATCAACCGTGGCGGAAACAGCATTATGGAAATGATCGCCAAGGAAGGGTTCAATCCAATGGAATACATTCGTTTCTACAACCTGCGAAATTATGATCGGATCAACAACGCTGGACTTCTTTCTGCTGTGGAGCGGGAGAGCGGCGTTCCCTACGAGGACGCTCGCAAGCAGTACGATCAGCAGACAGCCGGTGCTGCTGGCTATCCTGCGCCTCCCCCTGGACCTGATGCTACACGCAGCGCATTCGATACGTCTGCTCCGTTCCAGCAGTACCAGCAAGCAGCCCAGAATCACAATCAGGGTGGCAAGCCTGCTGGATCTGGCCAATGGGACAGTGTTAGCTCGTGCTACATGCTGGGCGGGCAGGATATTCGCAATGTGCCGTGGGATGGACACCCCGACGCCGAAATCGACGCTTTCGTGAGCGAGGAACTCTATATTCACTCCAAGGTAAGTTACAAGCCGCCCTAGATACAATCCAGATGATGCCTTCTAACAATGAATAGGTGATGATCGCCGACGACCGCGTGGTGATCTGCGGCTCCGCCAACCTCAACGACCGCTCCCAGCTTGGCTACCACGACTCCGAGATAGCTGTCATCATCGAGGACTTTACTCCCCTTCAGTCTAACATGAACGGCCAACCCTGGATGGCCAGCCGCTTTGCCGCATCCCTGCGCCGCGAACTATTCCGCAAGCACCTGGGTCTGCTTCCTCCCCAGGACTATAAGCGTCCCAACGCCAGCTTCGAACCTCCCGGTGTCCCCGATAACTTCGACCTCGAATGCCCCGAAAGCAAGGTCGTCGCCGATCCACTCGCGGACACCCTCCAAAGCCTGTGGAACTCGCGTGCACACACCAACACTGAGGTCTTCCGCAAGGTCTTCCACGCTGTTCCCGACGATGTCGTGCGTAACTGGGCTACTTACAAGGAGTTCTACGAGTACTACTTCCACAAGGCGGATAAGGAGGCCGAGAATAAGGATGGTTCCAGCCGGCCTCCACGATTCCAGTGGGGTCACGTTGTGCGTGATGACTTCGCACCTGGTGCGGAGGGCGCGAAGCAGGTTAAGGAATTGTTGAGCCAGGTTAAGGGTACATTGGTGGAAATGCCATTGATGTTTTTGATTGAGGAGGATATTGCGAAGGAAGGTATTACGTTGAATGAATTCACGCAGCCGATTTATACTTAGGTGGGTCGGGATTTGACTGTCTGCCCGAAGGATGGAATGAGATGAACTTTGCATTTTGCGAATGTTTTATTAAGACTGGATTCTTTCTGGCTTGCTTCTTTCTGTACATGAGAGTGCCAATATCAAAGTATATTTTCCAAGTGATGGAAGGACTAGCCATGCTTCCAATATCTCGTAGTTGCCGTATTCATCGAACGGGTTTTGGAGTGGGCTTGCTGGAAGCCTTTCACCAACATCCTACCTAATTCGTTTCGGAGAGCACTTTCCATTCCGCGAATTCAAAGACCGCAGGCTCAAAGCATGGTTTACCGTAAGCACCTTGTGCATAAATTGCGAAATGAGAACCAGTGTTGGGTGATTCCTTTCCTGATCGGCGATGCGTCAATGCCTTGCTGGGAATTTCGCCCAATTTGACCGGATCGGAAGCAGTAGAATGACTGTCATTTTGGATGGAGAAGAAGAGCTCGTATCTTGTAGGGTAGGCACGAATGATGAGTTCAACGTCACGACACTCGAGAGGTAATTCATGCGTGAATTCCTAGTTGATTTAGTTAGCACGTTGGTAAACATGCACTACAATTCCGAGTCCGAAGAACAAACCTTGAACTGATCCTCCACTTCATTGTAACAACGTGATACTATCTCTAGCCCTGACTTGCTCTCGTCAAATGGCTTTCGAAGTCCAATGGAAGCATAGGCAAATTGCGACCACCAAATAGCCGTTCCCGCTTCGTGGCCAGCCTCCTTGGGTGCAAAACTAAACTTAACTCTCCAGTCACCGGAGAACCCAGTCTGCTTCCGCAGCAGCATAGATGGACATTCGAAATCATCAATGCGATATGCGTTTCCATAGAGGCTCAGCGATCCTGGCTGCTCTGATAAAGAGTAATCTTTCTTCAAGGGGGTTCGCAGATGATACCAGCCAAGCTGGAGCGTTGAATCCTGAAACTCGTCCCTCCATACCTGCGGCTTCGAGAGAAGCTCCATGCCCCTCGCCTGCATTTGGATGCTAATGGGCTTGCGCCGTTGACAATTGGCCAGCCGTCAATCCATTCAACGTGACTCATGAAGGTCTCGCGACCGAGTTGTGAAAGCAGTTCAGACTTTTCACCCTGGGGCCGGACTCCCAAAAACACAGCGACCCAATCCCCGTTTGCAGTTTCGATGAAATCCAAATGTCCCGTGTTTCGGATCGAAGGATCATTGTCATTGAAGATCACCGGATTCACAGTGCCCTTAGGACCTTCCTCCCAAGGGCCAAAGGGTCCTGCGGTACTGCGGAAAATCCATTGTTGGTGACCTTCATCAGTGCCGCCCTCGGCTGTACTGAGATAGTAGAAGCCATCCTTTTTGAAGATGTGAGGTCCCTCGGCAATTCCAAGACCGAAATCCGACAAGCGGTTCCATTTAGCTGGTCCAAGGCACCGACCGGTGACGAGATCAATTTCCGCGGTGAAAGTTGCGAGCCCAAGGCCGTGCTTTTTTATTCTCGGCTCGGTGATCAGGTTGACGGCAGAAAAGTACACCTTGCCATCGTCATCAAAGAAAAGCTTTTTAATCATTAGAATGCCACTTGGTTTCCCGTAGACTAACTACTTACATCTTGGTCAATTCCAGGGACGTCGAAAAATGTTGGGTCAGACCAGGAAGACGAGTCCCAGATATTTGTGGTGGACACGTAGAATCCCCGAGGGATGACAATATCCTGCGAAATTGTTAGCAATGTTCTCTATCAAGCTCGAGGATGAGCGGAGGGTAACTAACCCATTCCTTCGGGCGGAATCGATGCGTGCATCCTACGGAGACATAGAATCGCCCGTCATGGTAACGAATAGTAGGCGCCCATAGTCCGCCAGAGGGCTCAGTCGTCCGCATATTGATTTGCGAATGTCTCGTAATGACATGACCAATGAGCGTCCATCGTAGGAGATCTTTGCTGTGGTACACCGAAATACCAGGATAGTACTCAAATGTAGAAGTCACCAAGAAGTAATCGCCATTCACCCGACAGATTGAAGGATCTGGGTTGAAGCCGGGAATGATGGGATTGTTGAAGGCCCCGCCGGAAGACATGATGAGGCCGCGAGCTGTGCAAGTCGCAAGGCCAGCGCCCGTAATCTTTCCCTTTGCACGCTTGTGTGAAGATCGAGATTGGATTAATCCTCCAGAAGTTGTGAATCGTTAATAGAAGTTCTTGTAGGTACTTTCAATCCGTGTCAATTTGAAGCAACGATTGGTGGGGCAAAATGGGAAGATGAAGTGGAGTGGGTTTGCATGTGGAGGTGGAGGTGGAGGTGGACGGGCTCGGCTTGGTAAACAGCGGATTTGCCGAACCAAGTCTACTCCCATCCGTGGACGTCCTAATCAATTGACTCAGTAAGAAGCCGCTCGAGAATCTCTCCAAAAGAAATTGCCAGTCGAACACATCTGACAGCACGTAGACCATCGCGCGCGCCTGCAACTTGGTCGAGGAGCAAGTTTGCTGCTTGCGGGGATTCTTCGGCACTCAACTGAGTGTGACTGTCCACACCGTCCAGTCCTGCTCGAGGGAGCTCTGAAGTTCTAGAAGCGTTCAGGTGGGCGGCAATCGAATCGTTACTTCCGAATCGAGATATAGCCCAGCTGGTGAGACCACCCATAAACAAAGAGATCGCTAATTCGAACCCACTCCGCTGCATATCACCAGCTGCAATTGCTTCGTGCGCTGCATTCAACATTTGACTGTTGCAGGCAAATATTTTTTGAGCTCTCTCCCCCTGGAGCCAATTGCGCAATGATTGCACAGCCAGACCAATATCGGCATCTGAGCCAGATCTACCAGCGACAATATGCAGGTCTGAAAAATTCAGATGAAGGGCCAAATTCGCCAGATGATAGAGAAGAATTCCCGGCGAATTTTTTGAGCTGAGATCGGTCTCATCAGCTGGTCCGCCATCTCCATAGAAAGTGGCCCAATTTCTTAGACAGGCCTGCAGCCAGTTTCGACGCTCCTGTAGTGAAGCCCCGATATTCTCTGGTGCGAATGAGATAGGGGACGTAATTAGTCCTGTTGGATTAAGCATGCAGATGGTCTGCCGCCACTCGAAGACATGTGTATGCAGGACGTAGGCATAGAGAGTCTTACAAAAGTCGTCCAATGCTGGGAATGGTAAGACTCCCGGAATCTCATTGTGTAAGAGAATTGTCGTCAATGTTGTTAGGAAAAACGTGCTTGGCGGGATCTCGGCTGGTCCAAGTACAGCTTTCCAGGCCCAGGCAGTTGGTGCGTTCCAAAATATTTCCGAACATGGCAATGCGGCATTCACAGTCTCAGCCTTGCTAATGTATGGCTGACGTTGAAAAACAGCTGCCATTTGACAGTCCAGCAGCTAGCAAAAAAGTCAATCAGACAGTGGCTATAATTATAGGCTTCAGCCTAGACATGAGACTTACATATATGCACAGCCCTAGACGTTTCTTTTGCTCAATTATGATCCATTTTGTCCATGCCTCATCAAATCGATTCCGATTTTGCCTCGATGATGGTTGAGTGGAGAGGGTTGGTTTCATTCGGCAATCCAATAGCTGGCCTCGTCGGCAGTAAACAGCCAACTCGCCACGATCACACTCAGCACGCTCATATGCTGCCTTTTGCCCCACCCACATCGCAGACAAAGAGACTAAAAAGAATGCCAGAAGGTTCTCAGCCGAACACAACTGTAAAGGAATAATGTTAGCTTCGATCACAACTGTACTGTAGAATAATTTCATTTCACATAGTTCTGATCCCTTTCCTGCATCAACTTGATTGACATTCTGGCTCTTCGAGGTATGTCAGTGTGAACCTTCCTTGATTTGAGTCCGAGAAGCTGGACCCCATGATCGCCATGGCAAGCAATAGGTTCGGTGAAGAATTGTTGGGGTTGAATGTAGGGATGTGCAGCACAGGAAATCGAGGTTGGACGTGAACGAAAAATAGCCGAAGGAAGTAGGAAACTATGGGTAAGGGGGGGAATGACTGAGCACATTTCCCCTTCTCGCTGCAGAAGCCCTCGAGAAGAAGCGCGGTAACGGTATCCACCATCGCCGTATGACTTTCTTTCGAGAGCGGAATACTCATATCCAGTCGCCCTGATTTTCCAATGACTGGGTTGTCGATTTCATCAATATCAACATAAGCGGCTGCTCTTGAAGTTTCGCATGGCTTTATTCGGGCCTGCCATTCCTGAGGTCCATCACTTTGTAAATCATTAGAGGCAGTGTTAAAGTGATCCTCATGTCGACCATGGCTGAGATCTGGGTGTTCCAGCTGTATCGAAGCGCTCAGTTCCTCGTGGTCATGCATGAAGTCCAAAGGACTATGCGTAGATGCGTTGTTGGATAAGAAATCCAAAGTCCACCCAAGGTTGACATCCGGTAGACCTTCGCCGTAGAAGGGCCATTGCAAGTCCCAATCTAGTAATTGAGTGTGGTTGGATGGAAGGAGAGGACGACAAGGTTCACTATGTGACATGTCCACGGGGGTTAAAACTGGGCGATGGCACTTTTCTTGTGAGTTCGACGGAGAATTCATCATCATGGTGGGTGTCTCCGCCCTTCGACCTCTTTGTTCGGTGGTTTCATTATTCGAAGTTTGTCCACGGGAATAGCCCTCTGAGACATTTTCTCCCTGGTTCGAGTCATGGGAGTCTCTTTCTAGGCCACTTTCAGAGACAGTTGCGCTGTTTTCATGAACCTTTCTATGTCTAGACAAAAGATCGCTAATGCGTGGGAGTTGTCAGAGGCCTGCGGCGACCCAAAAAAAAAAAAGTGTCAAGCCTCACCTTCTTGTAAATCGACTAGGACACTGTGAACAGGCATAGTGTTTGCTATTTCTATCGTCTGTTGTATCACACCAGTAAGCATATCTGTTGCAATATGGGCCTAAAATCCTTTGATCAGGCGAAAGTGGATCTTACGTGCTGATCGCTGATGTCTGACAAGATTCTCTCGGCGAGAATAGGACTTGGGGCACTGCGTGCATCTGTGCACTGTTGGAGTTGAGTGCCTCTCCATGTGATCAGAGCAATCAGCAAACTCAAGTGGAGCGCGAACTGTTCCAGCTAAGCAAGGATGGCGAGTAGTGGAGGTTGAGGACTGGTGAGAAATGGGTGGAGGTGGAGGTGGAGGTGGTGGTGGACTGCACATGCTCAGGCTTGGCCCCATAGTAGAGCTAATGACTGGAATATTTACAAAAAAAGGAACCAGCCAATTCCAGACGTTTTGACTTTCTCAATCCCATTCAAACTTCTACTTCTGTGTTATTGCGTTTGGATTTTTGTTAATTATCACTTTTTGAGCTTGTGCGCGAGGCTTCTTGGATATGCCAGACATTCAAGCTTTAGCCTCTGCCAATGGCTCGACTTCGGGGTGTCACTACAGGGATCAGTTGTCCTTTTTGTCTTTAGAGGAAAAGGTTTCTCTGCTTTCCGGTGTTAGCTTTACAAGCACTGCCGGTATAGACAGGCTTGGTATACCTTCCTTGAAGGTTAGTACGCGAACGCACCGTTCTGCGATGTATTAAGCTAAATATATCGATGCATAAAACAGGTCAGCGATTCAATTAACGGTGTTCGCGGTTCCCAATCGCACCTGGAAGACACCGGGACAGCCTGCTTCCCAAGCTCGACCTGCCTTGCTTCAACATGGAACACGAGTCTGATGAAAGAATTTGGTGAAGAGGTTGCATTACAAGCCAAATCGAAATCGGTGCAAGTTGTTCTTGGGCCAAACATCAATATTCATCGGGATCCACGAGCAGGCCGCAATTTCGAAGCATTCAGTGAAGACCCTCTTGTCACCGGGGAGCTGGCTGCTGCTATTGTTAACGGAATTCAATCGCAAGGTGTGGGTGCCTGCGTGAAACATTTCGTCGCCAACGAAAGCGAGACCGTCCGCAGACGCTACAATGTCGACGAGTCAGGTGACGGTAGAACAATGCGGGAGTTATACTTGCGCACATTTCAGCACTTGTTGCGGCGAGCCAACCCAGTTTCAATCATGACAGCGTGAGTGCTATTTAATCATCTTTGAAGGTGACATAAAAATGTTCTGACACTCATTTCATCAGCTACAATGCGCTTGACGGCCAGTTCTGTAGCCAGAATCCGCTGCTCAAATCATTACTTCGTAATGATTGGAAATACGATGGCTGTCTTATGTCTGATTGGTATGGGACCAAAAGTACAATTGAGGCCTTAGAGGCAGGGCTTGACCTGGAGATGCCCGGACCATCTGTCCACCGGGGCTCGAAGCTAGTGCAGGCGATCAGACGCAAAGAAATACCCGAGGAAGCACTCAATACCGCAGTGGCGAATGTTTTAACAATGATCGATCGCACCGCTGTTAGTCACAGTGATAAGGACGAAGAGTCCTTGATTTGCCATTCAACCAGCGCCATGGCATTGAGAACGGCATCAGAGGGAATCATACTTGTGAAGAACGAGAACAATGTTCTCCCACTTGACATGTCAGGCAATCTGAAAGTGGCTCTTATTGGAGCTGCCGCTGTCAATCCATCTATCACTGGCGGGGGCAGTGCATGTGCCAGGCCTCAATACATTCACACCCCCTTGAGCTGTTTCCAAAATGCCAGTGAGAAGCTCGAGCAGGTTTCCTTTGTCCATGGTGTGAACTCTCATCACATCATACCTCTGATGCCGACCAACATGATGCAATCTCGAAATGGGCACTTCGGTGTAACTGTGGATTATTTCCTGGATGGTTCTGACACGCCCGTTTACTCTGAGGAGTCTGAGCAGCCTGTCGTGGTGATGCTTGGGAAGTTGAAGCCAGGCCTGACTCAAACTGGATTCTATTTTATCATGGAGACCACTGTTACAGCAGATCGAAGTGGTAATCACACATTGGCTGTACAAGCTACAGGAGATTTCACGTTATGTGTGGATGGAATGGAGGTATGTTTCCCAGTATTACATTGCTTGTCTCATATTATATTCGATTGCTCATCAGTCCTATGACAGGTACTTTCAAAGTCTGCCCCTGTCATGACAGTCGCAGATTTCTTATTTGAGCCCAAGAAATTGGAAATTGAGATTGACTTCCGAATGGAAGCTCATAGGCCTTACAAAATCACCTTGCGAACTCATTCTCGTGACATTGCTTCGGCCGACGGCGAAATTTCTCCTCATTCGGCGAAATTATGTTTTATGGAAGAGCATGACAATCGAGTTGCCATCGCCGAGGCAGCCACGGTTGCTGCTCACTCCGATATCAGCGTGATTTTCGGGGGTCGCACACACGATCACGAATCTGAAGGGTTCGATCTTCAGACCCTGAAACTGCCCCGCAGTCAAGTCCGTATGATCAAAGCAGTTGCAAGTGTATCGAAGCAAACAATCCTTATCCTGCACTGTGGGAATCCCATTGATGTCTCTGAGTTTGTTGACGATGTCGATGGGGTCATCCTGGCCCATTTCCCAGGACAAGAAGGCGCACAAGCCATCGTCGACATCATCACCGGAAAGACAAACCCTAGTGGAAAATTAGCTACCACATGGCCTATGCGGCTAGATAAAAGCTCTGTACCGACATTTGGAAACTTCCCAGCCAAAGATGTCGGAAATGGACCGGTCATTCGATACCGTGAGGGTCTGCAAATGGGCTATAGATCTCCTGACACCGCATCCTTCGTTCGCTGGCCTTTTGGATATGGCTTGTCCTACTCCACGTTCGAGTATAAAAACTTGGAGGTCATTTCTCACGATCCCATGAACGGTCACGCGTGGCTTAAAACCCACAGCCAGATAGTTCATATTACGGTGGATGTTCAGAATACAAGCGACAGGGCTGGGTACGAGGTTATTCAAGTTTATAGCCAGCCTCCAAGCCATCCCATGATCTGGAGACCTCGGTCTGAGCTGATCGCATTTACCAAAGCATGGCTTAGGCCAAATGAGACGAAGCGAGTCGGCCTCTCGGTCTCCCAGCAGGATATAAGTGGGTATTGGGATAGTGTGGCTAAATGCTGGCGGTCTCTCAACGGAAATTACAAGATTTCCACGGGTGGCTGTGCAGCATACCTGCAAATAGAGAACATGGGAACATGGAATGGCCTTTAAAATCAACGTGCAATACATAAACCCATCAATAGACAGAATTTTGGTGTTTTTAAAGCTCGGGTTTACATCGGAGAAAGCAGATCACGGTTGTAGTACGTTGAGTTTTTTTTGCTTCAAAAGTATGTGTCGAGTCATATAGCGCAATTTCCAGTGATTGTGTTGAAAGAAATCATTTGGAAAGCAGTTGTAAACTACTGTTAAGAAAGACAGAAGATTGAAACGTAGAGGGCAAGAAGTTTGGTATGGTTCGGTTTACAATTCCAGGCTGCCGAGGGACCTGATCAGATCGACTCAGTCCACCTCCACCTCCACCTCCACCTCCACCTGCCACTTCCACCCTCCACTTTTGTGGTGTTCGCCGAAATCTGTCACAGGAGAACCCCGTACTTCGGCTTGTCTAATTTCCCCAGCTTCTCCAAGCTCGTTGTGTCTGAAAATGTGGGGAGCGATTTTTTTCATATATATGTGAGCTTCGAGTCGGCATTCTTCATCTTTCAAGGCTCACAACAGTATCTTCAATTGGGTCCAATTTGGCTCCACATCAATTTTCGCGTTGTGGCGGTCATATTTTTACAGCCTTGTTGCAATGACTTCTACGTATCGCAGCCCATCTATCAAGTCGAGTCCTCTTCAGGATGAAATGAAGGAGAACGCCGCAGCAGAGATGGTTGAGACAGTATCTCGGACCCAGGGAAGTGCCGAGGAAGGCGCTTGGGCTTCTGCGAAGAAGAACCCTAAAGTGATTCTCTACAGTGTGGCTGCTTGTGTGAGCTCAATGCTTTGGGGTTTCGACATTGGTAAGAATCTATACTTTCACTGAATCCTCGGTTCAGTCACTGACTGCTCTTTCGCTACCTCTAGGCGTCAACTCCATAAGTGTGGCATTGCCTGCTTTTAAGATGATCTTTGGGTATGAATATGAGGGCGAGCTCTTGATCTCGGCCACGTGGAACGCCCTATGGACAGCCATGACATCGCTTGGAATGTTGATCGGTGAGCTGCTACCACATTCTTAAATGATACGCAGGGGCTCTAACCATCTGGCCCTCTAGGAAGTATCATTTGTGGTTGGGTGTCCGATCGCGGTGGTCGACGACTTGGATTTGGAATTGGCTCCGCTGTTTCTTTGCTTGGAGTAGGCCTCGAATATGCTGCCAGTGAGCCTGGTATGCTCCTTGCTGGTAAAATTGTGAGTCTTGACTTCATCCTCACTCATTGGCGTAAGCTTCTGAAATTCATACCCTACCACTAGATCAACGGTCTGTCCCTAGGTTTCTTCCTGACACTAGGCTCCACATACGCCTCCGAGATTGCACCAACTGCCTTACGTCCTTCTTTAACCGCCGCTGTCAACCTGTTCATCAATGCCGGTCAGCTGATGGCCATTGGTATTGGTAACACTCGCTTCGCTATAATGGTCCCTGCATCATACAAAGTCATCTTTGCGGCTCAATGGGCATTCCCTTGCTTTATCGCATTGCTGGCAATGTTAATGCCTGAAAGTCCCTGGTATCTTCTACGTAAGGGCCATGTCGAGCAGGCAAGGAAGAGCCTGCGGAGACTCCATCTGGAGGCAACTGACACAACGTTGATTCTGGAAGAGATTCAATCTTCAATTGCGGCTGAAAATGCGATTGCAGAAATTCAAAAGGATACGTCGTACTGGGACTGTTTCCGTGGCACTAATTGGCGCAGAACCCGCATTTCGTGCGGAATGTTTGCAGTGCAGCAATTCACCGGTATCGCATTCTATTCACAGGCCTTGTACTTCCTCGGTATCTCTGGTCTACCCACCGCTCTTACTTTCCAGCTCGCGCTCGGAGGCTTCGGTGTAGCCATGCTTGGAAACATCATCTCATGGTTCATCATGAATTATGTTGGTAAGTTACCCTCTTTCCCACCGGCTCACTGGATTCCAAATCTCAAATCTTCCTACAGGCCGAAGACCTCTCCTTTTGACTGGTATTTTACTTAATGGTATCTGTCTGATGTCTGTCGGTGTTGCCGGATGCTTCAAATCCATGGCTGCGCTATACTATATTGGATATGTGATGAACTTCGCCCAGCTCTTCTATGCTCCCACCGTTGGAGCTGTGAGTTGGACTATCAGCGCGGAAGTGGGTTCAGTCAAGCTTCGAGCCAAAACGCAAAGTTTGGCGATTGGAACCAACGCATTCGTTAGCTGGGCAATGAACTTCATTGCACCTTACCTTATCAACACTGATGAGGGTGAGTCTTTCATACAGCAATTTTCTAACACTTCGCATGCTGATAAAACCTACCTCTAGCCAATCTGGGAGGCAAGGCTGCATTTGTATGGATGGGCCTCTCCTTTGTTAGTCTTGCTTGGGCTTGGTTTGAGGTTCCTGAGCTCAAAGGTCGTTCTTTTGCTGAACTGGACGAGATTTTTGCTCGAATGACACCCACACGAAAGTTCCAGAAAGCATTGGTCGACTTCAGTTTGGGCTCTAAAGATGCTTCATCTTAGTCAGGCAGAGTCATTTGTTATCTTAGCGCTAATGTGAAAAGAAGAGCCAATTCAACACAAGACTTGAATAGTAAGGCCCGTGTTCGACACTGGATTCGATACTGCTTGGATAACCTGTTACCGAAACTTGGGCGCCTAGTTCCTCAGGCTGCGAATTAGTCTTGTATATTCTGGCCCCCACATTTCGGAATATCCGTAGGTCCGCTTTGCGGGGCTGTTCAGCTTCAGCTCACAGCCAACACCTCAATCAACATTAGTTGTAATTAATTCACGACGGTCTCGCTATGGCGCGAGTCTCAGATCTCATCCGAGACTCGAGGCTAGAGACATTTTTCCTTCCCGACTGTAGTGTGGAAACCGTCCATACTTCCCGAGAATCAGACATCACTTCACGCAGGCGTGTTGTTGCTAGATCAGAACACTGGAAACGACTTTCTAAAATTGGAGGTGGCGCATATGGAAGTGTTTGGTTGGAGAAATGTATCAAAGACAGTCATCAGCGCAACATACACGCTCTAAGAGCCGTGAAGCAGATTGACCTCGACTCGCGACTTGGCCCTATCGACTATAACCGCGAGTTGGAAGCTATCGCCAAGTTCTCGCACGCTCGGGTATGTGTGGAGGAAAAGGTTCATCATGATATGAAACAACTTTGCTAACTATTTAAGTATGTGCGATGCTTTGTTCGGTCATTTGGGTGGTACGAAGGCCCAGATCAACTGTTCATAGCAATGGAATATCTCGAATTGGGTGATCTGTATCAACACTTGTACGACAAACCACCCCTTCCAGAACGTGAGGCAAAGGAGATTGCCTTTCAAATATTGGAAGGTCTGGATATGATGCATGAAAACGACTTTGCTCACCGAGATCTAAAGCCGAGAGTAAGTCAGAGAGTTTCAAGAAGCCACTTCGAGGTCCTTTTCTGATAGCGTTCCTCAGAACATTCTTATCAAGGCGCGGCCTCCGGATGACTGGTGGATTAAGATCGCGGATTTTGGTATCAGCAAGCGCATTGAGGACGGCCACGGCCAAACCTCCATTCTAAGGGGTACCCCTGGATATGTTGCCCCCGAGCTTTGGGGGTTCATAGAGCGAGGCAGTGTATATATGACTGACATCTGGGCTACCGGAGAGATTGTTTTTGAGATACTTGTCAAAAAGCAGCCATTTGCACACCTAGGGCTGCTTTCGTCATATGCAAACCAGGGAACATTTCCATCAGGGCTGCTTGTCAATGCTGGTGTCAGTCGCGATGGCATCGATTTCGTTTCTTTACTGATGAAGGCTCACCCCAAAGACCGCTGCACGGCTAAGGCGGCTCTATCTCACAAGTGGCTAGCAACAATAGCAATCCCAGCTTCAGAGGGCCCTGATTCCGAAGCGTACAGTCCAGGAGAGACCAGTGACTTAAGTCCGATACCCGAATCAAAGTCATTTACGGTAGAATTGATGACCCAAGAGTTCGCTTCATGGGACACGGAAGAGCTTTCACAAAAGACGATTCAACCTCGCAAATCAGATCCTCATATAACAGCGTTTTTGAATTACGAGCAGTCCACATCAAGCAGCACTGATTTGAGCCCCCATAAAGGAGATAATGCCACCATGACCCCCTCGAGTTACAGTCCGACTGCCTCCAAAAGTAGCAATGCTTTTGATGAGCCTCAGAGCGCTACGGACCAGGCCGTTACTGACCCCAACAACCGCGCCATCTCTAGGAAGCCTGTTGCCGCGAATAACAACCCAACACGATCACCAAACTTCTCTACGTTCGACGATATCATCCCCAACGGTGAACTCAATTATTCACCCGGAAGTGCCAACTTCGAGGACCGCAGAAATCCTACATCGCCACCATCGAAGACAAGCCTATCTTTATGGTGGTGGAAAAAATTCCGAGCGGGTGCCCAGAGAGTCGAACCCAAAGGTACTTCCATCCCTAATCCATATCCGGATAGAAGCTAGATCTGAAGGCAGCCTGTTGAAGGCTTGGCCCTACTTCACTATTTGTCCAGGCTGACCCATTATCGCAGACGAAGGACCTCATGGTGTTTTTGGTGTGCCGTTAGATGCTAGCATTAAATACGCAAATGTTTCTCTCTCCGTAGTGAGTGAGGATGACGGTGCTATCATTATTGGTTATGTGCCAGTCATTGTCGCAAAGTGCGGCGTGTTTCTCAAGGAGAAAGGTTTGTGAAGATGTTCTCTCCTACGACCTGTCCATCATCGCTAAAGATTTTTTATTAGCCACCGAGGTCCAAGATATCTTCAGGCTCAGTGGATCATCCGAGAGAATAAAGAACCTCGAACTGAGCTTTGATAGCCCGCCGAGATATGGGAAAGGCCTAGATTGGACAGGCTATAATGTTAATGACGTTGCGAATCTACTTCTTCGGTACTTGCTTCAACTACCCGAGCCAGTAATTCCACTGAAGTTCAGCAAGGAATTTCAAGAGCCCCTGCGCCAATTCCAACAGGATCCAAGTCACTCGTCTGGTCGTGAAGTATTTGACAAGATAGTCAAGACCTACCAACTCTTGATCACCCGGTTACCGGATCACAGCAGACTGCTGCTTTTATACATACTTGATCTTCTTGCCGTTTTTGCTTCCAAGTCGGACAAAAACCGAATGACATCAGAACGCCTCGCATTAATTTTTCAACACGGGCTATTGGCTTCTCGACCATCCAACACGTACTATGAAAATACCGATATACTGAATCGGGACGTGTTGATTTTCTTAATCGAGAACCAAGATCGATTCCTGATCACCATAATCCCGACTGCGCATTCTGAAAAGCAGAACGAGGTAGTTCATGAAGAGCATGAATCCGGAGAGCAGGTGTTTCGATCCCCCGACCCGGAAGGTGGCTGGTAACTATTAGTGACAACTATAGTTTAACAAAAGAAACTTACTATACCCCGAGGATTTCCTTTCGGGAGATTCACCGTTTGTCCAGGCCATACGCCATTCACCTGTCTTTGGCATCCTTTTGCGTCCCTCCTTCTCCTTCAAAGAGAGGACAGATTGAGATTTCCCCGACTGCTTCCTGTGCGTAGGCTTAGAGACGTCTTCACTAAACTTTTGTATATCAGCTTGTAAAGTAGCCAGCTATCACATGCGAGGAGAATTATGCATGCAGTACCAACCGAACAAATTGTCGAAACTTCCGAGTTTTCAACCCGAGCTCGCCAAGGTTACCAGGGCAGTCAGCGCGTTGCACCTGTTCAATGTAAGTAACATGACGATAGGATAGATACTTCTTGGCTTCTTGAATTTGGCATACAATATCGATGATATACATCGGAGATGTTGAATATGCACAACTCTAGGGAGGTATGCACTATATCAAAAAGCTTTGCACTGGCTGCCCCGTCGGCACAGAATCCGAGGATCCGGCTCATTCACAGCAAAGGCTCAAAAATACTCAAACTCATATCATCCCACCAAGGGTCAGAAGCGTGGCGTGAGGTGGCGCACATGTACCGGGCATGAATTTGGCCGTGTAAACTGCATCATCAAAAAATAGAACTCGACTAGGTCAGTTAGAATCCATACAAGCCCAATGCTTTGCCAAGGCAGGAACAGATTGTTCTTCGCGAGGACAATTGGTGGGTCCGACTTTCTTTGTCTGGCACTCTCCACAGTGGGTTTGATGCGCCAACCATATCCGTGCCTTACTGCCCACCCAAACCGCTTCCCGCTTTGGGTGCGCCACTAATCCTCGTCTCTTACAATTCCTCGTCTCTTTTCTAAGAAATCTTCGAATTAACCACCCAATTAGCTAATTATCAACAAAAAAAGGCTCTCCCCTCTCTCTAGCTTCTATCTCATTAGCCATTGCCTGTTCAATACCCTCTTTCGACCTCTGTGTAGGTTTATAGCTATACACCTTTTCAAACTGCTTCGCTAGCTTCCTCTCCTCCGCGGCCGCATCTTTCTCCTTCCTAATGCGAATTGACCGATTCGCATCGCGAGGCTTTAATATACCAGACTGGCTAAGCGGTTTAACCTGCCGCATAGTGTATTGACGACGTTGAGGTGCTTGCGCGGCTCTGATTCGCTGAATTGTATCCTGGGTCATGGCGAGCTCTTCAAGCTTCTCCCGCTGGTGTGTGAAAATTTTGGTAAGATCTCGCTGCGCTTTCTGCGAGAGAGAATCGAGATGTTTAATTATCTTCGCCTGATTCTTCTCGAGTGCTTTAATAGTGTTTGGAGGGCTGTTTTCCACACTAGAAGAAGAGAGATTTAGTAGTGGTGAAGGAGATAGCGTATGTGTAGCCGATCGGAGTTCTGGTGCGTAAAGATCAGGAATTACTAGTTGACTAGCAAGATTTTCAATAATCTTACTACCGTTAACCGGCTAAATACCACGATCTTTAAAAGATTCGCGAATAATTCGTTGCGTAAAGGCCCTCTTGCGAAGCGGTTGGATAATCCGTAAGAATTCCGATTTCCCGTACGGTCGGCCACCCTAGAAGGATAGCTTATTATTTATAAGCCGAAACTACTGCTTATAATTCAAAAAGGGCTTGCTATCAAGTGGTTGGTAGAGATGTGTTGAATAAGGTAGAAAACAGAATAGGATAATATCATAATCTTCGCATTTCGTAAGGAATTCGAGGGTAAGGTGTGCACTATAGCCATCGAATACAAGATAGCGCTTTTCGCCACGTTTTATGCGATGAATCGTCTGAATAATAAATTCATCTAGCTAGTAAAGGGCTAATTCATCAGAAATCCAGCCGTTTGGAGAGAGTGCAGTAGTTGTTTCGTATAGTAGGTTTTCACTACCGTCGAACCAGGCCTCCATGAAGTTTTTCCCGCTACTTTTGAATATAAAGAGCGGATCCATAAGCCAGCCATCTGTACTAATACACTCGACCGCGGTAATAGTTTCGCCTCGCTCAGTTTCAGCTAGATCAGGAGGGCGAGATGATTTAGAACCAAGCACCTTTCTCGATCGCCCTTGACCAGGTTGGAAGCCGCATTCATCGAAGTTGTATACTAGCCGTGCAGGAACGTCATGGAGAAGGTGTTTAGCTAGTCGTACTAGTGTTAAAGAAACCCTGTATCTTCAGCTTGGATTCGCCTCGATTCCTTAGTCTTCTGCTTCACTAGGGCTAGGTTTAGGTGCTTTGGTAGGCGTGCTTCAAAGAGATACGCCCACATCTTGCTAACCTGCCTCTCTGGTTCGCCCGCACGCGCAATCGCGCGATTTGCCCACGCCTGTATAACCCCTGCAGTAGGTGGTAGATACCAGCTATACATTTTGACTATCCAATCAACTAGGGCCTTCTCCTGGTATGGCTGTAGGGCGTCTTTTAGCGATTTAGTAGGTGTAAAGGGCGATCGTGCGATTTTGACGCGACTGTTCAAGGAAGTGCGAGAAACGCCGAATTCACGCGCAATCTTCGCGATATTCGGCTTTTTCTGGGCCATAACTGCTTTACAGGCATTTTGTAGGCGAGATTCGTCAAAATCGGCGTTTCTAGGCATGGTGGTTGGTTGAATTGGCTAGTTGTAGGCTATCCTTAGAAAAGAGACGAGGAATTGTAAGAGACGAGGATTAGTGGCGCACCCAAAGCGGGGGTCACTCAGTCCACTTGGTCTGACAGTCACCTCACATAACTTCCCCATCGTTAAATCCAACAGAATGTGCCTCACAAAGGAACTGCCTGGGAAATATACGAAGGCGGAGAATTCCCCTGTCGCCTGAAAACTCTCTTGATATTGTTCTGCAGGGAACAATATCAGAACAATATCAAGACCCCTCGCAAACATCAACAGCCCCATCTTCCAAACCCCCCACGCGTTCTTTCAAGATATCGTCCGCCTCAAGTCATGAGCCTCGTCTTATCTCAACGCTCTCAAGGTTGAAAGAAATCCCAACCCGGGTTGAGGCAGCCACGTCGATTCACAATGTCAGGAACAATATGGATCTAACGCCACACGTCAAGGGACAATACCAGATTTGCGCATTCTGTGACTCAAAGCTTACCCAAAACTGCATTAGGCTACACTGGATACTATCAATCCCAATCCTCCTCATTGTTCCTTCCCCTCGGGGATTGTTCAACGTCCTCCCCAAGGCTATCATCAACCTGCTATACTCTGCTCCATTATCACGATTTATCAGGTATAAATACCACCCTCGACACCCGCCAGAAGATCTTTTTTTTCTCATCATCCGCTTCATTACCAATCCAACATCTCTACAACAATCTTTTCGCTTTTTCAAAGCTCCAAATCTATCGCAATGGCCCCCGTCCAGAACTCCGTTGTTGTCAAGGGTATGCATCTTCAAAATATCCATTCTACATATTCATTCACTTGACATGATACTTACATCTTCCTCTTCTACAGCCGGCCCCGGTGGTGGCTGCGTTGTCATGTAAGCTCCTTACATGAGCGCCCCCCGAACCGCCTACCTCGCGTACCACCATGATGCCCTGACCTGATCACTGGTTTATGGCCGTGGCCGACAACAAAATGCACAATTTCACCAACCTACATTTCTATCCTTACGATATGACCACCAACTTTTGAAAAACATCTCTCTCAAAGACATGATCAATCACTCTTTGCCTTTCGTCGTTTTCTGTCCAGTTCATTCTTTTCGCGGCGGTTTCCAGTGTCTCTTCCGGTCTACTTCTAGCTTTCCTACTTCTCCAATCACCATTTCGCTGTCCGCCTGCAAGATGCTACTTCTACTTCAGCCTTGCTTCTCGGGGGCAGACTGTAGACCGGCTTGCCGGACTGTCCAAAGCTCGGGTGACCTTGTGGCCTGGTTCTCGCGGCCTCTTTCGTGGACTTGGGAACATTGGGGTGTTATGTAGAAAGGGGGTTTCGATTTTGTGAACTCTTCCTTTCAGCTACATTTTTTGAGAGAGCACGAAACTAACAAAAGCCTGTTGGCGATTTGCTTCGTTGGGAATGGGGTGTGAGTTCCAATGGTTTTGCTTTCTGGGGCGCTGGGTGTGTCTCTGGTTCGGGATATTTCTTTTACTTGGGTTGATCATGAGTGGCTGCTAGGAATGCAATTCTGGCTCCCAATTCTTTTCTCTTTTCCTTCGTAGACCACTGCCAGGAGCTACTTGAGTGTAGAACATGGTCAATATCTGCTGTACCCAAATTATCGCCCCCGCTTCCCAACACTAATTGAATCCATATTGGGGTCCCACGTCTGGGTATGCCTATGTATATCTAGATATTTATACGGTTAGTGGTTAATCTAGAGGACTGGAAGATCCCGTGACTAAAGATACGGTTTTAAAAGGACCCCGTTCACCCACCCGTCTCGATCTTTTGCAACAACCACCAGTAGGCTGTATCGATTCTACTTCACCTATTAATCTTTTTATCCGCCATGGAAGTCCAATTTTTGCCAAATGAGCCGCTTACCCTCGCACAGTTGCTAAGTGTTCCAATTCGCTCGCCCATTGAACTCATCAAGAATTTGCGTTCTGTGTACGCTCAGAAACAGGTTGAAATCTTCCGAGACATGCTAGACTCGCTTATCTCAAACGACAAATTTGACATACATGACTTGGATACAATTATGATGGATGCGATCAGGAACAATGACACACAATTCACCTTGGAGCTTCTTTCTCATGGACTGCCCCTGCTCCCAGATTACGCCTTAGAAGCAACGAAGTGGAAGGCGAAGAATTTTCTTGAACTGTTTTTCGAGAAAGGCTGGGATATCAACAAGCCAATAAGTCAAGCTCAACCCCCCCTACTCAGGTGAGTCCAATGTCTTGTCTCCTATAAAGTATGATCCATTATAGATAAATCTTTCCTAGTTTCGTGACCCAGGATCACGACATGATGATCTGGCTACTAGATCGGGGGCCGATCCGAATCAGAGATGTGGGATCGATTTGACACCACTTTCTTACGCTGTCAAGGATGCCCCTATCTCAAATATTAAGCTCTTACTAGGCAGCGGAGGCGACACACGACAAGGCAAGCTTCTATTCCACGCGCTCGAACGAAAATCGGAAATTATTCAAGTTTTGAAGCTCCTTCTTAGAGAAGGTGCTCCGCTCAATGCTACAATGTATCAGAATCATTATCCTTCTTGGGCGCTTTATTTCTTCATGGGACTTGGTACTATCTTACACAAGGCGGCGGAGCTTGGAAATGTTCAAGCCGTCAGCTTTTTGATAAGTGAAGGGATAGATCTAAGCATAAATGACGCAAATGGTGCACTGATTTTGATTGTGCCAGGAATCTTGACAAAGTCGACGTTGTGAAAGTGCTCGAGGACTCTCCTAGTCAATGAAACATGGAAGGGGAGTTTTTGGAGATAGGAATGCAGATGTTTAGGCCTAGTGGTACTAGTTTCGGACCTAGTGTCGTTCGGTACTGCGTAACGACCAGGTATCTGTACTTTAGCATATCAGCCATGATTTTTCCCCATACGCGTTCCTTCCCTATTTGTCCCATGAAGTTCCCACACGTCCCAGATCGCTACATTCGTCACGGCGTTGATATCAATACCTGTCGATTATTTACTACGAACATTGGCATAGAGAACCCTGTAATGACTCTAGCTCCCAGTATTGATCCATAGGAGCCATTAATGGAATATTTTCGGATCTATTTGAGGGTCGCCCTCTTAAGCATACTGGATAGAGTGTCCTAGGATACCCAACCCAGACCCTCCCTAGCACCTCAAAAAAAGATCCCGAGTGCATAATATTTCAAGGGTGCGACTTAGTCAATAAAAAAGAATGGTAAAAAGAAAATAAACAAGAGAGAGAAAAGAAGCGGCGGGTGGGATGCGCCTTTATATACGTTGAGCGGCGTGACGTTATCAGCGTTCGTCTGGGCTTGCCAACTACTGCACCAACTCATCACTTTTCCCCAATCATCCTCCTTGTCCTTTACGACTTCAACCCCCTGATGAGGTTTCAACAGTTAGAATTAGGCGGTCCTCGGATAATTACACTTTTTGCGTTTCTCTCCATGGGGTGAATGTATGTATACGCTATATAGAGTGGGGAGAGACGCCCGGATGGTTCTATGTCTCCCCTAGATCTAGATGAGCTGACTTGATGACCCTTCCAGGACTCGACACTGGCTACTGGAAATTCGCGCAAGAATGATCCAGCTTGATCGTGCCAAACTGATACAGGAGGTTCCCTGGGAAATAGGTGAACAGTCCCTGCCATTTGAGCGTCCACCACCACCCCCGAAGCCCGGCGCTGGCTTACGACTCTCCTTGAGATATTGCGCCGATGCCTTCCATTTCTCGACAACCCGCTTCAGTTCGAGCTGGTTGAACTTCTTCCACTCGCCGGCTAGATCGCTCGGCCCCCGGTTGGCAGTGTACCAGTTGTTAAACTGAAGCAGGTGTCGCGCATCCCATTGTAGCTGTCACAGAACGACTGCCACACCTCGGGATGGTTCCAATAGCTGAAGAGTATTCCAAGCTCTTTCAGATACGCCAGCTGCTCGTCGCCAGCATCCATATTATCCCACCGAGAGGTCTGAATTGCGGAAGAGCCTTTCACTATGGCCCCCTTCATCCAATTGGAGTCGGTAAGGATGATGGCGAAGCGGCCTTGTCGATCGCGACTTCCGAGCTCATCGCCCATTAATTGGGCGACGTTGTTAGTTGCCCCGGCCCAGGGAGCCCGCGAGAGAATCCAAGTGACGATCCAGGTACAGGGCCGAGTGACGTTGGCCACGCTCGTCATGTGGACGTTGAAGAACCTCGAGAGGGTCTGGTCTTCAAACGGATGTTCTGCTGACGGACAGGATTCTAGTTAGCATCGGCTGTGACAAGGGAGGAAGGCAACTTACTCTCGTAGAACTGGTTGTATCTGATGATGTTGGCTTTGTCCCACACGGTATCCGAGTTCGCAAATTTGCCCCAGGCCCAGTTGTTGCAGGTCTGTGACGAGTTATGCATATACTTGATGACGTTTTGGGTCGATCAGTGAGAATTGAAATCCTGGAGTCCGCAGCTCTCATTGACCAGCAGATCTCTCCGGGCCAGCGAGGTCTGGTCGGAAACCGGGAAGATATAATAGTCATCGTCCCGGACACTGCGCTGGGTGCCATACCGACACGGGATACAGGCGCATCCACAACAGGGCTCCTCGATAGCCCCCTCGGTGGTGCAGTATCCGCACCCATTGCACATGATCCGGGCTACCATCTTGTTCCATCCTCTATCACTCAGGTTAATCCCGGGGACCAACAGGTCTGGGTCGAAGTTCGGGTTCACGAGCTGGCGCCGCTCGATACTGTCTCGCTTAGTCGCCGCGTCCCCTATGAAGCATTGGCGTTCTCCGGCCTGCGCTAGCTCCTGCACGAAGGTCTTCGTCTCCTTGTCCTTCCAGCCGACGTAAGAACCACGCTCCAGATGGCTCTTCATTGTAGTGCCCAGACTGGTGGTCAGACAGGATTTCGCCCCGTCATGCTCGAAGTTCCGGCGGGAATACACCGACTGGGACAGGGACATATCCGTCATGGACTTACTCCAGGACATGAAATTTCCGAAGCTCGATGGCGATCCGCTTATTGACGATATCATCGACAAGTGCTGGCACAACCAATATCGCACGCTTGCGGAATCGGCCACACACGCAGTGACGCTGCTTAGGACGCCACTCAGCGAAGCACTGAACCCCGAATCAGCCTCCGCCCCCGGATGGCACACGAGTATAGAGAGAATACTGCCTCAGTTGTGGCACTACCCGGGGCCCAAAGGCGGAGCAACGGCGGAGCAACGGCAAGGTAACTAATAGTAACAAGTATTATAATGTGGAACAGGACCCATCTGGTGAGCAATTATCTTCAAAACAGGAATTCTGCCGAAACTTGGAGAAGCGCGGACTTCTTCGCCTACTTACTTCGGGTAAGCCCATGGAGCTTGGATTCAGCATGGAGCACAGGCATGTGTCACCAACTACTCTGCCGAGTTGAGAGGGACGAGACTACTATGAAGGGAGGTTGGATATTTGGATCCTATTTTGGCTAGTGCCGGTTGAGAATAAGCATGTTAGGGTTCGAGAGTTTAAGGTGGTTCGAAACAGTATATAAAAAGGCCTTCTAACCACGTTTAATTTCTCGTTGTTCATTTCTCGTATAATACATGCCTGGAAGTCGATGGCTGAGCTAGGTATTAATCATGCTTATCAGTAGTATGATGATTGATGGAAAATTCTGATTATTTTGCGGTGAGCAGAAGAAATGATAATGGAGTTTCTTAAATTCTAGATTCAGCAAACAGGGAAAGAAAGACACGACACGTACTTGGGACAGCCCGGGATTGAATGTCGGATAATTCAGTCATCTGGACGTTCGGAAGGTTTCTTTGCTTTGATATAGGCTTTATTTTCTATTTAAAACTTCTATATCTTATATCTAATATAGCTTTGCACTGTTAGCCTCGATATTTAGCTATTTGGCCACTCTGAGGGGGTTTAGGGCGTTAAGGGTTATCACAGAGTGGAGGTATTTCATGGTTAACCTAGAACTTGGATCACTACTTAAACTTATTTTTGTGAGCTTGGAGTACATACGACCATAGGGTGTGGAGAACAGGGCTTCCCGTCCGCTCAGCCGTACTTAAGCCACACGCCGGCCAGTTAGTAGTATGGTGGGTGACCACATGCGAATCCTGGCTGTTGTATGTTTTTTTTTGTGTTTTTTCTCTTTAGCTGTCCATACACTATACAGCTCCCAAGAAGGAGAGACTGCAAGAGAGTTAAGAAACAAAACATTATGCCCGTAAAAATCAGGCATGCATGAGCCCAGGCATCAATGAGGCATCTCAGCTATATCCATCCTTGACATGTGAATCTTCACGGGTAATCGGGATCGGCGATTAACTTTTAAAGTTTTAATGCAACCCGTGGGCTTGCTCCTCCCTTGAACCATAAAAATATGGTCGGGGGGATTGTTGCACCGAACGGAAGCTATTAATCAGGATCTCTACTGTCATTTCTTCGGGGGTACGGTCAATTCTTCAGGAAAATCTTTTTCGCAGTGTCCTTCCGCCCAGCATCAAGATGGCATCATTTGTTGCAGCCTTCGCCAATCCATTCAACTATATTGGTGGGGTGAACTTCAGCTCAGACAGAGACATTCCAGACCTGGCCGGAAAAGTTGTGCTGGTGACGGGCGGTATGTTAATTGACCGGACTTTGTGAAATGACACGAGAACTGACAAATTCCCAGGAAACGCTGGCCTTGGTAAGGAAAGCATTATTCAGCTGGCGAAACATAATCCAAGCAAAATATTTCTTGCCGCTCGTTCGGAATCCAAGGCCACGGAGGCAATCAAGTCAATCAAGTCATATATCTCGAACGATGTTGAGATTGTTTGGCTGCCTTTGGACTTGGTGTCCACCAAGTCGATTCGCAATGCGGGCGAGCAATTCAATGCCCAATCCCAACGTCTCGATATTCTAATTCTAAATGCGGGCGTCATGTCTCTTCCCTCGGGTGAAACAGAAATGGGTCATGAGATTCAACTTGGAACGAATCATACCGGACACTTCCTGCTCACCAAATTGTTACTGCCAACCCTGCTCAAAACGGCCGAGGAGCCCAATTCCGACGTCCGTGTTGTGTCACTCTCTTCTGTCGGGCACAATCTTGCTCCATCTTTCGATACTTTTCTAGACCAAGAAAAACTCAAAAATGTCAACACCAATGCTCGTTACGGTGCCTCGAAAGCCGCAAACATTCTTTTCGCTGCAGAACTTAGCCGCCGCTATCCATCCATAACCTCGGTATCTGTTCACCCTGGCATCATCTTGACAGATCTTTACGATCCCATCAGCCAGCGCTCATCTGCCATCGCGTTGGGCTCAAAAACAATGCGAATCTTTGGTTCTTCGATTCCTCAGGGCGCATGTAATCAGCTTTGGGCGGCTGCTGGTGCGAAGAAGCAAGACCTTGTCAATGGAGGATATTATGTCCCCATTGGTAATTTGAAACATCATAACAAGTATGCACAGAGCGAGGAAATGGGAAGACGGCTGTGGGAGTGGTCTGAGGCTGAAGCACAACGATGGGGCTTCTGAAGTGGTCTCTGAACTAAGGTGTTGATCTATATATTCTGCCAAATCATCATACAGGCAACTCACTGTGTATGTTATTTTAGGACTGCTGAGTAAAGTGAAACTCGATGGATAAGATTAGGTTCGACCCGTTTCTTCCAGGTTGTGTCCCGATAAGGCTAGATATGTTCAAGATGGAAACTGCAGCATTATTTTTGCTTCCATGCATCGAACTGCTGCGGAGTTTGGTGAAATGAATAGTCATATAATAATGAACTTACTTTGCAGGCTATTGTGGGATTGTCCTTATTGGATACGCAGGCCGCAACCTCAGGGACTAGGAGTCGTCAGCAAACCTGCCCTCCATTAGGAATGCAAAATCCTCCTACGGAGAGACTCGTCTCGTCTCCATCATCATTCCACTTGAAAGCTTCGGCCGGAGTGAGCTCTGTTCGTTACGTTCGATTAGGGGCCAAGCTAGATCATCTTTGTTATGACTCTGCAGTTTCACAAGATAACCAGAGTGTTACCCCCGTGCTACTCATGCAGGGGATGATAGTGTTTAAAACCGAATTAGAGTGGTATCATAAAGAATATCACTTGTTAAATCCACTCTGATATTCCTTTCCTGACATCGCATTCTTCACTTCGCCCCTCAAGTCGTGTAATAAAAGATACAGAAGAATCATGGGAAGCGCTAAACACTACATATTTATTAAACGCTGACACCGCTAGCTCCTATTTACTTCACGGGAAGACGAATATGGCGTTTCCTGTTCTAAAATTCAACGCACGTCGCGACTGTTGGATTTGCTGGTATAGGCAATACGATTCATTATCTAGGATATTTTCAAACATATAGATATTTACCCTTAGATGAGTAAGATAGCAGCGGAGATTTATCATCTTGTTTGTTATGACATTCCTCTGCTCCGCCTCCAATCCACTATCGTCACGCATCTAACGGCGTGACCTCGGAAGAGCTCCGGCTTGGGGTATGTAAACTCATCACTTCAGTGTCTTGTGTGTTGAGAGAGCCCTACGGGCTACATCATGCTAGAATTAATTTAATTCACCTAACTGCCACTGCGATCCCGAGAATATTCGGTACCGCGAGAGACAGAGATTAAAATATCTTGCTCTGCTCCCCACGATTCAGTAAATGATAAACTTAACAAGTACTATAAAGCCAATAGAGTGGTTTATACTTGAACAGGCAGTTTCAAAATGCCTTGGTCACTAATGATAGGTCTTGCTCAGGATATTCGAAAACTTAGATATACTTCTGGAACTGGATAGCTAGTCCGGCATGGGTCCTGATGACCATTTTGTCATCCTATTCTCGGGCGCCAACCATTTATTTGGCCTTCGATATGTTTGTTACTACAATTCTTCATGGAATCTGTTTTCTGACCCTTTCCAGCCATCCTTCATCATATCCAATGTTGTGGCACAGATCTCGAAGTACAATTAATTTCAACTCTCTGACTCTCTGTTTCAAAACGCCGATTCCAAAAGCGACTAAGAGGCTGTCCAGTGAACTGTTTGAACGGGTATTATGCCCTTACCGATTTGATCACCAGATCGATCCCAACTTAATTCTCCGCCTTTCGCGCACTGTGGAGTGCTTCATTTGTCCTCTTGGATATTCCCCTCTTCCAATCAGAAGCTCGCATTTTAATGTCTTGCTCTTTGATGCTGTGACAGCACCCAAGACTCGACGTTCGGAGAGATCGGGGATAAGACATTACAACGCCACGTGGGGTTATGAGCGCTGATTCGATGCGGGGTTAATGGCTTAGTCGGGTATTCTTACATGCAAAATTTGCCGTACAGAAGAAATGACCTTGTCGCGGATACCTGCATTTCCCAGAGCGGGAGTTGATTGTATAGTTCGGGAACCTAACTACCTGTTCATCGGCGACCTGTGCTAGATTTCATTTGGGAAGCAAGGCGTCCTTTCTTCAAGTTGTGGTGAAAACTTAGTCTGGGATACTCGCAACCAACAAGCATATTCACCGAGGCTAGATATAAGGGCTAAATGTATCAAGAAAATCTCTACCTGCAACTTTTTTGACATAAAAATCTACTTCTTTCTCCCCCACCCAGGAAGCTGAGGGAGTGATATGCATATCATGATCTTCTTACATCACTAGATATGTAACCAGTTCTTGTGCTCATTTTTGGAAGGAGCCTCTCTTCCGTGACTTAACAGGGCCATGTTTGTGAAGAATATACGAATCAGTCAGCCGAAAGAATTCGCTCTGCAGCTGCATCTGATCGGTCCCATGAGGCAGGCCAAGGCCACGATCTCCCACTTCACCAGTATCACTGGGTATTTTCTCACTACAAAGTGCCTATGCATCGTGCAGTGCTCTGGCACCCTTCATATAGCATAGATGGCTAAGCGAGTTGAATTTGATGTGAAGAGTGAGCAGATCTGTACTTTTGCGGGTTCCTTTATCAAAAGACACACTTGTGGGCCTAAATCAAATTGAATGGACTGAAATTTCTGGGCGCCCATCCCTTTTCTCTCGAGGAATTTCTCGTCCATTCATGGCCTAGACAACGAGCTCCTCGGAGTCTTCGAACTCATCTATGACTCCCTTCCTGAGCACTGTATGCGGCCTCCTCGGGTCCGTCAGATGAGTTCCCTTAGTCAAATGCCGAATAGGAACATAGTTAGTTAGTTAGTTAACTAGTTACGTTACTAAACCCTAGGATGATGACTAAATTTGTCAACTTATTAAAGACTTACTCGATACTTTGCGTATTTGGAATCTCCGGAATCGATACAGAGTCTACTCGGATATACCGAGTTTATCCTGCGGGGAAAACACTGGTTGACTAAACCTCGACACCTCGTACCATCAAGGCAGCCCGCATTCAGCCTTGTCCTCGTATCAAAGCCCGGTTGCAGCTATGATGTGGAAATGCCGTCAGACTCTGTAGATCTGTGACGATCATTAAAAGACCGGAAAACTCGTTGAAACACCAAACATCGACCTACTACTACAACTTGCACTACTTTTCTTGAACACATGACTGGCTTCTGTGATCACCAAGACAAAGGGCGAACACGAAAATCTGCAGATGCACTACGGTACAGAAGCAGCCCAAGTCAGGGCTGCTAGAGTTAAGGGCCGGACCACGAACCTCCGAGTCAGACCTAAATCAAAGTAAATCGCAAAGTCGATTATGTTATTGCGGACTTGCAAGTGGGCGGTGGGAGACACTACGGAATTACAAATTCTTCGTCAACTCTATGTTCTTCATACCTTCCGAGGTTTCCTCTCTTGGAAATTTTAGACTTTTGTGTCTTGGTTTTTGTTTTATTGGTGGAGCCCGCCTTGACGGCTTCGATGTTTCCTTCCGGACTCGCACTTCTAGCCATACCAGGAGATGTCACCGCGGAAATGTTATTCCTTGACTAATTCCTGTGAAGAATGAACGAAAAAGTACTATACTAGGTATAGCTTCACGCTCGGCACCTGTCAGGTCTGCAGATACGACATCATTGTGACCATACAATGTGTCTCTCAGTGGCATTCTGCTGTCCTCAGACCCCTACCGTTTACGATCATCACGGCCAAAACACCCAACGAACAAATAGAAGCAACCCAACAAAAACAAAAGCATAATTCTGGTACCTTATTCGTTGCATGCAACCTTTAGCCCGAGGCTAACGTCCCGAGGAACTGGCGCATGGTGTGATGGTTGAAGCACTAGTTTTCAGCCTAGACAAATTCGTTAATGCTTCTGCCGCCCCTGGTTGGCTCTCAGACCAAGACACAAAAGACTTTACTGAAAAGCATTGTGAAGGACAACGGAAAAAGCAGATGCATCCACTTGTAGAAACGACTTAGTACTTTGATGGCGAAAAATGGCCATTCAAACAGGGCCTCGGTCGCTCACGGGCTATGGCTTTGAGTGGTATTTTTTCTTTTTCGCTTGGTCCAAATTGATCCAGAATTGGCGAAAACAGCGATGAACATCAGAAAGAACGATATTCTTTCGCATCTCTGAACTACAACTCGGTGCTCTCTGCTATGGTCGGGTATCGGTGTTAAGAACATTATGCCCAAATCATGGAAATACAGCGACAGCGATCACTTGGTTGCCTGAGGGAAACCACCACATGTAGAAACGGAAACAATTCAGAGTGCGAAACCATCCAGAGTGCATATTGTACTCATAGGTATGAGGCATGATGAAACTTACTATCTCGTATCTCTGGCGGAGCAATTTACTTGAATAGTTCCCGTCTAGAGGGATCACACGCCGACTCCTACTTCCCACATGATTCATTATAGACTGCCAAAAGCAAGTCAGACTAACTTCCTGAGTTTATTATTCTGTATCACGGGGGATGATGTTTTGTCAGTGCGCCACTCCCCTGTTCTCGTTGTGCCACCGAACATACAGTCTGTACTCCGTAGAGTCAGCGCTAATTATCTACAAACCCCGATTAGAACCTGACGAATCCTTCGTTCTATCGGACATATATGGCGATGGGTATCTCTCAGAATTATTAATAGCATCTGCTCCGTACCAAGTCAATATTTCTATTAACGTAATCCACGGCCGAGCTGGCCACACGGTCGAGCTGGCCACCCCAAAACACCATACTAAATGTGAATTTTTACAACTTCATATGTCGACACTGGATGCTTAGCGTATGATCTTAGGATATCCTAGAGTTTGATATATCATATTAAATATCTTTATAAGGTCGACAAGTATATAAATGGGTGACAAGATGGGATTTATATCTGCATTGCTCGGTCGGAGAGTATTTTTTGGTAATGCTGGTAAATAATCATATACTGTATATCTTACTTAAGCTGTGCTATTTCTGACGCTGAAAATATTATCCATTTGAAAGTCGAGTAAAATCAACCTCTCGTTGTTGATATACAGTGACCTGAAAAATCGCATTTAGTATGGTGTTTTGGGGTGGCCAGCTCGACCGTGTGGCCAGCTCGGCCGTGGATTACGTTAACTTCTGCATCTTAGTCTTACTA